CTTGCCTCGCCGTCCGCCCTTCAGAAACGGGTAGCACCTGTCGTGGCCTCGACAACGAGCTACGGAAACTTGGTTGACACGGGTCTGAACCGGGATTCATGTTCTTCCGCGGCTTGGTGGCCAGGGACGGTCGTGCGTCTCTTTCTACGGTGCAATGTTCTGGAATGACCAACGAGTTTGCGTTGATAGCTTTGGACTTGCCGTGACACCCAGATTATCTCGGCAGGAATCGTACAGCTCAAGGTGGTCCCCAACACTGCCTCGTTTTCTGGGATGCCCAGCAGCCCAATTTCACCGCAGCCGCTGAATCTGATCTCCCCCACGCCCTTTGGGACGCCCTTCTACCCTCTGCAATCCAACGAGTGTCCGCCACTCGGGAACTGCGGCAACGGCACCCGGTACGTGGGCTGGCCGGACACGGGCCCTGTGGTCGTCTTCGACTTCAACAACGGCGTGAATGCGTACGCGGTCGTCGCTCGCCAGGCGCTCTCTGGGCTGAGCGTGCTCAACGCGCCGGACTACACCCTGTATCACCTGCTCTCCACATCGCAGACGACAGCGCTGCCCAGTGTGAGCATCGATGCTGAATCGTTCTGGAGCGCGACCCAGATCGGGTACGGCTCTGCTGCGAGTGTCGTTGCGAACGGATATGTGCGCACCCTCTCTGGACTGGGTTGTTGTTCAGCCCTCTGATTGATTGCGGCAGGCGTATATGTATGGAGCGACGCCGAGCAAAGCTCTAGCTGTCGCCCGCGCGAAGACGGATGAGTTCCTCGGTGCGATCGATAGCAAGTCCAAATATGAGTACTTTGTGAACGGAGGTTAGTTGCGACCGTGCGCCCTATTCTTTCCCCATCCAACCCTTTACAGTTTGGACTGCTACGGCACCATCGATCAACACCCCGAACATCGCTTTGGCCAATACCCGCTCTGTTCAGGGCACTATCTACTACTCGAATAAGTGGCAGGTCAGCCATTCCGCTGCTATTACGAGACACCTGTCTGAACCACGTCCAGGCCTTTGTGTGGATTGGCGGTGACGGATTTCCCAATGCAAACTTCTATGTCTCGACCGCTCCTGCTCCTGAAGGGCCTTGGACGGCGCCTCAAGTAAGTCGCCATGCTACTGTGTCTGGATGGAGCACCCATTTATGATGTCTTGAATCCTCAGCTTTTCTTTACTGGGGCCGTCGGTACTGGAGCACTGCCGGCTTATTCTGCTGTCGCCCACCCCGCTCTGACAGATGGCACTGGAAACTACATATTCATCGTGCGTCTGATTTCTTGTCACTCATATCAACACTGACGCAGATGGTGCAGACTTGGACGAAGACGTCCCTGGACTCCGCTGGGTCTACAGTCTATACCCAGCCTTTGGTTCGCGTCGACTGGCAGTAGCAGTAGATTTAGTGCTCCTAGGAATTCAATTACTTATCATTTGGATCCGGATACTTTCTTCGAGACACGAAAATCACCATACCGCGTCGATTACATAATCAGCCATCACCTTTCTTCCTCTGCGATTTCGAGGCGTGAATGCTCTCCCTCCTGCTCGGCCTGCTATCATGCGGCCTGTCTGTCCTGGCTCTGCAGGAATCGGACGCCGGTGTGATCGACTGGCATAAGCCCCTCATCGGCCTCCCGCTCGCACCACCAATATTCCACCACGCAACTGTGAACGGCACGACACAAAGCGTGCTGATTGTGCCCACCGCGAGCAACGTCCTCGCGGCGCTCAACGCGACAGACGGGTCTGTGGGTGCGTGGCGATGCAGTGTCCCTCCTCCGCGACGCAGCTGATGTGTTGTCCGGCGGCCAGTGTGGCGACACGTATTTGATGCGGCGGACGGGCTGGCGACGATGCGCGTGGCGGGCGACGCCGTGGCAGTTCTCTCCGGACCCGGGGCGTCTAACTTGAGGGTTTTCGAGGCGCTGACGGGGCTCTTGGTGAGCGAGAAGAGGGTCTCGGCGCCGGTGGAAGGGGCGCAGTCTGGTGTGGACATCGCGTTCGAGGAGAGCAGCGGAGACTCGTTCATCCTTAACACCAACTCGGTCTCGCGTTTCGGGACGAAGGAGTGGAAGAATGCAGAAAAGCTGGGCGAAGCGTGCGTGTGCCGACTGGCGTCGGCGTCTATGGACTGATGTCCACATCCACACACAGTGTAACGACCTACTCTCAACTAGTCCACCAGCCCGATGTGCTCTACGCTGTCGGACACTCTAACCAGGCGTTTTGTCTCTACCTGTCCTCGTACGATCCAGAAACGGGTGCGCACATCGAACATACATACAAGCACCTCCCGCCCCGGGTCGAGTCGTTCCTCACGGCAGCCGACGTGGTCGTGTGGGTGGACCCAGTCACACAGAGCCTCGGCTTCGTCCATCTGGTCCCGACGCTGAAGAACCCGATCCGCACCGAGCGCCAGCTGAAGTGGATCGCGGTGATCGACGTCGACCTGGGCCGGTCCGGGATGTTCGTCGGTGTGTTGGCGGATGGGGCGGCCCGGGTGCTGAAGATCAAGGAGGGCGGTGTGGTTGAGTCGGTGCATGTTTTCCCTGCGAACGACGGGTCGGAGGCGATGTTTGCGGGCGGTGTCAATGCGGAGGGACACCCGTACGTTGTGCGCATGTGGGAATCCGCGTCCGGAGTGCGTTTCACGCCTTACTTGTATTTTCCTGCGCTCATCATGCCTAGGCAACGGCAGCCGAGATTTACTCGGCCCAACTCGAGGGTTCAGTTGAAACATCATTCCTGGTGCCCGACTATAAGTACGGAGAGGTAGTCAAGCTTGGAATTGATGGATCGAAACTCGTGATTGGCACGACGACCGGTGCCATCCAGCTCTGGGACGCGGGCCAACTGGTCTGGGCTCGCGAGGACGGTCTCTCGGGGATCGATGTCGCCGCATTCGTCGAGCTGCCCTTGCCAGAGCGCATCGCCCGAGCCGACAGCGGCGAGTCCTTCTTCTCTCGTCTGCAGAGGCAGATTACTGATGCCAAGGTCTGCACGCCATCCACTGTTCGCGCGTTCTGCTCTGACTCACATTGTGCCAGGACTTCCCACACTATCTGGCTGCATTCGCTCAGCGCTTTGTCACAGGCACACAGGAGGAAATCGTCGTTTCTGCGGCGAACGGTGCGCTGGTTAGAGATGCGTTTGGGTTCCATCAGATCCTCGTTGCGGCTACAGCCCACGGCTCAGTCTTTGGGTTGGATTCGGCTTCTGGGAAGATCCTCTGGTCACGCGTCTTTGGGTTAGGCTGGGCTGGAGCTGGCGTTGGGGGCACGGTCCGTCCGCTCAAAATATATCTCGTCGAGGGTGAAGCGGAGAGCAAAGCTGTGATCATCATCGCCCAAAGGAAGGCTGCGAACGTATGTGCCTCTGAATCTTCCAGTTCATCTTTTTTCAAGTGACTAGGGACTCGTTGACACCGTGTTGTTCAAGATCGACCCGCTCACGGGAGCGTCGATGATTGATGCAGAGCAAGACACTGATCGGCTGCTGGAAGGGACAGATGTTATCTCTGGCCCGCTCACAGAGGCTTTCCGCTTGCCCAATTCGGACATCATTATGCTCATCGACGATTATTTCCAGGTTGGCCCTCGCTTCACGTGCACAGTTTCTCTCTCGTACTGACCGCTCCCAAGATCATTCCCTACCCAAATACCGCGAAAAGCTCCGCGGCGATCGCGAAGCTGGCTCCGAAGTTGTACATGCCATTCATCGAAAAGTTTTCGGACGGCCCGCGCGTCGTCGGACACAGCCTGAAGCTCGATCCAAATATGTCCGACAACTATCTGGCGTTCCGCACGTGGGGTCTCGCTCTCCCACGGACGGAGACCCTGGCGGGCCTGGTCCGGCCACACGTCGGGCCCGTCGCCTCGCTGGGCAAAGTGCTCGGCAACCGGACGACGCTGTACAAGTACCTCAACCCGCGGATGTTCGTTGTTCTGACGCAGGACAACGCTGCTGACGAGGCTGCCGGGTGTGGGCTCCGTGTCGTCGATGGGGCGAAGGGCAGCGTTGTCTATGAGGCTGTGTTGCCCCGGGGCGAAGGCGGGCTGTGCGACGTGCGGGCGACGCTGGTCGAGAACTGGCTGGTATATCATTACTACGATGCGCAAGTCGTCGCGCAAGGCGACACCAAGGGATGGCGGGTGGTGACTGTCGAGCTGTACGAAGGCCTGCTGGATGAAAAGACACAGAGGTGTGTAGTGGTCATTTTGGTTCTGACTGTGAACGTTGATGAGAGATGGTGCAGCTCTGACATGTCTGCTTTCTCCGCCGACGTCATGAAGGTCGAGCCGTTGGAACAGGCATACGTCTTCTTCCACGGGATATCCGCCATCGGCACCACGTCGACCAAGTTTGGTATTACGAGCAAAGACATCATCGTCGCCACCCACAACCACAAAATTCAGGCGATCCCGCGCCGGCTGCTGAATCCCCGGCGACCGAAGAACCGTGCGCCGACTGCCGAGGAGCAGCAGGAGGAGCAGCTGATCCCGTACGACGTGCTGCTGCCCGAAGACCCCCGCCGGACGATCTCGCACAACTACGACGTCGCGGGCATCCGGCACATCATCAGCGCGCCGGCGCTGCTCGAGTCGACCTCGCTCGTGTTCGCGTATGGGCTCGATCTGTTTCTGACGCGCGTCGCGCCGTCGAGCACGTTTGATATCCTGAGCGAGAGCTTCAATAAGGTGCAGCTTGTGCTGACAGTGTTTGGGCTCGGTGTGGGCATTGCCATTGCGAAGCCGATGATGCGGCGGAAGATGTTGCGGGAAAAGTGGTATCAGAAGTAGATTGTATTTCTTTGCTAACTTAATTTTTGCGCGGAGGGGACTGGACACGCACACTCGTCAGATGTAGTTTGATTTGGAGACCAGTTCAACTCGAGCCATGTCAGAGCCCGCAAAGTCTTCACTTTCTACCTGACACATATGACATACGATACAGCAATGCTTGCTATACACTTGGCTGCTCAAGCCGATGGAGCAGCTGTAGCCTGCGCAGCAATCTGCGTGTCAAGAGCGACAGAGACCGTGGCGTCGCCCGAGGTCGCAGCCACGCCAGCCTGTGCGATTTCAGTTTATTTTTCACTTGAGGACGAGTCATGGATATGCGAAACTCACAGCAGCGGTGTCGCTGACGCCAGCTGCCGCTGCCGTTGCTGAGCTGTCGGTGGCATTGGTGGCGGAGCTAGCCGTCGTGTTCGAAGAAGAGACGGTCCCGGTCGAGTTCGTCGCGCCCTGCGAAATCCAGATCAGTCATCTTGGAAAGACAACCGGAGTAGAGGTGGGACACTCACAGCACTGGCAGCGGCGCCCTTGCCTTTTTTGCCCTTGCCTTTGCCCTTGTGGTGCTTCCCTTTGCCCTTGCCTTTGGCCTTGGCTGCGGCAGCGGTCGCAGCACTCGAGTCAACGACGGTGACGGTGACGGTGACGGTGCTGCTCCCACCCGCCGCCGCATCCGTCGCGGACGCGTTCGAAGCGACTGCAGTGCTGTTGTCCGCGACGGACACGGAGGAGCTGTTGCTGCCGTCCGACCCCGTCCCCGCGGTCACGGTGCTGTTGCCCGCGATGGACACCGAGGAGCTGTTGCTGCTGCTGCTGCCGCTGCCGTTGGAGATCGAGTCCGTCCCCGCGCTCGAGGTGCTGTTATCCCCGACGGACACCGAGGAGCTGTTGTTGCTGTCCGTGCCAGTCCCCGTGGCCACGGTGCTGTTGTCTGCGATGGACGCCGAAGAACTGTTGCTGCTGCTGCTGTTGGAGATCGAGTCCGTCCCCGCGTTCACAGTGCTGTTATCCGCGACGGACACGGAGCTGTCGGAGGCTTGCGCACGACCCTGTTCCGGGAATGGGGCGTAAGTGGCGAACCGTCTCAGCGGCCAGGCAAGATGCGACGCACAAAGTGCAGGCTGACGGGGGCGGCGACGGCGGAGCCCGCGAGGGACGCGGCGAGAGTGAGAGCAGCAAAGGAGAAACGCATGGTGAAGAAAGCGAAAAGTAGGAGATGTGCGCTGCACAATCAAGAAATCAAGAGGTATTTGACCACAGGTCGGGAGTGGGTAGTGAAAGAAACGGCCGAGTGTGGGACGAGCACTTGCACCCTTTTTGTACCAGCGCGGGGAGGATTATTTTGGAACTGGAGTAGTGATCGATGGATGCCTCATGAGTGGATATCGCGAGCAACGACAACCGATGCGAGAAAGATTGCATTATGCACGGCAGTTTGCGAAGACCCAAGATAGATTGTAGAGACCACTTGAGAGAGCAGGGGTGTTTCCACGAAACAGATGAGAGCAGTTCGGCATTGGAGTCGCAACGCCCGAAAGATCTGTTGACCGCAGTCGTCCAATCCAGCCAGCGATGACTGCCATGGAGCTCCAGCAACAGTCCCACAGTGTTGTTTGTCAACATCTAAATTTGCCATCACTAGCAGTTAAGTACATACTTAGTACAAAGTGGGCATGAGTTTATTATGAGCTACAGTTGATCGGTGATACATACACAAGTACGTTGGGCCAAGCAGAGAATATGTGGTACGAATCCAAGACGAACAATGGGCTGCGACTCGCGAAATCACGAAGCGCAAGTGTGCATGGCAGCGAGGGTGCGCGACCACGAGACCTGGATGACACGGTACAGGATCTGGTCCACGACACCCAGCGCACAGGCGTTCTGCCACAGCCCGTGGATCTTCCCCGCATGCGCGAAGAGGAGGAGCAGGTCGGAGGAGCACGGCGGCGACAGCTGGGTGACCAGCGCAGACACCTGCTTGGTGTAGAGGTACGCATATAAGGCAGAGAACGTCTCCGGTGAGGGAACCTTGAAAGGAACCACGGGAAGCACCACGTGCGCTGCGGATGGGTCGTCCGAGGGAGGGGGAGGCATGCTGGGCATGTGGGCGCAGTGTGAGGCGAAGACGATGTGGTGCACCGGATACAGACTGACTGGGCAGGTCTGGCCGCGCAGGGAGCCTCCGTGCACAGCCAGCATGTGTGTAGGACATGCCGCCTCAATATCCCTGTTCTTTGGGATGCGCACTTCCTTCGGGAGGGAAGACCTGGATACCGAGGTCTCCACTGCTCTCACAGCTGCACACAATCTGGAGCAGTGAGTCAATACGGGAAATGGAGAAAGCAATGAGTGAAGGAACGCACGAAGTCAAAGGCAGGCGGTCGCGAATATACTGTGTTGGGACCTTCTCCAACTGAGGATATGCTGCGACCAAAGGCGCGCGCGGAACGTCGTCGGATACTGGACACAGTAGGGAACACGGGAGAGTGATCTTCGAGGAGCTCGCAATCGGAACAGCGTCGACGTTCACGTCAAGCTTGACGCCCAGCGGTGCACGTCGCTTCATCGATACAGCTCGTGCACGGGCTGCACTCTCCTCTTTGACTGCACGAGAGCGGCGCGTGTTCGCGGTTTGGAGGATGATGGCAGGAGAATGCATTTCTGGAGTGATAGCAGAGTACTAGTGCGCGAGAGTGGACTTGAGGCTGGAGGCGAGCTTCGGCGACGGGTGCCCATTGTCCTCAGCCATTCGGACATTTATACGAGAAGGAATGATGCAAGAAGAGAAAGCAATCCTACCATCACCAATCAGCACATTGTGGTTGCTCGCATTGTCCAAAATTGCCTTTGTGGGAAGTATCCTTATTAGGCAATTCTTTGTTCATGTTATGCAGCTGGAACGAACCGTCCGTAACCGAGGGCTCCCTTCAGCGGCTTATTGTATGAGTATGGAGCACGAGAATTCTTCTCAAGAAAGCGTGCGCGTCAGGCGACGTCGTTGGTGCTCGACTGCTTGATGCACCAGACATCTCATATCAGTCCATGACGGGTGTCTCATAAGACAAAGCAAGGAGATGTCCGGACGAAAGACCAAGATCGGCAAAAAGGGAACGTCAAGACAGCACTGGAATGGGATTGCGAGCCTCGTGGTCACTACTGGAACAAGGGAAGGTGCTTTCAGACTAAGCATGATTGAACAAAAGAAAGGCGCCGCCAGCCGAGAGACAATGTACTGTAGCTGGACAGCTGATTCATCTGACAAGGAGCACTAGCCCCGAGTGGGGGACAGATTCAGAATGAATGTATCGAGCGACCATTGTGCCTTGTCTTCACAATTGTGCTTGCAGTGTCCCTGCGAGAGAACGATCGCGAATGATGCGCCGAGCCCCCAATTCCCACGCTCTCCATCCCGTCCGAGTCCGTTTTGTTCATGCTGCGCCATTTTGTCCGGGCGTACAGCACGTCAGTCGCGACCACCAAACACCTTCTCCGCGATGTATTGCGGGAAACAGCCCAGCCCGTCGCAGTCGTCACGTCGTTCATGCCCGCCGACGCGTCGGGCGCAAAATTCCACGGCGCCACGCTCTCGTCGTTCACCTCTATAGCCATGGACCCGGTCCCGCTCGTATCGTTCGCCCTGCGGATACCGTCCCGCATGGCACAGTCCCTCAACGAGTCGGCCTCGGGGCACATGGTCGTCAACCTGCTTTCGCAGACGCAAGCTCACACCGCAATGGTGTTCTCCCGCGCAGATGCATTCCCCCGCCCGTTCCTCAGCACGGAGCACACATTAAGTGCGGAAGGGCTGCCCGTCATCTCGGGCTCCGTCGGAGCGCTGACGTGCAAGCTTGTTTCCAACGGGATTCCCTTGCACGATACACGATGGCTGGCGGAGCGGAAATTGGACGGGCCTCCCGAAGCATATGGCGGGGACGGAACCGTATCTGAGCTCTTCATTGCCCGAGTGGTGCGCGTCGAGACCTTTGATGCGCAAGCTCTACCACTCGTCTACCATAGACGGGAGTACAGCACTACTCGAACTCTACTGGCGGATTCCATTGGCTTATGATGATGACACAACTTATCCTACTCGCCATACTCGGAAATATACTCCTCATCATACTCCGCCGTCCCATAATCAGACTCGGATGCATCGATCGCTTCAAACTCGAGGAATCGCGCGGGCAGATTCCCGCCTCCGATCGTGACTGGATGAAAATTTTAGAATGGGTGGGGGGAGCGAAGGTTGCAGACGTACAGAGGCTATAAAACTCTGCGCCTGTCAGTTCCGGCAACTTCTGTCTCTTGGGTGCATTCAGTGGGATGCCCAGTCGCTGTTGTTCTGTTTAGCAAAGAGTGTGGAAAACCTCCACATGTGGCTTACCCTGGGTTGCAACCGATTTGTTGTGCGCATTCTCAGATCGCAGGCCTCTGCGATACCATCCGTGTCCTGATCGTCCAGAAACTCCAAAAACACGGCTTCACTGTCGCAGAAGGCGTCCATCGATTCGAACATGCGCAGAAGAGCCGGCGACCTGAGCCCTTGAGCAAAAACTGACTTCATCTTGCCCTCCTATCTCGCGACTCAGCCTAAAAGCAACGCGGAAAGAAACTGAGTGCGCACCAGGCCGGGAATCTTACTGCACTTGTCCATCAGAACCTTCATGGCACTCGGACCCCACTGCGCGGGCTGCTGGGACTGTTGCCACGACTTGCTCTGCAGGATGATGCTGGCAAATTTGTTGGTCCGGTCAATCAGTGGGCCCCAGTCGCTCAAGCACGTCCGGACCCCCGCCGAATCGAGCAGATTGCCCGTCACGATCCGGTCGAAGCTGGCGTCCTCGAACGCAGGCAGCGCACCGACGCTGATCCCTTTCGCGAGGATTCCGGGATCGAACGAGGTGACGTGGATGTCGATGTGGAGCTCCTTGACGCGGCGCGCAAAGTCCCGCAGCTGGTCTTTGACGTGGAAGAACAGACAGCCCATGATGTCTTCGGACATGACGCCGTGTTTCGTGCCAGAGGCTTGGACGGCCGAAACGTCCCAGCCGTAGAGCGGATTCGCCTCCTCCTGGGCCATCCAGATGCCCTGGGGATTGAACATCAGCCTGTGCTCTCCATCAGCTGACACGCCAAACACTAAAGAAAACTCGGACGACATGCCGATTGGGTTGAGTGAAATGCGTGGTCACGAGCGAGAACGGAGCCAGGATCCCCGTCTCCCGAAATCTCTCGAACGCCATTCTGTGCGAGGGCTTGAGCCCCGCGTAGTACTTTTCTCGCGTGTCGAGCTGGTCGGGTGCGACGGTCACATCCCGCATACTCCGCAGGGCAGTGTGCAGCGGGTAATTCGACCTGACCATCTCCAGCAATCGCTTGATGGCCGGCGAGGGCTGCACGGAGTATATTCGGCCGTCTCCGCGCGTGTTGAGACAGCGCTGGAAGGACAGATCGGCGTCCGACTCGCCCATCGACGAGTCGTAGATGAAATCCACACAGCGCTTCATGTAGTTCGCACCGGCGGCTGGTAGCGCCGCCGAGTACAGAAGATGTGTGCAAAATTCGGCGGCTTCCTGATTGGGGTTAGTCGCATATGCTAGACTAGAGAGCAGAGAGACGTCATACTTCTATCGAAGGCCCTGAGCTGAGTAGAATGAATAGCACGACCAGATTCCGGTTGACATGAATCGGATTTGTGTCGTTCAGGAGCACGTCGCAAAAGCCCGCATAGTCGAGCGGTAGCCCGTTTATAGTTTGCACCATATTCCGGATGTCACCAGAAACTAAACCTTGTTGATCGGAGGGCATCGGACGAGTTGTGCCAACCACGAACCTGCGAAACACAGCTTGAGGTCGGTCGAGTGGTCCGATCCCTCGTTGGTCGGGAGCTGCAGACAGTCCATGCCGGGCACATCACCCCAGAAATCGACCGTCGCCCTGAAGAGCGTGACGAAGTTCGAGGGATGCAGGAATGTCGGGTCTCGCCCTTGGGTGACCCACGCCGGCTGCCAGTGGTCGCTCATGTACGGATGGGAGCAGGCGCCGCGGTGCCGGCTCGCATGCTGGTTCTTGCATTTTTCGGAGCAGTACTGTCGGCCGCATGAGCGGGAGTGGAGTCATGGATATTGGCAGGTCGTACCGCAACAAGAAGGCACTAGGGAGGCCCTGTGAGCAACAAGACGGCGCTGAGCGAGGCTGCTCGGACGGCGCACCTTTGCACAGACGATGATTCCCCGCCCGGGACAGCACTTCGTGTTGCTCGCGTTCGCGCACGGGATCTGCGAGATTGTCCCGCCATTCGAAGCTGATCCCATGCTGAAGGACATCAGATGCTCGAGGCTCTGGATTTTGTCGCCAGATGCTCCCCTGTCCCGCAGCTTTCGAAACCCATTCAGGACAGCGTGGTACCAAGGCTTCGGGGCGACCATTCCAGCGCCGCAGTAGACTAGCCTTGAGAGGAGACGGCTAAATTTCTTATATACATCCTCGTCGAGCTTCTAAAAAGAAGCAGACTCGCTCCCGGACCATTGACTAAAGGATCAGAGCGAACCAGGGCCTGCATTGGGCATTAGGCAGGGACGGCCGGGATCTGGTGCGGAGATCGTTGGCAAAGAGTACAACCTTTGCGCATCCTGCACCCAGCTCTGGATCCACGAAGCTCCGACTTCAAGTTTGCCCAACTCTCCCTCTCACTCCAGGTCCGAGCGCGACGGCGGACAAAGCTTGTTGTGCCGCGGCAATGAAAGATCTGTCCTGGCATGTCTTTCCACCATCCAAAGGTGTTTAGAAGGGACAGCGGATGACTCTGAGATCACTGACTCATGAGTATGGAGACCTGAACTTGGCCTGAACTTCCAGTCGAGAAAGCGCATCTCCTCACGTGATTAGCATACAGCGATGACATCCATCGAACCCGGTATATTTATATGTACATGCAAGATTACAAGGGATAGATCAGCCCATCCTTTGCATCCCGGGCCTGTACGATCTCACGCTGGCATGCGGAGACCCAGGCCCAGCCAGCCCGCGATTGGCCGCCGTATTCATGGCGGTATTCATGGCCGTGACCTGGGCCAGCTCATCTTCGTCCTCTTCAGGAATCAGCGAAGGCGGCCCTGGTGTCTGGAACCTCGACGATCCACCGGCAGTGGACGACGACGCGCGCGAATTGGCCCGCTTCTTCTGTTTCCGACTGAGATTTGTCGTGGCTGTGGCTGCAGACGACGAGGTCACGGACGACGGCGGGAGAGGATATCCTGAGGCCGAAGCCAGCGACTGTCGCGGAGTGGCCGATCCGACTGATTCCACCACGAACGAGGCTGGATGTGAAGGCTGTGGTGCCACTGGTGCATTGCTGCCTCCAAACGGGAATTGTGCTCCCGTCGTCCATGGCGATGCCGTGCTGTTCATATTCCGACTCTGCGGCCGTTCAATTTCGAATCCGTTGGCAGGAGCAGAAGTTCCCCAGCCAGAGCCAGAACCAGCAGCGCCCGGAGGATTCGCACTCGCTTGCCGGCTTTGCGGTCGCTCGATCTCAAACGTAGCCTGTCCAGGTCCCCATGCACCGCTTGGACCCAGCGACCCTGCTGCGCCAGTGGATCCCCACGGAGATGAAGCTGGAACATTGGCGTTCCTGCTCTGCGGACGTTCAATCTGGAAACCAGATTCCACTTGGAATCCGGCAGGCCCCAGGTGTGCTGGGGCTGTGTTCCCAGCAGGAGCACCTCCTCCACCTGGGGCTGGGACTGGCAACGGCCCTGATGAAGCGTTACCGATCATGCCACCCATCATCCGATTCCGGCTCGGAGGTCGTTCGGGTATGACATTCGCGCCAATGACAGAGGGCGTGGTCCACTGCGCCGCCTGTTGCGTCACAACCGTCGGCGGTGTCATCGACATGGGCTGGAACCCGGGCGGATACCTCACACCCTGCGCAAAGACTGGCAGCGGACTCATACTCGGCATTATCTCTCTCTCATCACCCGAATCAGACTCATCATCCTCCGTATCCGAGTCGCTCTCCTCGTTCTCTTCAGGAACAACAGGCTCGTTGGGCGACAGAAACCCTGGCCTCGTCGTCGCCGAGTTCGGGTTGCTAGCAGAGGACGGCCGAGACTAGATGATGCGAAAGTAAGTTGACGACCCTGAGATGAAAAAAGGTAGATACCGGAGGCTCGATCGTGATATGAACCGAGCTCCCACTCGATGACCGGTGCAGATTGGAACTCAACGTCGGCCGGGTGGGATTCGCGTCAGCGTAAATCCCTTGCGGAGTCGAACGGCCGCGAGTCGAAGCGGAATGAGGACTCAGCAGCGCAGAGGGCGTCAAAGACCGTGCCTAAACATAAGAGCGAGAGCGAGAAAACGGACGATCGACGCACCCTATCCATGTCCACACTCATGCTCGTACTCCGTCTCCATTCTTCAACACGCCCGCTTCTGTTGGCTGACGCCGCCGGCGACGGCGACTCCGAGTGCTCCACAATCGGACTCAAGTGGCTTCCGTTCGGGGCGGCATTGTCGATAGGAAATGAGCGCAAACCCAACGTTCCCATGGACGTGCCTGTCGCCACTGAAGCCGAAGTCGCACTCGAAGGTGTCCGCGTTTCACGTCGATCTGGCATGGGCTCAACTTGGAAAGAGCCTGGAATCGGCTGATGGGCGACCGGCTGCTGAGGAATGGGCTGCTGATAAGGAATCTCGACGCGGATCGGAGGTGCAGGCATTGGGATAATAACCTGAGGCGCGGGATGCTGGATTGGCGGTGCAGGCATTGGCACAAACGGAACCTGTGTCTGCGGTGCTGGTCGCTGCGGCTGCTGCTGCTGCACCGTAATCGGAGGCGGAGGCATCGGGATGATGGGCACATTTGAGTTCCCGGCCGGCATCGCCCGCGAGGAGAATGGTATCGCCCTTGACACAGCAGGCCCCGCTATCAATGCATCTACAGGAACTGTTCCTCTGCCTGGTGCCAATCCGAATCCTCGCTCCGAGTCCAATGTAAACATCGATCCGTTGATCGATCCGCGGGGTCGGGTGCTTGCGACAGAGGGTGGCCGGTTTCCAGTGACCGTGAAAGGAGGAGGGGCAGCTGTGCTGGCCCGAGACGCGGGTCGAACGCCAGCGCTTATGCTGCCTCGTCTGCCCGGGATGCTGCCCACATTGATTCCAGACGCTGATGCAGCTCGAGTATGAGCGCTTGGTGCCGGAGGAGGTCCAGAGGGAACTCCGGACTCGACTACCAGCGGTGGCGCACCACGAGAAGCGGGACGTCCGCTATCAACACTGAAACGCCTTTGCACGGGTGCCTGACCCCTCGTTGTTCCTCGTGAGCTGGCAACAGATGGTGCACGATGGATTGGAGGGAGTGCTGGTTCTGGAACAGGCATGATGACCGGCTCGGGCATTTGAACTGCAGCACCGAGCTCCAGAGAATCCCTCGCTCGTTGAGCGGGCACACTAGCTGTTTCCCCAGAAGTCGTTTGTTCCTCGGTGACGGTCCGGGACTGGGCTTGTGCTTGTGCTTGTGCTTGTGCTTGGGCGCGAGCGATCCTGTGTGCTTCCCTCTGGCGCTCTTTAGCTCTTCTTCTTTCTTCCGCGGCAATTTCTCTTTGCAGCAACCTCTCTCTCTCCTCGTTCTCTCGTTGGACTCGTTCCACCTCCCTTCGTCGACTATCCTCTCGCTCTCTCCTTTTTCTCTCCTCCTCGGCCTTGAGCGCGTCAGCTATTCTCTTCCCTCGACCAAAACCCACATCCCAGCCTTCTCGTTCCCCCTGCTCCTTCGCAGCTCGAACGACCATCTGCATGCGCATCTTTCTAGCCGCACTTCTGGCATCTGCAGCTTCTCTCTCCGCATCGTCCCTTTCCTGCTTCACCATATGCATCGTCTGTTTCGTTCTTTCTATCTCTGCTTGAGCCGCTTCCAGCTGCATCCGCGCAATCGCGAGCTCCGAGTGCAGCTGCGCAGAGGCTTCCTGCGCCCGGGACGATGTATCCAGCGCGTCCATCGCGCGGTCCAGCGACAGAGACTCTAGCGCGCGCCGCTGGGCTTCGGAATCTGCGAGCTGGCGCGCGGAGTCCGACAGCTGTTGCATGGCATTGTCGAGCAGGCTCTGCGGTTGCGCCTCCGTGCCTGCGGAGAGAATGGAGTCGCGCTGATGCGGGCGACGCGTGCTGAGCAGCGCCAGAACTTCTGCCGCGCTCGGGAGCTTCGACTCGTGGTCGTGGTGCTTCTTCGACTTGTGCTTGTGCTTGTGCCTCTCTTTGCGTGGCCGTGGGGTGGGTTCTGGAGCAGCCGTGAACGCGCCTGCATCTTTCGGAGGAGGGGCAGGTGGTGCATCGTGCACTATGTGATTTAGATTTGGATTTAAGGCGTCGGCCTGCGTCTGCTTGAACGACAGGTGTGGTGGGTACGGGAGTTCGGTGGGCTTGTAGTAGAGCGACGGTCGGTTCTGGCCTTGCCCTTGCGCAGCTTTGAAGGTCTCAAACCGAGTACTTTCGAAGTTGATTCACTGGAAGCAGGAGACACATTGTAGAGCAAGCGAACGTACTCCTCGTACTCTCCTTCCTCACTGGAGAATACTGGCGACTCAGAGCCTTGACGCATCACGAATGCCGGCGGGAACTTTGCTGCCATCTTATTCCTCCTTATTCTTTTTGGTATTCTTCTGAGTAGGGCTTCAGTTGCGGTCGGGAGGAAAAGAGGCCGGTAACGAGAATCGGTCCGTGTGCGGAGCACAAGAGCTGTTCAACATGGTTTCGCGGTGGCACTGCAGCTGTCAGATGTCATCGATCGCTTTCTCTGTGGCAGTTCTCCAATAATGCATCGTGACCACATGCGTAAGACTTGCGACCTTCAAGCGAGCCTTCTTGAACCGAATCGAGGGGTTTTGGCACCTGAAATACTGGCCCATTATGCTCAGCCTGTGTCCGCGATATCCTCTGACGTCACTAAGCTTGCAAACACGAGGCTACCCCAACGAGTCAGACGTCGAGATCGGGCGCGTCACAGGCAAGTTGGGCAACGCTATTGGCCACCAAATCTGGCCTCGGCAGATAATATGTGTATCGAAGTACGTACTGGGTAATGCCGGCCAATATGATCCAAGCCACGGGGAGGAGGAAAGAAAGACCAGGTAGCTACCAGGTATACACCAGATATAATGATTATAATACACACACCAGTTGCAGTCCGCTCTATCTATTCGGAATTAGAATTACGTGGCATCAACCCCAGCTCCATCTCGTCGGTCTCCTCATCAGCTTCCACAACGACCACTTTCAGACCCTCCGCCATCTCACGCCTTACACAAAGTTGCTCTGCGACAATGATCATAATGGCGGCACCGGCGAACATGATTGACCAGAAGAAGAGCGAGGTGGGGATGGATGCAGAGTAGTACGTCGTTAGCACGAGATGGTTGAAGACGAGCGTCAGCGCGAAGTCGAGGATGAGGCGCGGTCGGCGGATGAGAGCATACAGATACCATATACTGAGAACCAAACCACCGAACATCAGCGGCGGGTTGCGATCAGGGGCACCGTAACCGACCGCACTCACTCTGCGGAACACGCCAAGAGCCAGCAAAACGCGATGACCCACCCCCGCATCGGATCCGTGCGCCCGTCCCACTGATCTTCGCGCAGCCCGAACCCAATCTTGCGCCCCCCGCTCCACGCGCTCGTGTACGCGTTCCAGCGTTCCTCGCCCTGCATCCCGCGCACCGTCGGCTGCCCCGCCATCTCCCGCCAGTCCATGACCATGCCTGTGCGCGACGCGTCTCAGAGCGGAAGAAGCGGAACTGAGCACGGGAAGACGAACCGACGTTGGCAGCCCCGCCCTCGTAGTGCAGAGACGACGGCTCGGCGAAGATGGCCAGCAGCAGGGGGACACATAGCGATAGTGTCAGGTAGTGCAGGCTTTGCATCGACACTATCTGACGATTGTTGATGAATTTGCGGCGGAGGCAATGATTTCATACCTGAGATATTAGCAGGAACGGGTCCCAGTTGGAGTGAGTCGTCTTCGACATGAGCACGGTGTTGGACCGCGGTAGAGAGCTGTGAGCGACAGCAGTTGGTGACCGAGCCGATCACGATTTCCGATCAATATACAAACAGGCGTCAAGTTCAATTGTTCTACATATGGGACGGCACATATTCGAAGTACGACATCAGGACCGGGTATAACGATAGAATAGTCCACAATTCATTCAATAATTCTCTAGTCATCGTATCCACCCTAAAAGTGATCCTCTGCGAGCTGACTCTCCGCCGGGCGTTCGATTAGTATGCTCTGGACATCTACCGTCCGATACTTCTGCTACAGTGTATAGCTGCGGGAGAATGAGATAAAAACGCTCTCCAGGAAAACCACATCGTCTACTGACCGAAAATCAGTCTCGCCAAGTCTCCTCCGATTCAAACGCTCGTAGGTGACCATTGCTATGATAGACATGACGAAACACAGTCCAAAAGAACTGAGGGCGACAGCTAGGAGAGCGCAGAGCGTCAATTGAACAGTTTTATAAGACAGTCACAGATAGACAGTCTCACCGTGTCCTAGTCTGAATTTCGGTGCATCCTGAGTCCGATAGACGAACGATGCACAAATTCTAAACACACACACACAATCACATATTAGCAGCGAACCAAGGAGCGAGGCAACCGCGCCAAAAAAGCACACCCACCCTCCGAGGTTGCCGGCCATCCCAACAAGCCCGAACAGCACCGCTTTATTCAGCGACCCTGGGGCATTGTTCCCGCCCCACGCTATCGCGATCGGGATGGGCGGGAAGAGCCCCACCGCGACGGCGATGCAGCCGATGTAGCCGATCACGGCCCCGCGCCTCGTCGCAGGGTCCGTGCAGATCAGGAGCACGTAGCCGAAGATCCCGACGAGGCTGGAGCCGACGAGAAAGGGCCCGCGGAGGCGCACGCGATCTGAGAGCGCGCTCAGGGGGATCGTGATGGCGCATGCGGCAGCGTAGGGGGGGATCGTGAGGCTGACGGGGATGGCTTATCAAGCAGATGACCAAGAGAATGAATAGACTGCGCACAGCTGGGCATGAGTAGACGAGAATCCCAAAGAGGAGATGATCGTCCTAAGGGCAAATGAGTGACCATTCCCGGATTGGTTCCACGCCGTCGAGGGACTCACGGCAAGAACAAGGTAAACGAATACAGCGGAATCAGCAGACTTTGCGCGTGCATGAGCTTGTCCGTCTATCGACCAGCGTCGTAAGAGTTCACACACCCAACATAAAGCACTGCCTGCATCCAGCTCAGCGGGTCGAACACCGTCTGCCACACGAAGCGCATCTCAAAATGCGAGGGCTGTCCTCCAGCATCGCGCTTCAGTGCTTCAATCACTGTGCTTTTTTCCGAGGAAGACAGAAATTTGGCATCCGACGGGCTCTACCGGAGGATGTCTGACATATTAGTCCATGGTCGTGGCATATGGCACTCACATCATACATCGCCCAGAATGCGAAGCATGAGACGAGGACAGTGACTGGAAGAGAATGGGACACGTTTCGTGGGTTGTGCATGCAACAACACCTACGCAATCCTTCGAGAAGGAACTGTAAATTCGATGAGAACGAATACCCCGCCGCGACGGAGAATGCGACTTGCAATCCAAGACCAGCCATGAAGCCCGCCGATTCTCATTTATTATATCAGCAATTTTCAGAACCACGCGCCCGTACGAGGACTCACCCGTTCATTTTCTCAATACAGAACGCCAACAGTCCACCGAATGCACCTGCCAAGGTCGCGGCGCTGAAGTAGCTCGCGATCCCACGGGCCTGTTGGTCGCGGCAGTACCAGCAAGTCACGTAAAAAGCTGCCCAAGTACCGGGTCAGCCCCGGAACATCCTGAGCCATAGCTCTAAGATTTAGTTAAATGAGCCATGGCTCTTACCATAGAAATCCCATCCTAACGTATGGTAGTTGCCATGCACGGTGGCTATGCATACCTCCCACAGCCATAGCGTGGCGGCATGCTCGGCGCTGTTGCTGATACTGATAGTGATGAGTGATGAGTGATTGCAGGCGATGGACGGTGGGATCTAGGGGGCGGGATCGTCAAGCTGTCATCAATGTACTTATCTATAGCGCATCATCATCTGGCCTGTTGTCGGCAGTCCCCGGGACATCAGGGCGCCTTCCATCAGCCCATCAAATCGCCCGTAGCGTCGGGATACCCATCGGCGCTCCGCATCACCTCCCGCCGAGCACGCGCTTCGCCGCTTCTGCACGTGCACCTTCGGGATCGCCGCATCAGATGAGGGTGCTCCGCATCACTCCGCTTCTGCACGTGCGCCGTCGGGATCGCCGCATCAGATGAGGGTGCTCCGCATCACTCCACTTCTGCACGTGCGCCGTCGGGATCGCCGCATTGCGCCGCGCGTGCTCCGCATCACTCCGCTTTTGCACGTGCGCCGTCGGGATCGCCGCATTGCGCCGCGCGACGTTGGGACCGCCGAATCAGCTCGGGATCCTCGCAGGCTCGAGATAGGAATCATTCTGCATATACAACGTTGTCAGATTATATCTAATGATTGTCTGTGCATATCTAGCGTCCCTACCAAGCACCCTTTTTCTTCCAGAGCTCGTAGTACGTAGCCAGACCCTCAAGCATCCACCCCACATCCTGCACTGCCTCCTCCCACGAGGCTCGCTGCGATGCTGTTCCAGTCTCGCGCAACTGTATACCCCACATGTACAACGCCCCCAGAAGGCTCTGTGTGCCGTTGGGACCCCATATATATAGTGGGCCCCACTCGCGTCCGTCTCCTCCATATGTCACGCGGGACCACCCCGCACCAGCCACCGTGTCCTTGACACGCCATTCTGGCTGTAACGACGACCACCACCTGTCCCACTGCATCGCATACGCGTCGATATTCGGCAGCCGTGGGATCTTGTTCCGCTTCCCCCGAATCCAGGTGGTAACAGCGGCGGGACGGTGCTCGGTGGCAAGACCAGCATCACTAGCGGCGTATCGCGATGCTTCCTCGACCCGCGTCCACGCTGCTATCACACTGTCAAAATTGACGCCGAGGTCTACGGTTATGAAACGCTTGTGAGCATCCTGGAACCACACGGCAGCTTTCACGGGACAACGAGGACGTGGACGTGTAACAACAGCGTCATTAGCGCCAGCAATGGCTGTAGCCTTGTCAACGTTGGTGTCGGCATTGGGATCGGGGTCGTCGTCGCCCGTGGTCTCGGCAGCGACAGGGACCCCCGCACCAGGACTGGCGTTCTCCGAAACGTCGGGAAGGGCGGGAGCGGGTACATCGTCCGTATCGGGTTCGGGAGTGGGCACATTGTCTGCGTCGGGAAGGGCGGGAGCGGGTACATCGTCCGTATCAGGTTCGGGAGTGGGCACATCGTCTGTATCGGGTTCATGAGCGGGTACATCGTCCGCATCAGAGATATCAATTTCCATGACGTCACCCTCTCCACACTGCGACCCAGAACGTCCGGCACCTCCAGCAGGCACTTCGACACCTCCAGTCTGGAATCGCGACGAGCGTCTGCGTTTCTCTGGTGGAAGCGGAGTCTGCTTCTCCGATGCCTTCCTCTTCACAACCTTGGCCTTGTTGACGTCCCCCGCCATTGCCCTCGCCGTTGCTTGATTGAGATCTAATGCATCTCTCAAGGCTGCGTTGCGAGCCGCCAGTCGTTGTCGTTGTTGATTGTATGTCAACTTTTCGTAGGGAAGGTGCGCCCACGGATCCGCATACGTGATTGGGCCCATCGGGCTGTCATATGTGATGGTCGTCGGGCTGGGCGCACGTGATGATACTGGCGACGGCGAGCGAGAGTTGGCCGGAGATGGCGCGGACAACGATGAGGGGGATGTTGCATGGGACCCAGCACCCGGAGACGGTGGAGGTGCTGGAGCGGTCGAAGGCGTAGCAGGGCTGGAGGATGGGGCGGGGGGAGTGGGGGAGGATGTGGGCAGTGTGAGCTCGGTTTGGGTACTGGCAGAGCTGCTCGCAGCGTTCGTCGTTGTCTTCGGCTTGGGTTGGAGCATATGCTTCTTAACCGACTTCCCCGCCTTCTGCTTTGTTGTGCTCGATCCCTTGCCACTCTTCTCCTTCGCATAACGTGCTTTCTTCTTCTTCACCGCGTTTGCGAGGGCCACCGCGTCCATATCCGAATCTGAATCCGTCGAATTGACATCCTCGTCGTCGTCGTCGTCGTCGGAAGAGGGACCATCATCGCCACGAGGTTTTTCTTTGGGCATTGTATACAGGTCACCCTGGTGGATCAGGGTGTCCAGAACGTGTTGCGGAAGTGCTGCAGCTGCGGTGTCCTCTGCCGCTGATGAGGCATCAGTATCACAATCAACGACTATTCAGGGAGGGACATACTGTACACCGTGTGGAGATACTCAATGAAGAATTTGCGCACGTTCTGCGTGAATCGCTCCTCATCCCACTCAGCCCATGACACTGGGACAGCGTCATTGTTTTCGCCGTATGAGATACTGTGAGCGTATTAGCTTTCCGCGGCATGCTGCAAACTGTAGGACGTACATGTGTGTGCGGATCTCGCCGCCAAACTCAGGTGTGGGTCCCCCGCAAATGAGATGCGCTTGAAGCCCAGTTCGTTTGTGGATACCCTCCAAGATAGGATTCACGACGCTGCGAATGGCCCGGATGGCGCTGCAAATGAATCAGCTTCGGTTGTTGTGCAATTTCGGACCAGAATACTCACTTGTGAACGTCCAATGGCTCTCGAGATGGCTCGGCCTTCAGCCCATCCAGATACTCCTGCTTCTTCATCTCTGCCTCCGCCGTCGCCCGTTGCTTTAGACCCTCCCGTTCTTCCTCTGTCAATCCCGCAAAAAGCTCTCGTGCAACGCCTGCACGAAAGCCAGCTCGGTAGGGGGCACCCGAGGGCAGCTCTGCACGACGGACAGCAACCACTGGCGCAATCTTATCTGCCCACGATTCCCGTTGGAATTGCTGAAAAGGCTGCCGTGCTCTGGGCGCGCGGGTCAGCCCGGAGAGCTTGCCAAGCAGGATGGCAAAAGGATTCTTGCGGGGATCGAGGATGTTCTCCCGATTCTTCTTGAGCGTACATCTGATACGGTACGCATACCATCGGGTTATACGCTGTCGGATGATGGTGAGCAGACGATGATGACGCGGTCACATGTGTGACTCACAGCATTGGACACGGCAATGAAACGACGCTTTTCCTTCTCCTCCTCCTCCGTCAGGTTTTCAAACGGAGCTGGAGCCTTTGGGTCATAGTCATGCACAACGTCGGGCTCCACGTGGTCTGGGGTGCTCCAAGGGATACGTGCATGATACTCATTGCACGCCGCCTGGATAGCAGCCCTTTCTTGCGCCCATGTTCCTCCAAGCCTCGCCTCCGAAACACGATTGAGATGCTTTCGGAGGATTTCTTCTCGTACACCCTCAGCCCAGAGCCGCAAGTTGCCACGCTCCTTCTTCGTGCTTTTCCGCTTCTTGCTAGATGTGGTTACAATGACCATGGTAGATCCTAAACACAATGAGCCTGTGGAAGCAAGTACGCATCTCATGGCGGGCTCACAGAAACTGGATTACTGCTCTTTGTCGGACGGAGTGATAGTGATGCTCGACCTGGGTCTGTTTTTCTTCGCTTCGCTCGCACGGGTGAATCTCGTCCGATCACAGGTGCGCCTTGGCCCCTGTTATCCGTGCCTATCCCGGGTCTGTCCAGTCTGCTGGTCCAGTGATATCCCCGGTCACGAAAACACAAGCGGCCAGATAAGGGCTCAACGATTGTTCTCCCGTCTTCCCACCCTCTTTTGCCACCCCGACTTTTTTTTCTCCCTCCCTACCATGGCAGACCTCAATCACGTCGCTGGGACACCGGACAGTGTCCCCGCAACTGCTGACGGCAATATCGTCTCTCCTCCCTCCTCACAATCCAATCTGATCCAACCTCCCTAGACCTTGCGATCACCACTCTCCTCCACATCATCGATGCACTCACCGCCCAAGTTCAGCAATGTAAGCGACGGTTTATTACGCGTACAGCGTGCTAATCAAGTTCCCTAGTGAAAAATCCTCTGGCTTCCGGACCCGTCGCGCTCGCTCCGACGACTTTGACCGGTCAATCCCCTGTTGCTGTCATCTCCCCTGGTCTTACTCCAACAACAGCTCTTTCTGCCCGTCCTGCTCTCCCGGTCGTTCCCGCCGGCATTCAAACTCAGGGACCTTGGGTTGTTGGTACAATGTACAACGTTGTGCCAACAGAACCGCTCGTTGCGATGCCGGCGGCGCAGTCCGCTTTGTTTTCCCCCGAGACCATTTGGTACGCCGTTACGCGTGGGCACTATGTTGGTATCACTACCACCAATGCGGTTGCCGTGGCCGCAGTTACCGGTGCCAGTCGCAGCAGTATGGGCGGTCATCCCAGCGAAGCGATGGCGATCGCAGCGTTCAATCAGACCTTGGCGTTGAACATGGTGTCCATTGTGTGATCTAGTGCGTCCACCATTCTTGCCGTAGCTGATGTTCTGACTGTTTCCATTGCTCGCTCTTAGTAGTTCTGTCGTGTACTCCTCTTGTCTCTCCCTGATGTATCAATGCTCTCGCTCTTTCTCTGTTGATTCGGTTCTCCTGATCAAGATCGACAATCGCCATGCGCATGTAATAGACATCACTCTTCCGATTGGATGCTCCTGATTAACATCGACAATCGCCATGCGCATTTGACAGAGATCAACACCTTCCCATCAAGGGATCTATCCACTCACGCGCATACATGATGTTCGGTTGCAGGAATCATTGGTCCACTTCTTGTCTTCTGACCACCATGGACGACGACAAGCGATTGCTCCAACTGCTGGGTCGGCTCTCTCTGCATCCCACACCCGTCTTGCCTCCTACCTTGCCTCGATCGGAGTCACCGGTCCCGCATTCATCCAGTTATAGTTCTCCCCCTGCTCTCGTGCAGAGAACCGTTGAACGCCGCCCAGTATATCAATATCAAACCCCCGGTTTTGCCGGGCTTACGAATGACTGGTAAGCGGCGGCCTCAGCTGCACTAGAGCTATCGTTGATATATGTGGCAGGTCTGTCGCTGGAGCTTTGACGCAGGACGTTCCCGGTTCACGTGCATACTCTGTATCGCCAAGGAAAAAAAACAGGCGTCCTCGTCCTGCCGCCTACGTTGTTTTTGTAGGGCGAGAGCCTGGAGTCTGTGATTCTTGGTGTGTCTCGAACTCGTCTACTGGCAGACAATGATGACATGTTCATTCAGGGACCAATGCAATGAGAAAATGCTGGGATACCCATGCGCTTTATATCGCGGATATACATCCCGCGCGGATGCTGATGCCGCTTTCCTCTACGCCCAGCAGCGCGGTTGGACGTCTTCACCTGATGCAGACGTCTTTCGCTATGTTCCACCTATTCCAGTGACCGACGACGACTACGAGACTTACAATCCCCTGAGTGGCAATGAATCGGCAAACGATCAACTATGGTATGTTGTGTATCGTGGTCTAAGGCCAGGTGTCTATCGATCATCACTCGAGAGTCAGCTGAATGTGGTCGGCGTGCCTGGCCAGCTTTTTGAGAGCGTTGAGGGCGAAGATGCCGCCAGGGCCAAGTTTGCGGATGCCCAGCGAAAGGGTGTTGTAAAGATTCTTACTGTGTAGCTCCTAATGTATACTACTTGATTAACGAAGACAATGCTCTTTGACTTTGATTAACAAAGACTAGACCATCAGAAATCCGAGCCTGTGTGTACTGCCACAGCTGTCAATGTGTAACGTTCGGATGCCCGGAGCGGGGATTCATGTCGGCATTTCCCAATGCGGCACTCTCACTCTGCAATCCAAATTGCCGCTGGATCTCATGAGCCTACCACTCGATGGTCACGGGCGCTTGCACACATGTAGATTGGGGTAATTACGTCCTGATTACAAAATATTCAAGCAAGAGGTGAACGAGACGTTCTGATTAAAGGTGTGTCTCTCTCAGTCACTACGCAAATGGGTCTTAAGGTAAGCAGCCAATGATTTCTCGCACTCACGTCTGCTTCCTCTGATACCAAAACAACATATTGTGCATTAGCTTACCTTTCTATTCCTCCCTGCGCTTGGCTTGAATCGTCTCCTGTCACGTCTAGGATGGCATCCATTCTCGGTCCCAGTTTCGTCGACATGTAAACTTAATCACGCATTCAATGTATAATGTTGCCATTACAGGCCTCAGAAAGTCACCCATCCTCAGCGGCCTCAACATGCGAATCAGTGGCCGGAATCTTAAGATTGCTGCGAGAAGAAGTGTTTCACACTATCGAATTCACGATCCGCATAGGGAGCTATGACCGTTAAACAAAACATTTACGACCCCAAAAATGTTTCACTTTCATGTGCCAATCTTTTTTGTCAAAACTGTTCTAATACATTCAAAAGGGCACTATGCAAGGTTTGGCAGTCCGATATGCAGTTTTGCAGCGTAGGGAGACCAAATGGTTCCTTGCGAGCACATCGAACCCATTTTGGGAGCCCATGTGACAATGTGTGACACTCACCTCTTCTCCCTACCACCACAATGCCCACGGCCGCCCCACTCGCACGATCTGCGCGACGACCTGCTGAACCCTTTTTACATGGGATATACTGCTGGCGGTACCGAGCGAAGTGCGTCTTCTCTACGCCGCTCCTTTCACCCCAGCCCATAGTGGTCAGGAACAGCGAGTATCTCCGTCGCAAGTCTCGTGAAGCCATGAGGCTCTTGTACCATGGTGTTGGTGTGGACCCCACTGAGCACGAGGCACGCCAGCAACGTCGAAAGGAGGCTGCAGCCAAGTATCGGGAACTGTAAGGAGGCGTGCTCGAGAGCCACACACCATTCTGATATGTTGCCAGGAACCGGCGCACGCTCAAGCTTAAAGCTCGAGAGAGACGTCGAGCCGCTTCCAGCACCAAGTAGTCTACTGTGTAATCTGTGATTCTCCTTTCGAGCGATGATGTGCTTGTCCTGATTCGGGATCTGTGATCCAGAGTGATATTGATTGACGTTGCTATGGGTGACGTGTGGCCCTTTTACGTCCGTCTCTCGTGCATTGGTTCACGCTGTCTCATGCATTCTCCTTTTGAATTGAAAACGCTAGACCCGACATGGATTGGCGAGCAAAGGGAGAGGAATCGACAGCGAATGGCACAGTAATATTGTTTCCGACTGCCATACTCAGGCACTGATGTTGATCGCCCAGACGACGGTCGGAATTGGATTTGGGCCCCGCTGCAGAGAGAGAGGCGTTCAGTGCGCGTGCCCGCCAGAATCATGCGAAGTACCGAGAGCGTCACCGACACCACCTTAGAATTCAGGAGGTGCAGCGGCGAAATTGGTGCGTGGCCTTCCTGAGGTAGAGACTTCAATTCAGTTCGATCAGGCGTTACTACTTCAAGTTCGGTGCCGAGGCGTTCGCGCAATATGTGGCAAGCAAAAAGATTCGCCGGGCGCGGGACCGGGAGAGAAGTATGACGCAACTGAGAGCACAAGGAATCACGGATGTACTGCTCGAAGATGACCCCCGAGAGTATGAGATCCTCTGCCCAGCCAAGCTCCGACACGATTCTGTTCATTAGGCAACTATGTAAACATCTCCATACTTCTGAAATTGGCTGAACGCATGAACCGCACGACCTTGCTCCATGTCCACAATGTCATCCCCATCCGCTCGGAAACGAGCGGCAGACCGCTCAGTCCATTCACCGGGAATCCGGGCCAGTGCCTGCTCATCGAGGAGTGCACGCTGAATCCATCTTGCGATGCCAGCATGAAAGTATTGACAGATCAACCAGCGCCTTGCTCCGGCAGGCATGGGAAAGAACCGATAGGTCATGCCAGCACCGAGCACGAGCGCCGTGGTTCCCGGCGGAAACTCGATATTCACTCCGTTGTCGGCCAGGTGCAGATGTCCGTGCATCTTCCCGTTGTAGTCGCCCACAGCCGTCACCGCCATGAGGGTGTTGAAGGCGGCGTGTTGGGGGAGGCACGCCTTACGGATCTCGCCCGTGGTAAAGATGGAGCCTCTGAACACTGGCTCGATGATTTCTCGGGACAAGATCGCGTCCATCCAGGTCCGAAGCTGGAGGTACGCCTTGGGGAAGTAGGTCTTGAGAAGATCTGTTTACTCAGTCTCCCGTTGCAAAGATTGACTAAAGCACATACGGTTCTGATAAGCCGCAACATGCTCCAAGGATCCGACATTGAGCACGGTCCATGTCCACACGCTGTCCGCCTCTTCAGGCTCAATACGGATGCTGCGAGGTGCCTGTGATGCCAAAGCTGAGTGCGTAGCTCTAGAACCATGAACGGACTCACTTGACTAGGCTCACAGTACTCGGCACCAAATTGAAATCTAATATCTGCGCAGTCAACCACCTTGCGAGGGACCTTTCCCGAATAGAAGAAATCCCTCAACGAGTGCAAGAGACCGTGAGTTTGTGCCTGCCACTTCATGGCCTCATGCCTTGGACTGTGTGCAATGATGGCACTAACATAGTCGGAGCCGTCTAGAAAGGGTACAACAGTGTGCCTGGGACACAATCAGCTGCAGCTAGGACCGGACAGCAGACAACGTACGCGGCGAGAGCAATCGTTCTCATCTGGGACGCCTGACGCGTCTGGTAACTGCCGTCAAGGAAGTGGCTCCAGTCGGACACGAAGACCTCGACCGGATTGAGAAGCATCTGCAAGATGGTTAATGACCGGGATTAACCCAGTAAACGTGCTGACCGTCTCCGCGTCGATTTTGAGCTGGGTGGGGCCACGGTCGTGAAGCGGTCTAGGAAGGATACGGTCTGCCCGTTGCTCTTGCAGCTCCACTTGACGAGCTTGGAGGTGCAGAACCTGCCGCAAAAAGTACGGGCGAGTTTCTCTGCGGTGAGGAGCAGAGAGGGGAACACAACGGAAGCGATTCCACTTGCTGAACAACGAGCGCCCGCGACGTGGGCGAGGCCTTGCTAGGGGGAAGGTGCGCAGATTCTTCATGCGCATGATGGAGGAAAAGAAGTGGCCGGAGAAATTGGTCCGCTCAAGGGCTGATCCAGGTCCCAAGGAGAGGATGAAACTGTGAGTAGCTATCATGATTCTAGATTGATATCAAGTCAGTGTGGCGATTTCACCGCGTGTCAATTTCAGCATGTGGCAATTGTGCGATTGTATAACGATACGCGAATATGGACAATTTGATCCCCAAATACACATTTGCTGGCGCCAATGTCCCTACCTCGTCGAGCACCCGGGCGTCCGGCTAGAGGGAAACCCGGCTTCAACAGACCCAGTGTCCAGAGGGTGTCAGAGCCGTGGAGCGCAGACACGGCGGTTTATATATCGTCGCGGACCGGGGAGCAAAGGTCAGAAGTCGTGAACATCAGCAGAAAACGCAAACGCGTAGAGGAGCCACATAACTTGCACCAGGATCCTGCGCGCCAATCATGGATTCCAGATCAGCCCGACTACGCCCATGATGATTCTGTCGAGTCATTCAATGACACTGGTTTGGACGCGGTAGATGACGCAGAGACGGACGTGGAGGAGGAGGAGGAAACCAATACTGAGACCCAGAAGACAGGCCGCAAGATCTACAAGAGCACGGTGAGTTGTACCAAAGCAAGGAAAGCGCCAAACTGACTGGGATCCTGAGTCCGATCCCATGTCCCTATGGCGACCACGAATGTCATTCTTCCTGGATGAGCTCCTGCGCCACGAAGGACTAGCAGACTCGTTGGACAACACACAATGCAGCGTCTGTAAGGTGGGACTGGAGAGCCGATCGGCATCCGGATGTGACAAGACGGAGGTCGTTACAGCAGCACGCAGAGCTGGCAAGGAAGAAGATGAGGGGGAGGAGAGCAAAACGCGGAATGCACCCCAGGACGAGCTGAAGCACGGCATTTTCAAGTGCCTGCACTGTGGGGTGTTCCTACAGTGCAAGGAGTGTCTCTTGGCCCGGCATGCGACCACTCCGCTCCACGTAATCAAGGTGCATCGAAGTCCTGTTGGCGTGTTAACAGCTGACCGGAGTGCAGGAGTGGAATGGAAGTTGGTGGCAGAAGACCTCACTGGCAGCATTGGGACTCGTATATCAGCTGGGCCACGGAGGGCTGCCATGCGTGTTTCCAGCGGGAAAGGTGCAGCGGCTGGTGGTCATACACGCGCCGCATGTCCACGAAATACAGATGCGGTATTGCAAGTGCGCCAAGTCCGACCACGCAGATAAGGTTCAGCAGTTATTACGAAATGGGTGGTATCCGGCTACGAACATCGACCCGGGCACTTGTGCGACATTCGAAACGCTCGAGTCATTCCGTCTGTATCAGACCATCAGTAACATGAACGCCAGGGATTTCATGACCTCGCTGGAGCAGATGACAGAGGCGAGCGCGAAGACCGGCATGAAGAAGACGGTGGTGCGTGAATGATCCTTCTGAATCGACCCAGTGGGTGACATCCCCCCCCCCCAGGACCGCTACAAGCAGCTTCTGAGGATGTCGCGTCAATGGGCGTTTCTACTGCGCTTGATGCGGGCGGGTCGGGGGCACGATCCGTGCGGGGTGGAGAGTACCAACCAGGGAGAATGTGCGGTCATCTGTTGGGCATGTCCTCATGAGGGTCGCAACCTGCCCAAAGACTGGAGGGATGTTCATCCATCGTTTCGGTGAGCGCGTGGGGTGCAAGCGGATGACAGAAATGTGCTGACCAGTCAAGATTTATCTTCATGCTGCTATTGGCGCTGGATGCCAATTTCAGACTGAAGAACAGGATCCGAGCAAATGAGATAGAGGACAAGTCTCTGGGTCCGGGATGGGGATACTGGGTCCCCCCTGACCCCTACGCGACCCACTTGAAGAACTACGTTAGCGAGGATGACGTGTGTACACATGTTTACCACCTACCTAATTGGGACTCATTCTTTTCGTCGACCAAGACCAGCACATGTATCGCGTTCGCGGCACTCCTCCAGAAGGACACTCGTCTCACTACTGGGCTCCGCATTTCAGGAGTTGGAGGATGTGTCTGCGCCCGCCATGAATGCATGCGGCCGAACGGAATCGGCGATTTGCAGAAGGGCGAGCGGTGCGTGAAAGGGCGCCGCCGTTATGATTCACACTCACTCCCCAGGCAGGTATGCGAACATGGACTTTATAGCATTCTCGGCACTTGCAGGCTTTGGTCTGCTGTGGCTCACGCTCTCGTACGATATCGGATGCCAGTGGAACAAGAACCTCGAGGATCGGATGAAGCGCCTGCCATCCGAGCTACATCTGCCGCTCAAGGATTTGGAGGTCCAATGTGGGCTTCCTGTATGGCATGCAGCATCCCACAACAGCGAGTGCCAGAACGCGAATAGCCTGTCTTTCAAGCCGGGTGTCGGGAAGACGGACGGGGAGGGGATCGAGCGAGTGTGGTCGACGCTGAATCCGACTGGATATGCGACAAGGACGTCATCGCTGGGATCGAGAGCGGATGTACTGGAGGAGAAGATAGACCATAACAACTTCATGAAGAACCTGGGACTGGGTAAGTTCTCGTCAAAGCTCAGACCGGCAATACTAAGTATGCAATAGCACAGACGCTGCCAGCACGATTGAAAGTTGCTGAAGCCGAGCGCAATATCCAAGTCCATGCATTTGAGGACATCAGCTTGACCGTACCAAAAAGCGTGAAGGAGGAATGGCTTGTGGGAATTGAGGCGTGGCTGCTCGACAACACCAAACCCAATCCATATGTGCTGGACACTGCTCGTACGTGCTTTGGCCCACTTTCCAACCGTGTCTGATCTCTCGGACTCAGACTGTATATCCGAGGGTCAGGTTAGGTTGGATGTACGCAAGGAGGAAGAACGTTTGATGGCCGAGGGACGTTTGCTGCTGAAAGGGCAGAGTGCTACATCTTTCCTGACGGCTGGAATACAGATAGAGGATGCACAGTACGTTGTATCTCTGTCATGAACGCGACGCATCGCTGATGCCGATACAGGCGTCGCATCCGCCTGGAGCTCGCCGGCACTGTGCTTGTTGCAACAGATCGAGCTAACCGGATTGAGGAGTGGAGACGTGCCACGCTCGTCAAGATTGAGCGCTTCAGGGAGCTGCAGGCGCTGTATATGCCGGCGGCGAGGGCCATCATACAAGCGTCGGAGTCGGGCGTGGCTCCTCAGGCCGAGAACATTAAACTGTGGATGCCCAGCGACATGCCTGCGTCACTGGGGGACAATCGAGGATGTGCTTTGGGGCTGGTAGGGATGGAAGTGCGTCTGAGGGTCGCGCAGTGCGAGAACAGTCTGGCGCAAGTCCGTGCCCGTCTGCATGCCAAGCGCCACCTCATCCTCTTTCGAAACACGAACGTCACGGGGCAGGTGAACTCCACGAAGGCGCGGACACTCATCGACGAGATTGGCGAGAAGGTCAACATCTCTGCTGCTAGGTACAGGGCGGGGCGGGCCGCTTTGGTGGCATGTGGTCGTATTTCGTCATTCGGGCATTTGCGCGAGCTGGCTCAGGGGGACCTGCAGATGGATGGTGTTGCTGTGGTGTCTGAGAATGACGCCGCCTCCAGCGATGCGTCGTCTGCCAAGAAGTTGGCAGCTTTTGGCACGGGCCGAGCTCCCCGACACGATTCTGGCTCCTCAAAGCGAACAATGTCCTGGATCTGGACGGCCCCCGGCGCTCTAGACAAGGCAGAGGAGCAGTTGCATGACTGTGAGTGAGTTTGCGCTCATGTGACTGGCTTCTCGTCTGATGCTGTCTAGCCATCCGGATTGAATGGGCTCGTGCCCGTGCTCGAAGAGATCGGTGGTCCGAGGAGGTCATCATGCTGAAGGAGGAGATGCGTCGGGTGTGCGCGTACTTACAGTGGCAGTCAGAGTGGTGGTCGAAGCGGCAAGCTCAGAGGGAGGATTGGGAGGGTGCTGTGGAGGCGGGAGCCAGGGCATATGCCCTGAAGCAGTCGGCATGGCATTTGGGTCTGCGTGAGTATCTTACGCGCAAATGGGGAGCACGTATCGGCGGGACCAGCTTCGACAAGGAGCGGCAGGTGTAGATATGATGTCATTGCAGAGATATGATAGTATGAGATGACATGATTTGATACGATATGAAGATAAGGTGAATCTGTGGAGATTAGATGGGTGATCCTAGCCCGATAGCGTTATCGGGGGTCGGGATGCCCGCCATCAGGCGCCATCACCACAGGATTGCGGTCAGGACAGTGCCAGTTGATGGGAAATCATCTTTCGTGGCGAGCCGAGTGCGCCGTGGTGATGGCAAAGATCACCGTCCGGAATGGGAAGGAGGTGGCAGTGGAATCAGTGATGTCCCGCCATAAGATACGAGGCAAACGCATGGCAAGAGCCATGGCATGGTAAGCACCATACGTTAGGATGGGATTTCTATGGTAAGAGCCATGGTCTTTAGCTAAATCCTAGTGCTACGGGTGACATCCTGCCCGTGCACATCTCACCGAGCGCAGGCGCCAGTCCGGATTCCGCGACGCCGAGGAACACACGCGCTCTGTCAAGTTCGCAAGATCGCCTAAGTATAGCACAAGTTGGACACCGCGACGCGCACATGATCAGTCCCCGCCATGTCTTGACGAAGGCCATCGAGACCACTGCATCGCAATTAGCTCCTAGTCAGCTGATGGCATGGATCCCGCGCACTGATAATTCCCCAAGCGAGGGTAAGTCCCGGGACTATACACGCTTCAATAAAGCAAGACCAGAAACACGACTCGCAAACTAAACACGCACTCCATATCGACGGGCGTACGCACTTGGCCACCACGTTGCTACATAGGAAAGACAGGCTGTAAAAAAACCGGACTGACCTTATTCCAAGAATGCATCGCTCACCAGGGCGCCTCCAGGAGAGCATACGTCACGAAGAACGCCGCCGCCGCCATCTGGTACCGCATCCCCGTCAGATCGAGGTCCTCGGCCATCCCGGCGATCTGCACACGCATCAAGTCTAAGCATCCCAGGCAAGGAGGGACAAAGGCAATATCCAAACCCGGGCATTTCCTAAACGAGCGCAGAGGGAGGTGAGCGATACGAGGGGACTCCGCGAATGACGCTGTACCGAGGTTACTCCGATCCCTGCAATAGAAAGCTGATGAGCCACACAGCACAGCACAGCGGCCCAGGCTGGCTGTGCATAACGTACAGAAAGCAACACAGATATAGCAGGGTGATAAGCGGGATCACCCGGAGGTCGATCTTGCGGCGGATGCGGGGATCGAGCCTCGAATCCGTGCTTTGCTGATCTGAGACGTCAGGGTCGAGTTTCTTGTCCTCGTCCATGTAGCGAAAAAGAAGGGCTGCAGAATCGAGCTGGGATGGGATGGGATGGGATGGAGCGGATGGAACAAGGGTGCGCGGTGGCAAGTCGGCAGTCTCTTTATAAGTAAACGCCCGAATGCAGCCAGTTATCTCCACCGCGAAGAGCTCCAAGCTTCAAAGGGGGGCGCGAACAGAAGACTCGTCCATACGCTATCATCCACGCGTGCATGACACCGGCGGTTCTGGCCAGATAGAAGCTGGCTGTCTGTGTCTATGCAGAACACCGGTGGGATAGATCCAGGGCGCGGGTGGGAATTAGCGGCTGGAGCGAAAGTAAGGTTCCGAGGTCCATGTCTTGGCTTCACATAGTGCAAGATGGTTTGTAGTATGTAGAACCCGTGAAGTTTTCGTGGTGGGTGGCGGTCGGATGCAAGCCACAGAAGTTGATCGACATAACCTTACAGTAGATCCAACCGTCGCCAAACAAGTGCAAGCATATGAATAAGATGCAGACAATCTCCAACGTCCTGATAAGTAATATAATCTACCATCCACGCTTCCTGCCCCCCTTTCCCCATTTCTCAGTCAAGAAAGCAGTCATATACTCATACACCTCCCGGTTCGCCCCGCGCCTGTTGATCCCGTGATCGCTGTCCGTAAACATCCTGAACCGGAAGTTGCGGATGTGCGCTTTGGTGAACATGTCCAGCAGATGCGCCGAGTTGCTGAAGTGCACGTTGTCGTCCGCACTGCCGTGCGCGAGCAGGTAGTCCACCTTCTCGAACGCGGTCACGTTCGAGATCGAGGCGTTGACGTAGCCGCCCGGATTCAGCGAAGGGAGATTCATGTAGCGCTCGGTGTAGATCGAGTCGTACATCTTCCAGCTCGTCACGGGCTGCACCGAGACTTGAGGATCATCGCGCATGGAAGGGGTGGAAACCACTCACCGCTACAGACATGGCCAAGGAGTGGATGCCAGCATCAGCCTCGACCACCTTTGCAGCCATGAATCCGCCGTACGACCATCCCCAGACACCTATCCTCTTCGGATCGACATAGTCCCTCGCGGCCCAGATGCTGATTTCACTGTCAGCGCTTCGATGTGCACATAAACTGTGGAAGCCTACCGAGCAGCCTCAATCTGGTCCTTGGTTTCCCAGAATCCGAGATTGCCCTTGACAGGGTTCCGCAGAGCCCGGCCCTTGAAGCCCGTCCCCCGCCCATCGACCGTCACGACGACATACGAGTGCCCGCAGGCGAGATACTCTGCCCAATCGCCTCGCTGGAAGGACAGGTCGACCATTTGGCTGAACGGCCCGCCGTACACGTAGAACAGGACAGGATACTTGGTGCGGCCACTGTCGTCCATCCGCGGGGGCCGGATTTCACGGACATTCAGTTCTGGAACACGTCGTGAGCGCCGCGAATCCCATCCCGAAGCCGCAGATCTCACCGAACCCGTCCACTTCGATGGTCGAGAACGACCGGGTCGGTGCTTCGTACTCCATCGTGACATTGGCCAGGCGCTCGTTCGTGGTCAGGATGTACTCGAAATCTGTTGCCCACAATCAATGGCTGGCCTCCAATCACACTTGCTTCTTTCTCACTCACCGCTGTTGTTGGCTTGAATGACAGACTGCGTAGGGATGCCCGGCCCATTGTAGCTCAAAAGGTAGAATCCTGCTTCCGGCGAAAAGTCGGACGAGTAGTAAGCCGACTCTGAGGTATCCGTGAGTGCGATGGGGGCCGCAATCTTCGGCTTCGTAGTCGCAGCCAGGTTCAGAGAAGGGAGGGCAACAGAATACAGGTGACGGGACGTCGAAAGAGGATTGGCTGCCTCAAAGTAGCTGCAGTTTGCATAAGCATGATCCATAAGAGACAGCGCAGAAAGCTTACACGATTCCCTTTTCGAGGTCAACACCCTTGACGCCGCGGGTGACCTCCCATTTCCCGGAAGTAAGCCAGATGGGCTTCGAGCTGGTGGGCGGGCTGAACAGCGCCAGATGATTGTACCCTTCGGGGCTCGGCACGACATCCAAGTACGCGCCAGACGACGTGCCAGCTGAAAGGGTGCTCACGAGCGAGGAGTGGAGGGGATACATATTTTGGAACTAGAAGGCATACGTCAGCGACAGCGCACAACACAGCGAGCAAGAAACGCACGCTGTCGATCCAGCCGTCATCTCCCTCCTCACCGTCTTTCCCCAGCTGACGAACAACAATGCCGCGCGCCCTTTTGGATGAGAGAAGCGACGTCGATTTGTCCAGCTTGTCAAACAACACCACACTGCCGTTGTCCGCGTTCCTGTTGACCTCCTTCAGGATGAGGGCGGTATCCGAGACCCATTTGATCTCCGAGATGATGCTGTCGTCCTCCTTGTGTCGCCCGGCCCAGTCGAGCATAAGAATCTCCACCGCGGGCTTGCTCGTAGCGTTCTGCTCGACGAGATAATGGGCGAGGTCGAACACGGCGACCTTGACCAGCGGATTCTTGTAACCCGGCTTCGGGTATTTCATTTTCACTTCGCCGGGGTATGGGACGACGGCATCCGAGTCCTCGGTAGGATTATAGATAGGGAAGGTGTACTCGTCGACCAGGCTCTCGTCGAAGATCAGGAAAGACAGCTTCGTCGAGGAGGGCGAGAACCACAGCGCGTGGTCGCCCGAGAGGATCTCCTCCTCGTAGACCCAAGACGGCACACCATTGAACAATGACGTAGAGCCCGTTGTCGTCAGGCGGATGGGAGCCTTGGCCGAGGGAGACGGCAGGATGTAAAGATCGTTTCCTGTCACGTACGCGATGGATTCGCCGGTCGGAGACCATGTCGCGTAGGACACCGTGGGAGGATAAGTAGGTGGAATGAGCGGCGTGGTTTTCTTGGACGCAATCTCGTGGATGTAGTAGTTCCCGAAGCTGGAGTGCCTCCACAACTGCGCCAGGGCTGTGAGCCGGATCGGGATGGGATTCAGCATGACGACCCACCTTCTTATGGTCCGACTTGACGAGGATATACTTCATGTCCGGAGAGAGTTTCCATGTGGCCCATGAGAGCGGCAGCCCGTTCTAGTGTGAAGTCAACTTCAACCAAGGTACGCCTTCCGAGATAGATCATCCACGCACATTATTCACGTCAAACATATACACAAGGTCCTTGGTGACGTTCGTCTTGAGGTCAACCAGTTTGATATAGCCGTCCTCGAAAATCGAGAACACACCATCTCCCGCTGCACGTCGATTCAGCTTCCACTCAGAGCCAAACGGATCTTTGACACACACCTTCCGGCACCCAAGCGAGACTCCGTCTGTCCACCGCGAATGTCCCATTGTAGACGTGGTCCATGGTGATTTTGCGCACACCGGGCGGGCGGTAGGTGTTGCTGACGTAGGAATTGGCCGCTATTATCCCGATGAGCGCCGAAAGACCGACCAGGGACGCGAGTGCGATGACGAGCAGGCGGACGGAGCTGGCCCGCTGTGCACACAGTCAGTTCCACGCAATCAGTCGCAACGGAATGCATGGCGGACTGACCTTGGGCAACGCGCCCATGCCACGCTCGGCCACACTAGGACTTGTCGGGGATGTTTTCTCAAACAACAACGCCTCGTCCTCCTCATCTGAACTCGGCGCGTCGAACGGCCCGTCCCCATAGTATGTCTGCGGACGGACGTGCAGAGGCTGCAGCGTATGCTTCTTCAGAATTTGATCGTGCTCTGGTTCATCGTCGGGGTCGTGCAACAGCGGTTCATACCGCGTGCTCGACATAGAAATGAGAGACTAAGCGGCGGAGAATTGCACAGGGAGACGCCAGGAGGAGGTTTAGTAGACGCGGAGTCGAGGGAGCGAGGCGGTTGCTGCGGCTCACGCGAGTGAACCGGATAATGAGGCTGACTTGCAAAGGAATGAATTGATGAAACCTATCGCATCATCATTTATTGATCCGTGCTGATCAAGCCTTGATGCTACCCTTCGACCGACTACGTGCATACTTACATGAATTAGTATTGTAACGGACGGTCTCGTCTGCGGGACGAGACCTCTAAGATAGCATCTTGACCACGCTCTCAAATACGGCAAATGTGACCATATTGACAGGCACCGCCCGTAGTAGAGTGGGAGCCAGTCCGCGGTAGAACACGCCCAAGCCCTCAGCACGGTACGAGTTGACGATAGCCGACCAGGTAGTGCGATACGGATTCAATACAGAATCTGATGCGCCTTCCCTCAGAGGCCTTATCGCGGCAGAGTGATTCAGGCTGGTTCCTTGAATCCGAGTCTTGACGACGTCCAACGGAAAAGTGGCAAACCACCCAACTGCACCGCATGTCACCCACAATCCGGGCCACTATGCGAGGTGCTCACCGATTCCAGCCACTCCACCCGCGACCAAAACTGTCCAGCCACCATCACGTTCTCCTGGTCGCGATAGCAGACGAAGAGTAGCTTCGTACTGTATGCAAAGATCAGCCTGATAGATATTGCATCCCCCTACACTGTTGCTAGATCTCACCGAGGCAAAGTATGCGCCGTATCCGCAATCCCTCAATGCTGTCGATACAGCCCCACGATACAGTCCGCGCAACCCATCCGCTTTGACGATGTCTGTGGCGATGTCGCGCACCGTCGAGCTATCGATGCACTGTTGCTGCCGGATCTTGATGAGCTCGGTCGGAGTCGTGACTACGGCAGAGACGATACCGCTCCCGATTCCTGCTAGCGTGATCTGGGTCAGAGTCGCGTCGTTGGTGCTTCCGGGACACTGTAGTTTGAGAAAGAAATTGTAGGATGCAAAGACGAGACCATTCATGAGCGCCACCGTGACCTTGGATTCGATCAATCGAGAGATGAGCGGGGGGAGCAGAAGACGCACCAAGGGTGAAGTGATGCCCTTGTACAAGCCTACAAAACGTTCCTCCCTGATGATGGTTCCGATTGCACGCGTCGTCGAGCCCTTGTAATGTTCCGCCAGCTCGGGGGTCTGCAGTCTGACTTTAACTGAAGATAGTCACGTTACCGTCGTGTTGTCTCCGAAAATACAACATATCCGACGGACCAGTATCAAACGGGAAGCCCGCGACGAGACCAGCGGTCCCGCCCAGTGTGCCCGCAAAGAAGTCGACGACTGGATTTAGCCCTGGATCTTCGCATGAGCGCTGCAGCTGATCGTGTACGTAGAGTGAGAAATAGTTTACCTTGTGCGTCACCCATGTGACGATGAACTCTAGTGGCGGGGAAAGCGCGGGAATCCCCAAGGGATCTATGGTGCGCGCCACTTAGTCACCACTACCTGAGTAACAGTGTTACTAGTCACGCAGTTTTTTAGCTATTTTTTTTTCCTCTTGGGATTTGACTTCTTTTCATGCAAGGAGTCGAATGGCTAGAGGGATAAGCCATAGCTAAATCACTGAGAAAGTTATAAATTTTCAGCAAGGTCAATTTGGCAGTAAGTAGAAAAAATGGTATTTATTGATCAAAGGAGCGGGCCACAGCCTCGGGGATCCTTCTGTGCAAACTTGTAAACTCTTGACATGAACTGGTGGACCTCCAATTGTGCATCAGGAGCCTTCAATCCCTTCCAATATGCTTCCATCCATTGAATCATCCAATGCTCCCATCTTTGTATTGTCTTGACTGGAACTGAAGCAAGTGCAAGGGGCATGTTATCCTTCTGCTCGAGAAAAGAAGGGAATATAGATAAAAAAACTATGGTGTAATCAATATGTGTCGAAAAAAATTCGGCCTCCGGCCGATTTGGCAGTCGTTCTGAGGTAGCGGTGACTAAGCGGCGCGCACCATAGAGCGAAGGGGAGATTACATATCCGATCATGTCTCACACCTGTCAATCGATAATTGATTGACGTCACTTACGGCAACCTCCGCGCACCGTCACGATTGCGACTGACGCCCAGGGCGTTGGTTTCGCTGGCTTGAAGGGCCGACCCGGAACTGTCAAAGCTCTAGCTTCCATGTCCAAATTTTAGCGGCCCGGCTAAGGTCGTGGAAGCTGACTGTGCTCTCCTGATAACAGCACTGTCTATCTGCGTGTCTTCCGCCAACAAATGTGGAAGATACACCAATCGCGGGCCGATAAGAGTCCGTCTCTGGCTTGCAAAGCTTCGGGACCTTTCGCAGCTCGCATTTCTCTGGCTTTGATTGGCTCATGTGCTCTCGGACGTGGGTTTCGAGCGGCCGCTGGGTGTCACACGATCAACGCACCCCCAGATCATTAACGGACAACAGTCGTCAATCTCGCCATTAGGCAGTCTTCGAATTCTCTTGGACTGTTTCTGAGACGATCCAGCTCAGGTCCTGCTGCCCCTTTTTCAGCGGCGGGCTTTCCGGCTCGGCGTCCGCTGACACAAACTTGCAATCGAACGGAAACAGCAACACACAGCTCTCGGAGTCTTTCGGGGTATTGCACGGAGGGAAGAGGCTGCTGTTCTATAAACTCGATGGGAAATTAGCCAGGGGCCCGAAGATACTGTCTTCGAAGAAGACCACGTTGGTTCGTTGGGCTCCCGGGTCACTGCTGTCGGGACACGGGCTTTGGCATTTCGGAGCTCGCGTGACATCTCTTGCCCTGGCCGGGCCTAGCACAGAACGCACGGGAGAACGAGAGAGCGTTCCCTTCACTTTTGCAGACGGAATTTAGTCGTCCAGGAATAGCGCAGATAACAAATGCGGAGGAGGTCGAAGATACGACTCCGCAACGGGTCCCTGGACCAAGGGTCCTTCGGATACCAGGTTCCACTGGCTTTCGCTATCTCGATCGTTTACGTTAGACATTGAGGGATTGCCAGATGATATCACAGAATTTGGCGCTTCTGTGTGAGTAAACGTATAAGAACGGACAGAAGTCACAACCTCCACTCAGCACTTTTCATGTCCCATACCACGACCCTGGAAAAGGTGAGTCCGCCCGCGACATCGCATGATGCGACACAGCTGACACAGATCCCAGCGGCGTCATCGTCGCCGCACGCTCTCAGTCGTCTCCATAGGCAGCGCGGCAAAGATTATTTTGGCCGTGCAGGCGACGAGCATCAGCACACCCAGAGGCGCAGCGACCGGCGCCTTCACCATCACTGGCCGTGCCCTCGACGCTCTCCATAGTCTAGCACTGGACCCGGAGGAGAGCACCGACCCCGAAGGTGACAACAACGACGAAGATCCGACGCAGACGTTCCCGCACGACTTGGGCTATCCCGGCCACAAAACCATCCCCTCGATCAGCCGCACAACGTCATTCGACAGCGACGGAGCATATGTCGGACCGGTGGGACAGCAGAGAGACAAGGGGAAACTGAAAGCAAAGCGTCGCGTGCTGCCAAGGATCCCGAATGAATTCGTCGCCGAGCCGTCCAAAGCACGCCACCACCGGTCATTCTCGTACTCGACAGGAGCCAATCTGGCAGGCATCCACCCGGTCCTTGAGACTCTGGAGCAAGGTTCTCGGATAGGCACGGGGCAGATCGCTTGTGCTGGGTGTGCGAAACAAGGAACGAACTTTCCCCGATGCATCCAATGCTCGAAATTGTGGTGTTCGAGACAGTGCAGAACAGGCCCCTCGCATTCGTGCAGACCGCGGCGGAGTACAATTCAGTAGTTTTTCATGAACGTCGTCGTTGTTTCCATGGGCTGGGGGACGATGCCACGAGTTGCTCGCACTAAGACTCATCGAAGGAAGGGACGAAGTTGCGTTAACTCCGCGATCAAAGCTGAGATCATACACCAAACGATAAGATGATACACGAGGGATCATGATGCAGCAGAACCCAGCAGAACATCGAAGAAATGGTGTGAAATTGCGTAGAAATACAGTGGATGGATACAAATGTTAGTAGTGGAACAATAAGATGGAGGGTAGTTTAGATATGTCGATGTTCAGGGCGGCCTGCTACGCCTCATCCACGTCCATGCCCTCCAGGGACACACCCAAAGACGCTGCTCGCTGATAAAGCATCTCCTGTTTTGCTTCGTCTTTTGAGAAATTGGCCAGCGTGAGCAGTGCCTCGGTATACAGCACCAGCAGTTCGGAATCTTGCTCGTCCTCGCCGGCAGGTGTCTCATCCGCCGTAGCCCGCTCAAAAAACTCGACGGCACGCTCCAGAGCCTCTCGGGTATCATCTGCATCCTCGCAATCTAGCACCCCTTCAAGCGAGTCCTGCGAGTTCCAGCCCTGCGTCTCGGCCAGGGCCTCCAGCGCCTCGACATGAGCTGTCCCCACGACCAGCCAGCACCGACCCCGTGCTCTGGCCACGACACTGGTCTGAGTGGGCACCTGATTCAACACGCTGTCCGCCCACGTCGCCCACCGCATCCGCTCCGAGGACTCGGACAAGCGTTCGGCGATAGAGAGCACCTCGTGCGCAATTGTGAAGAGCTCTGCTGACCGGCTGAAAGGCGGCGGATGTACGTATCGGTCTCCGAGGTTCTGCGCCGGCGGATTCGCATGCGGCATGAGGAAGATCCCGCGCGTGAAATGATCCATGGCCAGCAGCAGCAGTTCGTCTGGCGGAGTGGAGGCGAGGTTAACTCGGCGGCACGCAGGAGAACGCCGCATGGCAATGACAGCGAAAACGGAAGTCGATGACGACGGCCACTTGGGTTCTGGGGGCATGGACTGGGGATGGACGAGTGACTGCTGCTGCTGCTGCAAGCGCAGTGCGGCGTCAGCCACGCAGAGAAGCGTACGGCCCCATACGAGGGCCATCCGCCAATCTTCTGGAGCTTCACAGCCGCGTCCGCTCGTTCGGCTTGGAAGGTTCTCCCCCATCTCGAAGACATCCAATGCCGCAAGCCAGTACGTTGTTGCGTCCACTGGTTCTTTGGGCAGCACGATCGACGGGTCCTGGGCCACTAGATTGCCCATGAGGAAGAGCGCCGTACCGAGCAACGCATGGAACGCGGTCGGAGACTCGCGGCACTTGCTGCGCGGCCGTCAGCGACGCGATTAGAATCAAGGGGCTTCCCAGCTCACCATTTTCTCGGGGGCTTGTTCGCAGGTGAGCTGGGCAATGCTTCGGGAGTGCGGGAGCCAGGTGTCGCAAAGAGGACCGAGGGATCTTTGTACAAACGCAGAAATCGGTGGCACTCGTCTAGCACGCCACGTAGCAACGAAAGCGTTTCATCGACATTGTCGGCTGCAGAAGCTCAACAATGCGGTTCAAGGAGCCAGGGAGTGTCAGACTCACACTCGTACTGCTCAACGACGGTCGCAAACGATCCCTTCAGCTGCTCCCACATGGCGAAGTTTTCAGGGTCAACCACAGTGTCGGGTGAGTCCATCTCCTCGTCTTCGTCGTCAGAGTGATTTGAGGGTTCGGGAGTGCACTCGATAATATAATATCCTAGGTCGTCGCTGCTAGCGTCGCTGGCGTTATCAAGTCGCTGGCGTTTAGCAGGCCGATGGTCGTCCAAATTAAAGTCCTTATTGGGTTTAGGAGTCCCACGCCCCTTCCACAATCCGCGGGGGCGGGCGCGCGTCGGTGCGTCCGGGATGGACATGGTCAAGGAGGGGAACATCTGTGAGAAGCAACGGCATGATGACTATTGAAGCGATGTTTTTATTTCCCTTGAGCTTCAGCAGCCAGGGAGATTCCAGGCGCAGTGGGCTAGAATGTGTGACATGTGACTGTTCCCTTTTGGGTTGGTCGATGGACGTCACATCCAGAACATTGTACGTTCTCTGCGCCGAAGCACGGGCTGGAAAACATAGGAAACCCCCGACGGGTGGTCTGTGGACGTGTCAGGTACGTCTTTCCTCAGTCGCTGGGCCATGAAAGTCAAGGCAGCGACAGGAAACTAGTCCCTGGTGGCTGGCCCGAATTGCCGGGGGGGAGTCCAGACCGCAATCTGACTGGTCCATCAAATCCATCTCTGGGAAGCCCTGCTCTCATTGGCCGCCCCCCATTGGCTATGCAGGCATCCTGCTGGATCCTGCCCGCGATTGGCTGCCCCAGCTCCCGTGAGGCTGTTGACTCAGCGGTCTAGTCGACGACACATCCGGGCTGTACATCCGACCCAATCCTGGCTCAGAGACGCCTGGGAGTCGTTACTGCGGAAGTCCAGAATGTGGGCGCTAACACATTCTGGACTGGCGATTGCCACAAAGATCAGTGCAAGGAACAGCAGCTGACGAGAGCTGACGGCCCTCGTAGATCAGCCAGACACACCGAGACCCTCCGTCGATGTCATCGGCGCCCCCAACTTGGGCTGATCATCGACCACGATGTCCGCCGAGACTCTCAACGCTCCACATTCCAGAACGCAGGGGCTGTACGACATCGACTGCGAGCCAATGCGTTGCCTGCACGTCCGGTGGCCTATCAGATTAGAACGATTCTTACATAAATACTTGCACGCTCGGACATCTCAGGTCTGGGCTCTGTGTACATGACAAGAATTCCATTCTTGTGTGCACAGCCAGCTTCTATGCGCTTACTTACCGGCGCCAACGGGCTGCCTTGATTCCCGGCCCAGTCCCTACTATGTCATGCAAACATTCCATCGCATGGACGCGCTTCGCTATCACTTTTGAGCGGTTTTGAAAGCTTTCACGGGTTAGAAAGGTTGAATGGTGGGATTCCGGCCAACGTGAGCTACTGCTAGTAAGGCTTTATAAAGTAAGAAGCCTGTGGCTGCTGACCACTCTCGGAGCGTCATGCCAGAGCCTTCCCTAACCACCCTAAAGCGTTCCCGAGAGGCGTCCTCCTCCTCCCCATGGACCGACGAGCAACACATGACGAGTCTCTCAGAAGCGGGGTGGATGATGAGATGGAAAGAGGGGAAGGACGCGTGGATGGCGGAACGAGTGGGATGGCAGCAAGCTGAGCACCACACGCAACTGGCGACTAAAGGTTCGAGATCGCGTCTCCCTCTCACTCCCTGCATCGAGCCGCTGAGATAGGCGTAGATATGTCGCCCACTAAGACCGGGTTGTTTCTCGTCCCAATACGCGTCGAGCAGAAACGGCGCTGGCGGGACAGATGGCGAGGACGCGCAACTGGGAGACATCGTGATGCATCACCGCAGCTACTCGTATCCAGAGCCGCTTCCGTACTGGTGTAGCTTCGAATCGGACTTGACCCGTGAATGGCGCCTTGCATACTGTCCAAGCCAGTGATAGTCGCGGGTAGTTATTTCCGTCCAGCCCCGATGTAGTCGAGATGACTGGTGAATTTGACTCACCTCGATGTCATCGTTGATAGCTGTTCCTTGGACGTTATGGTCCATGTTCGGAGCAATCGCTCTACCAGGACATGGGCTTCGGGGATCTCCGCTCTGTATCCGCTCGGAAGTGTTCTCGTAGACATGTCTTCCAAGCAGATGGCGTCAAGACGCGAAATAAGCAGTCATGTGACGGCGTATAATAACACCAACAAAGCATTCCACTGGTAGATAATCATATTTTTACTGCTCCACCAGCTCTACTCGAGTTCAACCTGTCCATGGACTTTTCTCGCGATTCCGAAATCATGGGAACCCAAGCGGTATGACGGTCGAGATTGTCCTGGGCGCCATCTCCATCGTCATCCCCCTCGATGACCAGGCTTTGGGATCCTGGATTCGTACCCATGGCAGACGGGCTCTGTTCTTCACTCTGCTCATACGTACCCCAAACCTAAACTCGACGTGGATCATCTTCTCCAGCTGATCGTCTTTCTTGATTTCCTTGTGCTTGTAAAGTTCGGGACTGGGCTGGACTGTGGCGTATCTGTTGCGGTCACGTCTCTGCGGCGAGTTTGATGCTCGAGAAGATCTGCGGGGGAGATACCATGGACAAGTGGCGGGTGCGTTATGGCGCGTCCGTTGCCTCTGTGGTGACCAACACGCGCGGCAGCAAGGTCATTGTTAACGACTCAGATGGACATCAGCCAACTCTTAGGGTCGCCACTATCCTCTACCAGTTCCCGGTATCTTCCGCGGCAAAGTTGCTAGGCTAACACTCGTGCTTTCTAGCCAGATGATGGCTCTCGAACCCGGTTGCTCAGTGCGTTCTCTCCCTCTCGGATCTCCATCGAACCTGGCCACGGAGAAAACAGACCGGTGCTCAACTTGCGAGTGGGTGGGCACAGCCGCAGAACCCGCCCGTGTTCTGAGAAACCGAAGCGACCACTGCAAAGTCCAGTTGTCGCCCGTGCGGCGAAGCACGCCACCGACGGTCAGCGTGTTCCTCTGACTGCTCAATCTACCGATCTGGAATAGAATCAAAGGTGTATTTGACATCGATACATGCATCGCAAAGATCTAGTATTCAAAGTAGAGGCAGTCGCATGCGAGGATGCGGCACCGTTGGATGAGACAGCGCTGCATGCGATCATAGATGCAGATGCGACTGTGTTTGCGTTCGAGGAGACCACGGCGTTCGTGGGCGACCCTGACCCAGCCAATCCAGCCGAACCGATTCCAAGGCCCCACTGAATGCGCTGTTCGCGGTAGTCACAACGGAGGCTGCCGCCGCAGTGTTGCTCGCAGGGCTGACGATGGGACTGCAAAACGGCCTCTCCACTCCCTTCGCTGTATTCGAAGACGACAACGTCACTGGATGCGACGGAGATCACGAAGCCACATTGCTGGGAACTGAACGACTGTACTGGTGCGCGCCGAAAGAACAGACGTTGAATCATATAAAAGCGAGTCAGTGGCGTTACAAAGAACGGAGGCGACGTCGCGGCAGCCGACGGAAACAATTGACGGCACAGTGTTGGAAATCGAGCTCGCTGCACTGGACGAGGAGTAGAGAATCAAGGACTTGTCACAAAGAATGGATTCACCCGCACTCGAGAAATTAACGCTGCATCGCTGCAGCCGGAAGAGATAGCACAGGCCACATCACTCGGGGTTAGTCGAGCGTCGCTGGAGAACGCCGCAAGAATCGAAGCGACATTGGATGGAATAGACCCGACAGTACTCGAGAGGTTTGATGGCGAACCGCACCCGCTCGCTCGGCTTGAAAGGCTTTCACCCATCTCAAAAACATCCAACGCCGCAAGCCAGTACGCTGTCGCGTCCGCGGGCTCTTTGGGCAGGACGATCGACGCGTCCTGAGCTACGAGGTTCCCCATGATAAATAGTGCTGTGCCAAGCAGCGCGGGGAACGCCGTCGGAGACTCGCGGGACTCGCTGTGTGGCTGTCAGCGACGCGATTAGTTTCAACCTATGCTTCCCAGCTCACCATCTTTCTGGGGTCAAGTTCACAGGTGAGCTGGATAGATATTCGGGAGTGCGGGAGCCAGGTGCTGCGATGACGAGCAAGGGATCTTTGTATAAATCCAGAAATCGATGGCACTCGTCTAGCACACCACGTAGCAACGAAAGCGTTTCATCGACACTGTCGGCTGCAGGAGCTCAACAATGCGGTTCAAGGAGCCAGGGAATGTCAAACACACACTCGTACCGCTCGATGGCGGTAGCAAACGATTTCTTGAGCCGATCCCAGATAGTGAGGGTTTCAGGCTTTGCAACAGCGTTGGATGAGTCCGTGTCCTCGTCTTCGTCGTACGAGTGATTCGAGGGCTCGGGGGTGCACTCAATAATACAGTACCCTACGTCATCGCTGGCGCTATTAAGTCGCTGGCGCTTAGCGGGCGGATGGTCGTTCAGATTCAAGTCCTCTCGGAGTTCAGAAGTCTCGCGGTCCTTCCACAATCCGCAGGGGCAGATGGGCGTTGGTGTGTCAGGGGTGGACATGGTCAAGGAGGGGAATCTGAGAAGCAATGGACGATTGAAGCGATGTTTTTATTTCTCTGGGGGTTCAAAAGCCACGGAGATTCTAGGCGCAGCGGGCTTGGACCTGGACAGCCAATGGCCGGCGGCCAATGAAGGTGAGCATCGTATGAAAGAGATTGGATGGACCAATCGGATTGCGGTCTGGAACTCCATACTCAGCGACTCGGGCCAGTCAGAATCAAGACTCGTTTCCTGTCGCGTTATGACTTTCACGACCCAAGCACTCAGCAAAGATGTATATGATGCTTCCAAAGACGACATAACCGAGGTTTCCTGTGTTTTTTATGTCCGTGCTTCAATGCAGAGGACATGGGACATTATTTGTGTGACGCACATCGACGAGCCCGAAACCTGTTTGCCATTGGCCAGCATAGCTTGTATTAACTTGGTGACCCAGCGGTCCAGTCGGGGATAGATCTAGCCAGTCTATCCGGCCCAATCCTAGCTCGAAGACGCCAGAGAGTCATCACTGAGGGAAGCCCAGAACACGAGCGCCACCCGCGCTATCAGGTCTGAGTACCGACGATGTCTGTCGAGACTTGTAGAGGCTCCACGTTCCAGAACGTACGGACTGTAGGCTGATGACCGGGAGCCAATGCATTGCTTGCCGCGTTGCCTCCACAGACAGACATCATGGTGACCCATGAGTCCTGCATCCACTCTTTATGATAGTTTGAGCTATGTTCCTTCCGAGTATCGAGGCCACCTGCAGATAGGATCAACACTTGGGTCGTCCACTCCAGTGTTGAGGAATGTCAGTCGCTTGGCCGGCCGTGAGATTGAGAGCGCGAAATGGATAGGTCACATCCGTCTTACGTGAACCAAACCGTCTGAACCTGAACCGTGGTTCAGGTTCGGGCTTAGCCCCGAACCGAACCAAACTCTGACCACTAATACTCAGTTCGCAAATCTGGAGCAGAATAAAACGTGTATTTGATATCAACACATACATTGCGAGGATCTAGTATACAAATGGACGATGCTACTACATACATGACACTGCTACGATCCAAGTCCACCAGCCAAGATCCTCACAAGCTCTGGACGGCAGCCTGGAAGTGCGCCCACGCGGTAGCCGATGTCTGCGGCCACAGGAGGTGCAGCTGCCGGACGCTCTCGAGCAGCGTGAGCACGCTCGGGCGGATCTGCTCCTCCATGTCGTCGACGTTCACCTGCGAGCCCAGCAGCGCCACCTGGCGCGCGACGGTGTTGATCGTGGCGAAGAGCACGAGCGCGCGCGGCGCGTCGGGCGCGGAGCCGAGTATGTCCTTGTACGCCTGGATGTAGATCGCGACGAGGTCGAGCTCGTTCGCGAACAGCACGACGTCCGTCACGGCTGTGTTGATCGTGTTGGCCTGCGGATCGAGTGAGCCGGGGGGTTTAAGGAAGTAAGGAAGAGAGAGACGCACCACTGTATCGCTTAGCACCAGCGGACCCGGGGCAAAGACATGCAGCACGTCGATCAGCGCCGTGAGCGAGCCGATCAGGTCGCTGCCGGCCTTGTTGGCGGCGATCAGCGCGTCGTCGAGAGCGCCCGTGGCGCTGGCGGCGGCTGAGCTCGTCGGGCTGGCGGACGCCGACGCAGGCGAGGATGAGACAGCGCTGGATGCGATGGTGACAGATGCCGATGCGGCAGCGTTTGCATTAGAGTACACGCCCGATGCAGCAGCACTCGACGAGCCGCCATAGACGGCCGTGGTGACCACCGCCGGCACGACGCCGCCGACACCGCCTCCATAGACACCACCAACCGCAGACTGAGACGCAGACGCCGCCCCGGAGACCGAAGCACCGGCCGCGGCCGAGGCAGAGGGCCCAGCGACCGACCCGCCGTAGATGAGTTGCGTCGCAGCAGGCAAGGCAGCTGGCGAGCCGGAGGCCATCGCATTGGCTTTCTGGTTGCTGTTGCTGCTGCCGAAGATGTGGGTGATCTGCGACGCGAGCACAGCCGCAGCGAACGATGCGCTCGAGACGGGGATCACGCTCGATGCTCGGGACGCGGCTGCTGAGGCAGCGACGGGGCTGCTCGTCACGACGGACGGTAGAGGAGTCGATGCGACGTTGGCATTGGCCGCGGAGAGGATGCTGCTGACGACGGAAGCGACGTTAGCGGCGGAAGCGCTCGCGGCTAGAACGAGCGAGAGTCAGTCACCACTTGTCTTTTTCGAGAGTGGAAACACGACACGCACCTCCAGATCTTGCGGCCGACGCAAGGACACCACTCAACACACTGTTGGAAGATGCCACGACGGACGCAGCCGAGACGACGGCGCTCGTCGGCGATCCCGATCCCGCCAGTCCACCTGTAGCCGACGCCAAGACACCACTCAACATGCTGCTCGCGGGACTGACGATGCGCGTCTGCGACGCAAGCACTCCGCTCAAACCGCTGCTGACCGAGACGGCGTTACTCGCAACTGAGGCCGGGGCGTTGACACTGCTCTGGGACGCAAGAACCGCACTGAAGACGCTGTTCACGGAGGCGACGACGGACGCAGCCGATGCGACGTTATTGCTCGGGAGGACAGCGGCTGCCGCACTGGCACTGGCGAGCACACTGCTGACTGCGCTGCCAGGTGCGACCGTGGCGGAGGCGGCCACTCCACTCAAGACGCTGTTGGCCGAGTTGGCGGCTGACACGGCCGACGCGACGTTGCTGGGCAGCCCGCCGGCAGCGCTGGACAGAGCTGAAAGGACGGATGCCAGGTTGCTGTTCGCTGCGCTGGCGATGGACTGGACGTTGCTCGGAGCCGCCGATGCGCTGGGGCCTACAAAGACGGAAGATAAATAATCACTGTGGCTCCAGATCGCGATGAACTCACCGTTGGATGCAATCACACCACTTGGGACTCCGCCAGCTGCAGTACTCGAAAGAGCAGAGAGAATTGACGCGACATTACTGGGAATGGAGCCAGCAGCACTCGACACGATTGACGGAAGCGCAGACGAGGCGGCGGATGCGGGGACACTGGTCGCCGCCGGGACGAATCCAGCCGCACTCGAGAGCGCGGAAAGGATGGAGATGACATCAGACGGGAGCGAGCCAGCCGCACTCGAGGCAACGGATCCAGACAGGCTGCTGGGAAGAGCACTCGACGACAACGCGGAAAGGACCGACCCCACCCCGCTGGGTGCCGAGCCAGCGGCACTAGAGCCAGGAGCGACGACGCTGCTGCTGCTGGTGGAAACTCCGCCAGGGAGAATACTCGACATCGCAGACAGAATCGACGCAACAGCGCTTGGGAGGGATCCAGCCCCGTCACTGGGGACCGGACCGGCGGCACTCGAGATGGCGGGCTGCGCATTGCTGGTACTGGGCAAGGCACCGGCAGCACTGGAGAGCACTGATGCTGATCCGGCAGTCGCAGAAGCAAGAATACCACTCGCGTCTGTGGAGAAGAGGAGATCAGAACGAACATCTCACACGATCAAGCTCGGCATCACGCACCACTGGCAATCACTGATGCGACATCACTCGGCAAGGATCCCGCCGCACTGGAGAGCGCCGACAAAATCGACGCGACGTCGCTGGGCGCCGAGCTGGGCGCACTGGACAGGGCCGACGCGGAAGCGCTTGGCAGACCCCCGGCGGCGCTCGACAGCACGGACAAGATCGCAGAGACGTCGGAGGGAAGCGGCGCAGCGGCAGATTGGACAGCGCTAGAGAGGGCTGGGCTGGGAAGAAGAGACGCGGCAGTGCTCGACAGTTGCGTGAAGACGAACGGGATCCTGGACGGGACAGCTGCGCTGACTAAACGACGTGTCAGCGCGAATGCAGAGACGGGAAAACCAATCGAGAAACGCACCACTCGTGGCAGACGCGACGACTCCACTCAGAACAGACTCTGCTCCACTCGGCACAGCTCCAGCAGGGGAAAGCGCCGAGGCAACGTCCGACGGCACAGCCGACGCAGCAGCACCACTCGACACAGCGCCCACGGCACTCGACAACGCCGAAAGAATGGACGCAACGTCTGATGGCACAGCAGACGCGACCGACTGCACGTTGCTGGTCAGAGCGGCGGAGACAAACGAGCTGGCAGCTGAGGCCACGTCGCTGGGGATGGCACCAGCCGCGCTGGACAATGCAGAAAGAATCGAAGCAACATCGGAGGGCACAGAAGATGCGACGGCCGATTGGGCACCGCTAGGCAAGACGGAGGCGATCGAAGAGATGTCCGAGGGCACGCCGGATGCGGCAGCAACACTCGACAAGGCGGATAGAAGCGATGCCACGTCTGAAGGGAGAGCCGACGCAGGGCCACTAGAAAGGGGCGATGCGATGGATCCCAGGTCGCTCGTCGCACTGGCCAAGATCGATGCGACGCTCGTCGGGACTAAAAAGAGCGCAGATCAGATCAAGTGAAATCGGCAGCAGCAGCAGCCAAAGGCCAACACACCTGCAGAAACGATAGACCCTAGACCACTCGTGGCAGACGCGACGATCCCGCTCAACGCAGACTCGGCACCGCTCGGGACAGAACCAGCCGCGCTCGACAGGGCCGAAAGGACCGAAGCGACATCCGGGGGAGGGCCGAAGCAGAGGATGGCATGGCAGAGACGACGGATCCAAGATCGCTCGTGATTGACGCCACGGTACCACCCGCGGCGCTCGACAACGCGGAGAGAACCGACGCGACATCAGAGGGAAGCGGAGCCCCGGCACTCGAAAGAATCGACGCAACATCGCTGGAGGCGCCGGAGATCGCCGAAACGACATCGCTGGGGACCGAACCAGCTGCACTCGAGAGCGCCGAAAGGACGGACGCCACATCAGAGGGAAAAGACCCGGCAGCACTCGAAACGACGTCGCTGGGAACGGCGGAGGCCACTGAAGGCACGGCGCTGGACAGAGCCGAGAGGATGGAGGCGACATCCGACGGAAGAGATCCAGCTGCGCTAGAAACGATCGACGCAACACCACTCGAGGCGGCGGCGGACACGACAGACGCAACATTACTGGGCGAGGAACCGATGACGCTCGTGGCTGACGAGACCACCCCGCTCAGGCCAGATGCGACATCACTGGGCAGCGATCCTGCCGCACTGAAAAGCGCCGACAAGATAGAGGCGACGTCAGACGGAACAGATGCGCCAGCGCTTGACAAAACGGAAGCCACGTCGCTGGGCGCAGCAGAGGCGACCGATGCAACATCGCTCGGGACCGACGCTACCGCAGAGAGAATCGACGCGACATCCGAGGGCAGAGAGCCACCGGCACTAGACAGAACGGACGCGACGTCGCTGGGAACTGAGAAAGTGTAAGTGTCCGACGACACAATGGAATGGAAAGCGGAAAGCTTACCAGCTGACGCAAGCGAGGCGGCATCACTAGGCACCGAGCCAGCCGCGCTGGACAGAGCCGACAAGATCGAGGCCACGTCCGAAGGCAGTGATCCAGCTGCACCAGACAACATCGAGGCGGCATCGCTAGGCGCGGCAGACAACACCGAAACGACATCGCTGGATGCGGCCGAGACGATAGACACGACATCACTCGGAACCGAGCCAGCTGCGCTGGACAGAGCCGCAAGGATGGACGCGACATCTGAAGGAAGGGATCCTGCCGCACTCGAGAGGATAGATGCCACATCGCTGGGGGCCGCGGAGATCACCGAGGCAACGTCGCTGGGAACAGCAGAGACGACCGATGCAGCATCACTCGGGACCGACGCTGCCGCAGAGAGAATCGACGCGACATCAGACGGCAGAGAACCACCGGCACTGGACAGAACGGACGCGGCATCACTTGAAACTGAGAAAGAGTGAGTGCCTCAGCACATGATGAGAGAGGAAGCAGGAAGCTGACCGACTGAGGCAACTGGACTCGGAACTGAGTCGGCTGCGCTGGATACAGCAGACAAGATCGCGGCCACGTCCGACGGAAGTGATCCAGCTGCACTAGACAACACCGAGGCGGCATCACTGGGCACGGCGGACAGTATCGAAACAACATCGCTGGGCCCGGCCGAGACGACAGACACGGCATCACTTGGAACCGAGCCAGCCGCGCTGGACAGAGCCGACAGGATCGAGGCGGCACCCGAAGGAAGGCTTCCAGCTGCACTGGACAACATCGAGGCGACATCGCTGGGGGCGGCGGAAACAACCGACGCAGCATCGCTAGGGACTGTGCCGACTGCACCGAACAGCGCGGAAAGTATCGAAGCGACGTCCGACGGAAGGGATCCAGCAGCACTAGAGAGACTGGATGCGACGTCACTGGGGGCAGCCGAAAGGATAGAGGCGGCGTCACTCGGAACGGCGGATGCGATCGAGGCAACATCGCTGGGCACTGAGCGAGATGTCAGTCCTTGTAGGTCTTGATAGAAGAGGACACCACGCACCAGCTGTGATCACTGAGGCGACATCACTAGGAACTGATCCCGCGGCATTCGACAAAGCAGAGAGGATGGACGCAACATCCGACGGAAGCGATCCAGCAGCACTCGAAACAATCGACGCAACGTCGCTAGGGGCGGCCGAGATGACAGACGCGGCATCACTCGGTAAGGAGCCGAGAGCGCTGGTGGCCGACGCGACAACCCCACTGACATCCGATGCAGCGACGTCACTAGGCAATGATCCCGCGCCGGTCGAGAGGGCCGACAGAACCGAGGCGGCGTCGCTGGGCACAGCAGAGACGATCGACGCCACTTCGCTGGGTGCCGAACCCGCTGCACTCGACAAGGCCGAAAGAATCGAAGCCACGTCCGACGGCAGAGATCCTGCAGCGCTCGACAGAGCAGAGGCGGCATCGCTCGGAACAGCAGATATGATCGAAGCGACGACATCACTGGGGGCTGCAACGAGACCGAGTTAGCTCCCCCACCTTGTCAGAGAGTAATAAGCGGAGACACACCAGCTGAGATCATCGAGACGACATCGCTTGGCAAGGATCCCGCAGCGTTCGACAAAGCAGAGAGGATGGACGCAACGTCCGACGGGAGGGATCCAGCTGCGCTTGAGAGGACCGAGGCGACATCGCTCGGGGCAGCCGACACGACAGAAACCACGTCGCTCGGGAGCGAACCAAGAACGCTCGTGGCCGACGCAGCAATCGCACCAACATCAGACGCAGCATCACTAGGTGAAGATCCGGCAGTGTCAAGGAGGGCCGATAAGATGGAGGCGACGTCTGAGGGGAGCGAACCCGCAGCGCTGGACAGAACAGACGCGACATCACTCGGGGCGGCAGAAACGACGGAGGCCAGATCGCTGGAAACTGACGCCAAGACTCCGCTGACGTCGCTGGAAATCGCACCAACCGCACTGTAGGCCACCGTAGCGATCGATCCGGCATCGCTCGAGACTGGACCAAAATGAGCATGAATCCCAACAGATACGCAGAGGATCACGCACCAGCACCAACAACACTAGAAACACCCGAAGCAATGACACCCGCGTCGCTCGTTGCCGACGCCACAACGCCACCCACAACACTCGTCGCCGACGCTACAATACCGGAGAGCGAGGGCAGACCCGACGGAAGCACGACGCCACCACTAGCAACAGACGCCACATCGCTTGTCAAGCTGGCGATCACGCCTGCAGGGAGCGAAGCAGCGGAAGCAGCAGCACTGTCGACGGCAGACACAGCCGACGGAATCGCCGACTCCACGGCGGAGACAAGCTATATCAGAAGGTGAGCAACGAGCAGCTAAAATCTGGGAGAGCTGCGGGACGCACGCTGGCCGGTGCACCGCCATTCACAACATCCGAGACGACCGACGACACAGCAGACACGATCCCGCCCACGAACGCAGCCAGTCCTCCACCAGACGGAGCCGGTGGCGCCGCAGTCGCCGACGCGCTAGCACCGTTGCCGGGCAGAACATCAGAAACAACGGTGGGATCCACGGCACCGCTGGGCACAGCAACGATGCTCGACAGAACCGCTGCTACGTCGCTAGCAACCACGGAGGAGTCGGCGAGGACACTCGAGGAGACTGGGTCGGCGGCGGAAAGAAGGCTGGATGCAGCAGGCTGGGCACTGGACAGCAGACTGTTGGTGTCACCAGCGAGACTGGAGGCGGCCGAAGAAGCACCACCGAGAATACTGGAGATGAGGGACTCGACAGATCCGACTGCATTCGAAGCGGCGGGGTCGGCAGCGGAGACGGCGCTTGAGGCGGCAGCCAGGACACCAGAAAAGATGGGATCGGCCTGGGAGACGACGGCGGATGCAGCTGGAGGGACGCCGTTCAGGATGCTCGAAACGGAAGACTCGATGGCAGCAGCGACGCTAGGAGCGAGCGTGACGGCTTTGGAGAAATCAGACGGAGAACAAAGAAGGCTAGTGAGGAACACGCACCACCTGCAGCGACACTAGGGGCTGTTCCTCCCAATATACTTGAGACCGCAGATTCTACAGCAGAGACGACAGCCGGCACATCTGACACCACGCTCGAAACAATTGGATCGACCTGAGAGACGACGGCAGAGGGGGCACCCGGCGCACCACCTAGAATGGTTGACACCACAGATTCGACAGCAGAGATAGCCACCGTGACACTGGAAGCTGCGCTAGGAACGGCCGCGAGGATGCTGGAAACGATGGGGTCCACCTGAGAAATCGCAGCAGAGGGAACAGTCGTAGCGCCAGCGAGGATGCTCGAAACTGCTGACTCGACAGCGGAGACAACGCTAGGGACAGGTGCAACCACTTCAAGGCAAATAAGACTAGTAGCAGAGATGTGAAAACGGGACACTCACCGCTCGAGGCAGCACTGGACACAGCCTGGCCCAAGAGACTCGACACGGCGGACTCGACAGCAGACACTACAACCGGAACATTGGAAGCCGCACTGGGAACACCAGCGACAATGCTCGAGACGATGGGATCGACCTGGGAGATGACGCCGGATGCAGCTGGCGGAACGTTGCCTAGGATGCTGGAAACCGCAGACTGGACCGCTGAAATCACCACTGGAACTTCGGAAACGGCGCTGGGCAACACGGCGGCAACACTCGAAAGCGCAGGGTTGACGACAGATGTGACTAGATGAGATAAGATTAGATACGCCAGATGAAGAAGAACGAGGGATGCTGACCACTGGGAACAACCACAATGACGCTCGACGCAGCGGGGTTGGCTGCAGAAAACACACTGATGGCACTGGAAACGGCTATATTGGCAGCGGAAACAGCTAGAGGGATATGATAAACGCCCCAGCAAAAATGAAACGAGGGAGATAAGACACACCAGTGGGAACCACAGCAAGCACGCTCGACGCAGCCGAGTCGACAGCCGAAACAGCACTGGGGACAGAGCCGACGACACTCGAAACGGCTACAAGAAACCCACGTCAACTGGTAATACCATGAGCAAAACGCGAACAACATACCACTTGGAACAGATGCAGCAGCACTCGACACTAGAGGGTTTGCACCAGCCAGGACAGAGGAGACGACATTCTGGATTTGTGCCACGAAGCCGACGATGCCTTGTCCGTTACCGCTCGACGGGACGGAGGCCGATGCGGAGACAGCCACTGACGCCGAGACAGCCGCTGACGCGGAGACAATGGGGGCCGCTGATGCCGAGGACGCAACCGCAATCGCAGAGGACGACGCAGCCGGCGCAGAGGAGGATACCGACGCAAAGAGGAGGCTCGAGACGGCAGGCACCACTCCATTCGCTCCGAAGCTATCCAAAGCGCCGTTGCCGGACACACAGTTACCGTTCGGGCAACCCGAAGAAGAAGAAGCGGCAGCAGACGACGACCGAGCAGCTGCGACGACCAAGGACGACTGAACGACGGCGGGGGCGGGGGCGGCAGAGGAGGATTGAACAACAGCACTGGAAGACTGAACCGGGATTGCCGAAGTCGAAGTCGAAGAGGCGAACAGTGCGCTCGAAATCGCTGAAAGGACACCACCGCCACCGACGGCATTGGCGACGCCACCACCACTGACACAGTTGCCGTTCGGGCAGGTCGCCGAGGAAGGCACGGCCACAGACGACGATGGAACGAGCGCAGCAGCAGCAGCAGCAGCAGACGAAGACTGAACGACCGCGGAAGCACTTGAGACAGGGGCAAAAGCGGAAGCGGAGGAAGATGCGACAGGGGCCGAAGATGAGGACGCGACAACAGCAGCAGCAGCGGCAGATGAAGACGACCGGACTACCGAGGACCCAGCAGCCACCACCACCGGAGCAGACGAAGCGGCAGGAGATGCTGACGAAGACGCAAACAACACAGAGGAAAGCGCTGGAGCAGCCCCGCTGAGACCCGCGGCGTTGGCGACACCGTTACCCGACACACAGTTGCCGTTGGGACAAGCCGAGGACGACGACGACGGACTGGCTGCGACAGCAGCGGGCACCGCGCTACTCGACTGAGATCCACCGCCGACAGCGGCATTGAGCGCATCGCCGAGACCACGCTTGACTGGGGAAGCTGAGATCGGTGCGGAGAGGGAGAGGAGGAGGATATGGAGGAGGAGGGAATTCTTTTGGCTCGTCATCTTCGTTAACAATTCTGCAGGTCGGAAGCGGCGTCAGTCTCAGAAGCGGCAGATCAGTCGGGGGAACGCCGCACCGTAGGAGCTTTCTCTATCAAAGCTCGTTCGTAAACACCGGTCAAATCAACAAAGCAGATGGAAGCAAAATGCAGTTTTCGTAACAGGCTCGTGAACTCGTGAGAGGTCGTGAATATGGATGTCAAGAGACAACGCGGGGAGGGGGATCCAGAACGCGGAGCGGTGCTTAAGTAGCCGCGGCTAAGTGAAACCAGCCTCCATATTTTGGCAGACTGACTCGTGCTGCTCGAGCTGCATCTGTGAGACATTCATATCCACGGAGAGCATGATGGTATTCTCGGTAGAGCGTAGGCGTCGTATGGAGGACAGAAAGAAGACCGGACGAGACCCAAGAGTCGCAGCCTATTATGAAATGTCCCAAACCTCAAGAATAATAGTGATCCAGGTGAGCTTCATAGGAACACAGAGATAATGCAAGGTCTCAGACAGCCGCCGATCGCGACTGAGCATCGTAGTCCGCTAAGGCAGAAAATCTGTGTTGTTGGGACAGGAAAGACATGCAGGAATAGCCAAATGAACACAAACAAAGAATGTGGAAGCGGGGATGTGAGTAGCAGGGATTACTTTCTGTAGATTAAAATACACTACTTACACATACATATGTTGTCTATGAACAGCTACTATCTAAACAGACAATCGCACAAATCTGGACTCTCCCGCAGCCTTTTTGACGCGATTCATGACTGCTAAACCCTCTCTTTCTTCGAGGACGGCCTCAATTAGGATGATGTCGACGCCATTACGCTCCAGAGTTAAGAGACCGTCAAAAAGACGCTGAGCCGCTTGCGCAGGCTCAGATGATGGCCCCAGTGAGAATCTCTCGAGATGCAGTTCGCCGGGGGGATGGCATAATCCCAGAGCGGAATCATCCTGCGCCAAGAGGCCCACTTTGACTGCCCGATCTGGCAATCGGAGCGATTTCCACAAAGCCTGCGCATCTTCCCACTCGCGGTCTTCCCGCCCGTCGCCCGACGTGTAGATCAGCTGCACTGGCACCGCAGGGGAATAGTGCCGATACTTCATCCCGGGTGTCGTCGGCGCGCTCTCGATCGCCTCGTCGGCGTAATCGCGTCGATGGACCAGAACCCGCGGCACCTCCTCCCCGCCCAGCTCCTCCTGCAGAACGCGCTCCAGGTCCTCAACCGTCACACCACCCGGCCGCAGCACGCGAATCGCGCCGTCCGGATGCAACCCGTCGACGACGGTGCTCTCCACCCCCACGCCGCACGCGCCACCGTCCAGGACGATCGCAACGCGCCCCTCGAGATCCCGCACGACGTGCTCCGCGCGCGTGGGGCTCGGCTTCCCAGAGGAGTTTGCGCTCGGCGCGGCGAGCGGCGCATCGGCGAGGGCGATGAGCGCGCGCGCGACGGGGTGCGACGGCATGCGGACCGCCACCGTCTTCTGGCCCGCGGTCACGATGGGCGGCACGATCTGCGCGTCGCACGGGAACAGCAGCGTCAGCGCGCCCGGCCAGAAGCGCTTCACCAGCGCCGCGTACGGCCGCGGCAGGGTGTAGCCGCGCGGCAGGAGCGTGCGCAGCATGGGCAGGGACGAGACGTGCACGATCAGCGGGTTGTCGGCCGGCCGGCCCTTCGTGGAGAATATCTTCGCCGCGGCGGATGCGTCGAGTGCGAGTGCGCCTAGTCCGTAGACCGTCTCGGTGGGGAACGCCACGCACTGGACGTTCCGCACGAGCTGGGCCGAGGCGGCTTCCAGTGCGCGCGCGGTGTCAGGGCAGGTGATGGTGGGAAGAGATACGGAGGCGGTAGAAGGTGGAAACGAAATCGATGACGGATCGCATTTGAGTACACGAGTGGTGAGCGCCATGGACTTCAGTCGCGCTCGAAGCATAAAAAAGTGAGATGGAATCAGATGACGCACATCACGCCGCATCGCCACCGACTGATCATTTTTTCACTCAACACCTACGATCCTAAAATGGTAACTATCAAAAAATTGGAGATCTACTCTATATTCACGATATCAATGCCATCTTCTCGTCCCACTGTAGATCTCCCGACCACTCAATAATTCGATCCTCTCCCAAGATCAACATGTCCTGGACCTCCCGGAACGGCTTTCCAGCGCTTTCAATCGCATCCGTCTCTTCCGCGACTCGGTCCAACCAGTCACGTGCAACGTCAACCTGGCTGGAAGTCATGTCTTGCTCCCGAAACGCCCAGATTGCGCGGTCCGTTCCGTGGGTCACATATCCTGTGCATCGATGAGTAATTTGACGACCAATTTTTTTTTATAAACCTGCCTCCAGTACGCAGTTGCTCCGGCACCCATCGAATCTCATACCGCAAAAACGGAAATCCTGCCTGATGCAGGTCACGTGACAGAACGCGCACCGGAACATGCACCTGCAGATCGCTTAGGATCTCTCCAAAACGCCTCTGCGCTTCAGAGCTGGTCGCTTCGCTGGGTAGCGGTTCGTATTTGTCTACCACCTGGTCCACGAAATCCTTCTCGAAGTACCGCTCCAGGTTGGGCGATATATCTCGTGCCGTTTGGACGGGGTGCGCAATCGAATAGAGGTACCATTCTTCGGTCAGATCCCCCACAATGATGCTTTTTATGCCTTTCTCGCGCAGGCGACTGGCAAATTCCGGTGAGCGTTGCCATTCCATGGGCGAAGGACTGGACGGCAGCCAGGAACCGTCCATGCACGCGCGGAACGTGCCATATTTTGTGCCAAGAGCATCAGTCTCGATCGCCGCTGTGATTCGGGACGCAGGAACCGCGGACAGCTTGTCCAATATATCGGACGCAGAAGGATCCAGTCCGAGTGCGTGGCACAGCGCCTCGAATTGAGGGCGCAGCTGCGCCGGTGTTCTAGGATCACAACTGCTCGAAATTTCAGCTTCACATATCTAGTTGCAGAGCGAGTTTTGTACAGTATGGCGTTTGATTGGAGCGCAGCAGAGCTGAATGGCGCGGAGACTCCATCGGGAAGATGTGACGCGTGATGAAGAAGCTGATGGACAGAATGGGCACCTGTTTTGAAAACGTAAATTGTGTTGTGGCCTAAACCGTGCGGTGCATACCAGCGGAGAGTCCGGTGACTTGAATTTTCTGTGGATCGCCTGTGGTATAATGGGTTTGAACCGCGCGCGAATTAACTTGCAAACAGACCTCCAAAAGACTGGATATTTTCCTTGATCCAGAGCAGCGCCAGCCACTGATCCTTGAAACCGAAATTACCAGCGATAGCCGGCTTGTCCGAGGCCAGAAAACCAAATGCAGACAGCCGATATCCGATATTTACCCACACTTCGTTCCGCTCAGCTGCGATGAGCTGAGCCTGGCCCTTGAGACCGTGCGGGGATCCGAATTGCAAGAAGCTCACGACCATGAGCACGAAAATGAACTCATCCAAACAAAAAAAAATGAAATCACCCGCCGTGGATATAGACCTTGACCGGAAACGCCTTCTTCTCTGGGAACGCAGGCGGCGATACGATGTTCAGAAACAACCTCAGGGAAGTTGAGAGGCTGAAAATGGATGCGAGGGGGGTGGCACCTACGCATTTTCGGTCGGTTCTCCAAATCCAACCTTATCTTGGAACGGCGTGTCTGCGACCGACAGTCAGTTATGAGCACCACAGGGGGAGATCGGAGTGCGTCGAGGATCCCTACCGCGTGCCTGGCCGTCGTTGTGGGGCTGAATCGCGTCTGATCGCGGACGTCAGTGGATGCGTTATCGATAAGGCAGAGGGGGCGTCGCGCACAGGCCGACTCGGTGGTATACTCGCGATCGGCGTAGCGATAGCCGGACGGGAGCGGCTGCGCATCCTGGAATCGCGCGGGCGGCTGTGCGTAGGGCACCTCTGCGCAGATCAGAGGCTCAGTGCCGCCGCGACATCGGATATCCGGCTAGATACGACTCACCGAGAAACACCGCGCTCCCGTTGGCGGCACGAGCGCCTGTGATCGGCCCGTACTGGGTGTCCAGCCGGACGCGCGGACTGTCCTGGAGTTCGTCGTGGAGATGCGGCGACATGTTTCGCGGTCGGTGGGGTCGAGTCGGTCTGCGTTCAAGCCTGGACTGTGATTCGGTGGGCGCAACAGGAAGCTTGGCGACAGAAATGCGGCCAGTGCACGGGGTTCCAGATCAATCTTCTTCCTTGGAAATCAGACCAGATGTGCTACGCGATGACATACTACTCGAGAAGCAGGGCATGAAGGGCATCAAGTATTCGGCATGTTGTCAAACTTTCGAGCGACAGCGGTGACGGTTCACTCAGGAGCTGCGAGCGATAGCGGTTTGGTTGCAAACGATTGATAGTATACTTTGTTGTTATTTATCTCTCGATCTAATTCGCTTTGGCCGATGTTCTCACCCGGCTATCTGGCCCAGTGCGATCTCACGAGTCTAGCAAGGAATCTGATCACCTCCCGCCTCTTCGATACCGCTGATCCCTATCATATGTCTTATCGCGAATTTCTCAAGGTCGTGGTGGCGCGTCTGCCTCATCGAGGCGATCCTGTTAAATCTCACTGCCGCCTTATCTCATCCCTGCCTTTCTTCTCGACTACCCTATGGACACTCCCCCAAAGTCAGAGAAGCTTGCCGCAGAGTCGGCATCCCTCGCGGAGCCGGTCGCGGCTGTCTACCCCGTCGATGACAATGCGAAGCTCGCCGAGCTGGGCTACCGCAGCGAGTTCAAGCGCGAGTTTTCGCTCTTGGAGACCTGTGCTTTCAGCTTCAGCATCATGGTACGCGACTTTTCAACAGCAGCAGCATTCCTGCGTTTCTCATGCATCCAATCCAGGGAATCGTGGCCTCGGTCTCGTCCACCTTGTCGTTTGGGCTTGTCAGCGGTGCGCAACGACTGCTTCGCCCGACCCGAGAGAAAGCTGAACATGGTGATTGACAGGCGGTCACGTCGGGATGGTGTTCGGATGGCTCATTCCTTGCTTGTTCGTCGGCTTTGTGGCGCTGAGTATGGCTGAGCTTGCTTCGTCGATGCCGTATGTCGTATCCTCATTGATTGGCTGTGGACGAAACTGACCGACTATCACGTCTTCGCCAGGACGAGTGCCGGACTGTACTACTTCTCCGCCAAGATGGCGCCCGAACGTTACGCGCCTTTGGCAAGCTGGATCACAGGTCCGTTTTTTCTGCCGGAGTTTTGAGGGCCTGTTCGTGACCGTTTTGGGGCAGGCTGGGCCAACATCACGGGCCAAGTCACCCTCGTCTGCTCGATCGACTTCACCTGCGCCCAAATGATCACAACTGCCATCGCTGTCAGCTCCGACGGCGCGCACGTCCTGTCACTCGGCGCGACGTACGGCATCCTCGTCGCGATCCTCATTTCCCACGGGCTGGTCTGCTCTGCGGCCACGAAGATCCTCGCGCGTTTGAACATCTTCTATGTCATTATCAACGGCGAGTCTGTACGTGGTTCCAAGCGCTTTTTGATCCTAGTATCCCGTATCAGTCGGTACTACGTTCGCGGCCATCATCGCGCTGCTGGTCGCGTCCGGCGGCAACAAGGTGTCCACTAAAGACGCCTTCACGTTGTTCGAGAACAACACCGGCTGGAGTAACAGTGAGCCCGATTTTGTGTGGGAGTAAGCATCGTGACGGGCTGATTGCGTTCTAGACGGATGGGCTTTCATGCTGGCTTTCACAGCACCGATGTGGACCTTGACGGGCTGTGCGTATCCGACACGTGTTCACATTTAGCGTTTCTTGACATCCTGACAGATGACTCTGCGGCCCACATATCTGGTCCGTCACAGCACGTTTTGGCCGCTCCCCTGTTCTGATGCATCTCCACAGAAGAGACGACCAATGCTGGCCGTGCTGCTCCCATAGCCATTCTCGTACGCCGATGCTTATCCTTCACCCCGTCTAGCAGCTGACGAGGAGCAGGTTGGAGTCGCTGCCACGGCAAGTCTGGGCTGGATTCTTCTGATTGCCACGTCCTTTGTCATTCCTTCTGTCGGCGATTTACTGGGCACCACTCTGCCGCTGCCGATGGGCCAAGTGTTCTTGAGCGTACTCGGCAAACGTGGGATGCTGGCCATTTGGTCGTTCATCATCGTCGGTGAGTTTTGGAGCAGGTTTTGTCTCCCGTCGATCGGTAGCTGATTTTTCTCCCAGTACAGGTGTGCTTTTTCAGCCTGGGTTTTCTCATGACCCGATGTTGATGGAAATAGTACGTGACTGGCGCAGCCCAAGCTGTTGATGCGTCCAGAGTCGTCTTCGCTTTCGCGAGGTAAGGCCACGGCACGCCAATTTGAACATCACCTGATCGAACTTTCGCGACAGAGACCACGCGCTGCCCGGGTCGAAATGGTGGAAGAAGATGAACAAGAACGCGGTCCCGGTCAACGCGGTGTGGTTCGTCATATTCTGGTCAGCCATCGTCGGGCTTCTGGGCTTCTCGACTGCAGCCTTGACCTCGCTTGCTGGGTGCGTCCCGCCGCTCCCTCGCGTTAACGATCATCCGATTCTCACCTCGTGGCAGCGCGTCTGTTATCGGACTGTATACTTCGTACGCCACCCCCATTTTGCTGCGCATTACCTCGGGCCGCGACAAGCTTGTCCCCGGCCCGTTCTCCCTCGGCAAGTGGTCCACCGTCGTGGGTGCGATCGCCGTGGCCTGGGTCACTTTCGTGGTCGTGCTGCTTTTGTTCCCGCCCGGACAGAGCGCCACCGCGCAGGACATGAGTGCGTCTCAGTCCACTGCGCCGATCCCCACCCCAATACTGATTGATGCAACACCACGCAGACTACGCCGTGCTCATCGTGATGGCCATCTTTATCTTCGCCACGCTTTCGTGGATCGTGTCGGCTCGGAAGTGGTTTAAGGGCCCGGTGCGCACGGTCGACGAAGCACCGATTAGCGAGAAATGACGCGGGGCCCTTTCTTCACATACACGTTTTGTTCGAGATCCAGACAATGAATAGAGATTGCCCAGATAAGTGGGAGACCCTCTCTCGTAAACAGTCTGCCGATTCCAATCTGAGTGCTATTGCCATCCCTGTTCTTCAGAGATCGGCGATTATCGGCCGACGGTTTTCAACATCCCCGAGATCCCCGATCACCTTCCGAGTTCGGTCGGTGGTCCCTGCTTTGGGGGCCAAGCTCACAAGATCGTTCAAACTTTGAAATTCGTGTACAGAAGAAAACATAAAGGGGCGTAACGAACTATATTCGATTCGACGTAGATTCATAACTGGAATCGGCGCCTCAGGCCTGGATCTTTCCCAGGGGAGTCTTCGCCATCACACTCATAACCTCGAAGAGAATGTCTGCAGCGGCCATTGTCGTAAGCTCCGCGTTGGCTAAATAATTCCTCAGATGAAACCTCACGCGCGGGAGTGATAACGGATGGGCTTACTGTCATACGCGGGAGCGACTTCAACAATGTCTGCCGAGACGATGTGCAATCCCTCGAGGCCCCGAAGGATGGTGCGAAGCTCCCGGGTAGACCAGCCGCCTGTCTCTGGGGTACCGGTGGCCGGTGCGAACCTGATACATAGATGGTGTCAGCACGTTCCTGTGGACGCCAGAATCAGAAAACTCACGCCGGGTCGATGCTGTCAATCTGGGCAAAACAACGTGTGTGTTATTTATTGAGCAATCGCGGCCGGGTGCCAGCACGATCTGGGACTCACGTCGATGGAGAGATAGACGGGGCCGTCCCCGACGGTGTCCCGAATCTTGGAAATAATCCCGGCAGTGCCTAGGAGACCGACTGTGAGATAAGATAAGGAAATAGGAGATCGCTGCGCGCACCGAGGGTGTCGATTTCACGAGCCTCGATGCGCTGGAAGCCCGAGGCGTCGTCGTTTTCGTAGTCCTCCGGGCCACTCAGGGTCGTGCGGATGGCCCCGTGCTAGAGAAAAACAACAAACTAGGATCAAAGCATCGAGAGGAGCACGGGAAACGGAAAGGGGAGGAAGGGGAGGAGGGGAGACGAAGACTTGCAATTGATGATCCGTTCCTGATCAGGCCCTCCTGGCTGGCCCAGTAGAAGTACGTGCCGTGGTTGATCGCGGCCTGGTCGCTCGGCGCGCCACCGAAGACTGAGGGCTTCCACGTGTCTGCAGCGAGGTGAGCCGTGACGCGAGGTGCGAGCGAAGTTCAACTTGCCGAGATGTGAGTCAAAGTGGATCACGGAGATTTTGCCGTACACCGAGTTAATGGAGCGCAGGAGCGGGAGGACGATGGTGTGGTCCCCGCCCAGGGTGATGATGCGCGGATGGTGCTTGCCGTCGAGCGAGAACGGGACAAGGGGCTGCCCGGTGAGAGAGCTGTTGCCCAGAGGCGAGAAAGCCTGGCGTTGCAGGAGAGCTTTGTGGCCACTGATAACAGAGTCAGTGTTGCTCAAGAGCGACGTCGAAAAATACGCACTCCTCGATCTGTTGGATGGCATGCTTGTTGTCGTACGGGCTGCAGAGAACTCAGCCGACGAAGGATGGAGGGTGCATTGGCCTCACGTGACAGGAATATCGCCGCAGTCGACGATGCGAAGGCCCGACTTGAAAGGGTTGATCTTGAGCGGCACGTTATAGCCGCCGTAGAGCGTCAGACGACGGCTGCCCTCGCGGATGCCGGAAGGGCCGAATCGGGCACCTGTCTGACGTTTAAAATCGGGTTAATCTCTCAAGACCTGCGACTGACCCGGGCGGTAACTAAAGCCAGATCGGTGAACAGACAGAGTAATGGAAGTCAATTGTGCCTACCTGGTAGCTGTGTCCTGGTGCACGAATCAGCGACAAACAGACACCGACGCATTTCGGAAGGACGTACGAAGGGTGCGCCGAGGAACGCAATGTCGAAGGGGATATCGCTCTCGCGGCCGAGGCACTGAACCCAAGGCAGTTTGGCAAAGGTGGTGATGCCCGAGAAGATCGAGTCCGCAGTGACCTCGTCGTTGAAGCCGCGGAAGGTGTCCAGGGGGCCCTTGACATAGCCAAAGGGCATCTGGTCCTCGTGCTCATGACCGTCATGAGCAGCGACAGAGGAGACGAGAGCAAGCGCAAGAGCAGCGAAGAAAAACTTCATGTTGATGGGGGTGGAGAGACAGTAGTCGAGCAGATCTGGGGGCCTCGCGAGCCTCAGATATACGAGCGAGATTTGTCGATGCGGATCAGGTGCCCGGGCTGCCAAGTTGTGAGATTGTCCTCAGGGTGGCCGAGGTTCAATCCTTTCCCGGTAAGATAAAGGACACAGAGAAGATGTGTATGACGAATAGAAGCCGCGATCGTGCCACTCGTTGTCTCCAAATCTACTCGTGTTTTGCCTTGAGGCCGATCGTCTAGTCAAATGATTTCAAATGGCCAGATACAGACTGACAATTAACTCCCGGTTCCCCGTAGAATTCCTCGCCTAAAGATAGGCCGACTTTCGGGAGATAAGCCAAATCCAGTCGTCCTCATCCGACCATAAAAGCGCATGCTCAACAGGGGTCCGATTTGATCTTCTAAACGTACAGGGCACACTGCAAAAGAATGTCATCAGCTCACGAAACCAGTCCCCTTCTTCAGGGCGAGTCGAATGGCGGCCTTGTCGCCACCTATGAAGCCGTCGCAGACGAAACAAGTGGTACACAAGCAACATCAACTCCACCGCTGACCGCCTTCCTTTTGTGGTCGCTGTGGCTCGACTCCATCCCAGGCAGGTAACTCGTCTGGAAAAACTCATTTTATTCAACGTTTATGTTCTAGTCATCCTCTCCTACATCCTCCAAAATTCCATCCAGACGGTGTCCGTTTTGATTGCAGGGCGCTTGGGCCCCGATGAACTCTCGGTGTCGGCGTTCTCGCTGATGCTTGCCTTCGTCTCTGGCTAGTGCGCTTTCTCCTGACGCGAGAGAAGTGATCCCACGTTCATCTGCAGGATGGTGCGTTGCGCTTGGCGGTACCACGGCGCTGGACACGCTCGGCTCGCAAGCGTTCACGGGCGGACGCGCGAAAGACTTGTCGGTCCACTTCCAGCGCTGCATCGCCATCCTCTGGGTCCTGTTCATTCCCATCGCTGTTCTGTGGTGGTTCATCGAGCCAGTCCTGCTCGGCCTCGGGCAGTCGGCTTCGTTGAGCCACGACGTGCAGACGTTCCTCAGGGTGCTCATACTCGGGGCGCCGGGTTACATCGGTGAGAGTCGATTCAGATGAGCCACCCGGTCGTCGAGACTGACAGCGGCTAGGATTCGAGAGCTTGAAGAAGTACTTGCAGTGTCAAGGTCGGTTGAAATGTCATTCGAGATCCTAGTGCTGAACTCTTGCAGGTATCATGGGTGCATCGACCGCAGTCTTGGTGCTCGTATTTCCTATCAACGTCGGGCTTAACATCGCCCTGATACATCACACGTCGCTGGGGATTCTGGGGTCGCCCCTGGCCTTGTCGATCACATACTGGCTCTGCTTCGCCCTGCTCGTGATCTGGACTTGGCGGTCGCCTGTGCACGCGCAAAACAAGACATGGGCCGGCTTCCAACCATCGGCCGTCTTCAACCTCCGAAGCTGCTATCTCTTCTTGCAGCTCGCCATTCCTGGAATTCTGATGGTCGGCACAGAGTGGTAAGCGCTGCGATGGTGTGTTCAGTCGGAGGGGATTGATTTGTCGTAGGGCTGCGTTTGAGATTGTGGCTCTGGCCGCCGGTCGCCTCGGTGCTATTCCCTTGGCGGCTCAGTCCGTGATCATGACCACAGATCAGAGTAAGTTGCGGTCCAACTTGTTCGCACAAGAGGTCTCAGTCCGTCCCATCGTAGTTCTGAATACCGTTCCATTCGGAATCGGGGTCGCAGCGTCGGCTCGTGTCGGCAACTTGATTGGCGCGCGTTCACCAGCTGGCGCGAAGCATGCAGCCCATGCTTCTGCTGCGGTAAGCGTCGTTGTCGGCGTGTTGGTCATGACAGTGATGATGGCCACGAAAAACGTGTGTCCTGCCTTGATTCTCGAAGCGTCTGTAGCTGATATGTCTAGGTGTACGGATACTTATTCAGCGACGACACGGATGTCGTCCACCTTGTCGCCCAAGTGATGCCGCTGGTGGCATCGTTCCAAGTGGCAGATGGCCTGGCTGGCTCTTGTGGAGGTGTTTTGCGGGGCCAGGGTCGACAACATCTCGGAGCGCTGTTCAACTGTGTCGCATACTACGTGCTCGCCCTTCCGTTCGGAATCACGCTGGCGTTCCATCCGCGAACGCAACTAGGGTTACAGGGTCTCTGGATTGGCCAGGTCGTCGCGCTGTTCATCGTCGGTCTTGGAGAGTATTACGTAGTGTGGAAAAGCGATTGGGATCTCGAGGTGCGGCGTGGGATAGAGAGAAACGAGCAGGAGGGGAAAAGCGCAGTGCCTACGAGTTAGGCAGGAATGACTAGAAGTAAATATACTCGAGTAGACACATGACCAGATCAGAGTCCAGACAGATTTGTACAAAGTACAAGAGCAATGGAGGGCAGCACAAAAGATCGACGCTAGCAATGCAGATGTAGAATTGACGCGGAGGGCAAGTTAACGAGTACGGCAGTTGCTTATGACGTCCCGAACGCGGCCTTGTATAACTTGCTGGTGGGACTATGTAGGAAGAAGCAGGAGTTTGGTCAGCTTTGTTCGTTGATCTGATTCTATTTCGGGACCAGGGAGACTGTGACGGACACGTAGGTTCAGAAGCGCATTCATACTTGTACAACCACGACGCGACTTTTCTGAAGACACATCCACTGCGGCCATGCCCAAGGCCTTCCCACTCCCTTCAGACCTCTCGCCGGCGACGGTCTCCAACACCGCTTCGCTTTTGAGAATCGTCGCTCTTTCCCTCATCTCCGGTGCTGCCATCGCGTCCCGACTGTTTGCGGTCATTAATTTCGAGAGCATTATCCATGAATTGTGCGTTGGCACGTCTTCTCACTCTCTGCTTCACCTCCTTACCTCTCCGCAGCGATCCCTGGTTCAACTAGTGAGTATGAGAATGCACGTCGACGAATCACCTCAAACCGTTTCCCCGCAGTCGCGCTACCCGCGTTCTCGCTTCCCAGGGTTTCTATGTGCGCTGCTCCTTCTACATAGCGAACCTCACACTGAATGTCGTCCTAGGAATTCTGGAACTGGTTTGACCCGACAGCATGGTATCCTCTTGGACGTGTCGTCGGTGGAACCGTGTACCCCGGATTAATGGCCACGAGCGGTGTCATCTACAACTTCCTCCGCGCTCTCAACCTCCCGGTGGACATCCGCAACATTTGTGTCATGCTCGCGCCCGGCTTCAGTGCGCTGACGGCTTTCGCTACCTACCTGTGCGTGCGGACTGCAATTCTTCATGGCTGTCGCTGACAAGATGCAGCTTCACCAAGGAGATGAAAGACGCTAGCGCTGGTCTCCTCGCTGCTGCGTTCATCGGTATCACACCCGGTTATATCTCGCGTTCCGTCGCCGGTTCCTACGACAATGAAGCCATTGCAATCTTCCTGCTCATGTTCACGTTCTTCTCGTGGATCAAAGCTCTCAAGTTAGGTAGTGCTATGTGGGGAACCATCTCTGCGGTGTTTTACTTCTACATGGTGGCGGCATGGGGTGCGTTTTCCAAATTCTCTACAATTACTATTGCTCAATGACGCAGGTGGTTATGTTTTCATTACGAACATGATCCCCCTCCACGCCTTGGTTCTTGTCCTGATGGGCCGTTTCTCGAACCGTCTCTACGTCGGGTACTCGACCTGGTATGCGATTGGAACGCTTTCCAGCATGCAAGTCCCTTTCGTCGGTTTCCAGCCGGTTTCGACCAGTGAACACATGGCTGCTCTCGGTGCGGCATTTTTGCGTTCATATGTGCAGTTCCGCTAACAATCGGGCTTCCTAGGCGTCTTTGGACTGTTGCAGATTGTTGCGTTCACTCAACTTGTTCGGTCGCATGTGTCTTCTAAGCAGTTCCAAAACCTGCTTTTCCTGGCGCTGATCAGCGCGGGCGTTCTTGGAACTTTCGCGTTCATTGGGCTGACATACCGGGGAACGATTGCTCCGTGGACGGGTCGTTTCTATTCTCTCTGGGACACGGGCTACGCGAAAAAGTAGGTGTCACATCGAATCAGTCCAAGACTCGCATCTTATCTCTGGCAGGCACATTCCCATCATCGCTTCCGTCTCAGAGCATCAGCCTACTGCCTGGCCGTCGTTCTTCATGGACCTGCAGTTCCTGATGTTCCTGTTCCCTGCCGGTGTAGCTCTTTGCTTCTACCAACTGCGTGACGAGCACGTGTTCGTGATCATCTACGCTGTGATGTCCAGCTATTTCGCTGGTGTCATGGTGCGTTTGATCTTAACACTGACGCCTGTGGTTTGTGTATCTGCTGCTGTCGCCTTCTCGACTTTGCTCGACACGTACGTCGATGCGGAGGAACCTGAAAAAGAGGAAGAACCTGCTGCTGGCGCTGCTGGAGACTCAGCTGCTGCCAAGAAGGAGAAGAAAGCGCCCGCCACTAGCCTCGCCGACATTGTTGCCGCGGCACCGTCTGCCAAGAAGGGTGTCTTCGGAGTGGATACTCGTTTGGCTGTGATTCTGAACGCGCTGGGGATGCTGTCCTTCTTCGTGTGGCATTGTACGTGGGCCACCTCGACAGCGTACTCGTCGCCCTCCGTTGTGCTCGCGTCGACCAATGCCGACGGTAGTCAACACATCATTGACGACTTCCGCGAGGCCTACTACTGGTTGCGTCAGAACACGCCGGAATCCGCTGTCGTCATGAGCTGGTGGGACTACGGCTATCAGATTGCGGGAATGGCTGACCGTCCAACGTTGGTCGATAACAACACCTGGAACAACAGTGCGTCCATCGGCCAGCATGCTTGGTTCCATATGCTCATTGGTCGATACAGCTCACATTGCGACTGTCGGCAAAGCCATGTCGAGCAGCGAAGAAGTCGCTTACCCGATTCTGAGGAAGCACGACGTTGACTACGTCCTGGTCATCTTCGGCGGCCTGCTGGGCTACTCGGGCGACGACATCAACAAGTTCTTGTGGATGGTCCGGATCGCGCAGGGTGTCTGGCCGGAAGAGATCCAGGAGCCCAACTACTTCACGCCTCAGGGCGAGTACCGGGTGGACGATCGCGCCTCCCCTGCCATGAAGAACTCGTTGATGTACAAGATGTCGTACTACCGCTTCGCCGATCTTTTCGGCGGCGCCCAGCCGACAGACCGAGTGCGAAATCAACAACTTCCCGTCAAAGGCCCTACGCTGGATTACCTCGGTGCGTCGGTCCTGGGCATGAATGCCGGTTGACTGATGATGATTCCTGCAGACGAGGCTTACACGACAGAAAACTGGATTGTCCGCATATATCAAGTGAAGAAGGAGGATGTGCTGGGTCGTGATCTGAAGAGTGCCAATTCGTTCACTCAGGGAAAGAAGAGGAAGCGAACGAAGCCTGTATCTCGGAGACGAGCGATCTGATAGTCAGTTGGCTGCTAAAATGATATTGGAACATTTCGGAGACTGGATTGGCCGACGCAAACGGGATACGTCCATCGTGTGCCCATTTAGTGTATATCCTTCCTGTTGCTGTGCAGCACACCACACGTTATCGGTCTGAATGTCAACTTGTGGGTTTGTGCACGCGTGCTTCAATACATTTGCGATCTGGTGTGCAGGCCCAGCCTGATATGCGCCGCGTTTCAAGCAGTCCAGGGTTGCATTGGCGGGCCAAGATGACTCGAGCGGGTGCGACAAACTAGCTCCGGAAGGCGGCCCGGCCGCCGGGAGAATCTTCGAAGACCTCAAGCTTCGCTCACTTCTGACCACGCCCTCCACATAATCTCCCGCTGTAGGCAACCTGGCGCGCCGCATGATGCCAATCCACGCGAGATTCCTACACAGTCTGTAATTATCTCACCCGCCTTGGTCTCAAATAGCTCTGGTGCCAACATCCGGCGCGTGCTCCCATCAGGGTGCCATATGGCGCCAGCTACTTAAGACAGTAGAGGCCGCTCTCCCCCTCACGCTACTCAACGCGAGACCTGGCCCAGCTCTCTACCATCCTCAGCTCAGCATACTATGTCTCTCCTCCGCGACATGCTCAAGAAGCCCAGAGAGGGCACGGGCGCAGGGCGGCCCATGCCAGGCGCAGGCGCAGGCGCGGTCCCGGCAGCACCCAAGAAGAAGACGGACAGCGCATCGATCATGTCTGCCGGAGCACGTTCGTTGGTCGGATCGCTGTACTCGCTGACGATCGGAGGGGAGCGTGTGCAAAAACGCCGGCGGCCTCAGTTTTCCGATCTCGGTGCGTCGGAGCGTTTTGTTGGCATCTGCAGCCGGGCGGTGAACGTGTTGGCAGGTGCGCCGGAGTGGCACCCGGAAGATAAGGTACCCATCCCTGACGACATGCCGGGCACCGTGTCCAGAAGTGACATCGGCGCGTACACCGTCGCTCATGGGACCGTGCTTCCGCTCCGTCTCGACGACAAGAGCCACTGGCTGTCGCTCATCCTGTACAATCATGCGGCAGAGACGTCGCTCGCTGCGATGTACCACAACGAAGGCGCGTCCAGTGCGATGCGATCTCATCTTGTCCTCGGGATTGATTTTGATTTCTCCGACCTCCTCCAGCCAAAATCTGCGGCGAACTGCGTCTTTCTATAGAGAAGCCAAAGAGCATTTCAAGCCTCGATATCTGGGTTCGTGGCCCCATGTAGCCCGTATCAGCATCATTCTGACCGCGGGGATCAGCTGGCAGCAATTGCTCCCAATGGACAGCTCCTGAGCCTGACTGCCAATCTCTGGTCCCGACACAAAGGTGACCCAAAGCACCCGGGCGCGAAGAATCCGAGCGTCTTCAAGGACAAATTTCCCAGTGGCACTTACGTGTTCCCGTTTGAGCTCCCTGCGTTCCCGAGATTCGTCCAGGTGTCGCACCCTGACCACGAGAACGTGAGCACACGTGGGACCACATGGCTGGCATACGTCTCGCTCACATCCGCCGCAGCAACGCGGGATGGTCGCGCTGCCACGTCTGTATTCCTTCTGTTCTGTTCGATGCGGTGCGATCCGGGCTGACGGCCCCTCGTACAGCGTCGGGCAAGGTCAAGTTCACATGTGGCGTTGGCGTGCGACGAGACTCGGTCGGCGGAATCAACGAAGACATGGACATGATTTTGCAGTACATCCCTCTCACGCGGAACTTGCCGAAAGCGCCATCGCCGTTTCCTTTCCTGACCTCCCGCGAAGAGTGGCCGTTCAAGCGCGAGTCGATCGGCGGCTGGGTGCTCACGCCGTTCGGCGGTCGGGGACGAATCGGGACCGACATCGTGGAGGTGGAAGGAATTGTCCGTGGCAATGGTGCTCCGGGTTCCCTCGACGTACTTACTATTCCGGCAGCTCGGCGTGCAAGATCCGGCGGTTTTTCAGGCTGGACAGACTGTGGACTTTGTGCTTCTTCTCTGGTCGAAGAGCGCGGATGCCATCACGTTGCTCGCGCAGCCAGCCGCAATCAGCGTCGGCCACTACAAAGCAGATTTGATGCCGTCCTCGGAAGCTCTGCGGCCGCGTTCGCAGTCCCGACAGACAAGGACCCTCGAGCGCACAGCCGATGGACGGATCTGGCTCGCTGAATCCGGACGACCGGCGCAGGGAGAGTCGGCTCCTCCGCTGGTCTACCTCAGCCACGTCCCAGAATTGGCGCCGCCCAGCTCGCCGAAGACCCCGACTCTACCGTCTCGAATGCAGAGTTTCGTTTCGGCTGATGACCCTGAGGAGGAAGAGAACCAGCTGGAGGCGGCAGATCAATTTGACGACGCATTCGGCGACACCGAGCAGATTGTTCGCCTTGAAGGGGAGATTGTCATCCCTCCATCAAGGCCCGTGAGCTACCGGTACACTGAACTGGGGCGAGAGGTATATTTCTTTGTTTGTTGATCGAACCGCTGGTGGGCCAACTGCTTCACAGTACAGTCTTCAACTACACATCACACACCCTCAATACGCCCATATCTCTCCGACGGGGGCAGGTCTCGTGGCTGAAGTCCCTCTCTGGATCACTGCCGATCGACCCATCCACAGCGGCCCAGTGGACCTGAATGCCGATGCCGACTATCTGGCATCACTACCCTTGAAAGGTGCTACTATCCCCGTGGGACCTGGGGCAATTCGATGGCCGAAGAGTGTGGGAGAGCGTGCACGCCACCCTCGTGGCGGCAAGCCCAAACTGGGACAGGCATTTCTTGGCTTGAGGTCACTCCCAGGACAAAGCGTGGGTGTATCATAGACGGGACCATTTCATAATCCATCAGATGAGTGTACTTATTACTTCCGCTTAAGGGAACAATGTTTCCTATTTCGGAATCAAGGTCGAACGTGACTCTTTAGACCTGAGGGACCATCGCAGAAAGCTGTTCAGGCAGAACCGGACGTTTGAGCCACTCGTCCATCCAGCCACTCTGAGCGCCCTGGCTGTGCTCGACGCTGGGCAAGGCAAACACGGCTGTGACAAGCCAGATATCCTCGGGCCCTGAGCTGTGTTCTCCCATTAGAGTCGGGAGGACGGCTCTGGGCACCATCAGATTTGAATTTGCGTCCGTACGAAGGGCCACGCCCTTGCGTTCCTGGCCACCGACTGAGAGGATGCCAACGACACCCGCCTCGGATGCAGCTCGGGCCCGGCCCGGCCCGGCGAAGGTACCAAAACGCTCGTCACTAGATTCTTCATCCAGGGGATCTAGGTGTCTTCCGTCTTCACGCTGACCGTAGACAGCAAACCCGCCCTCGGCTGAAGTGAGCGACCGGCCCTTCCGGATCCGATGTATGCGCAGGTGCCATAGCGGTGCCGCTGTGGAAGGAGGGACGAGCCAAGTTTCCACAGCGACGTCTTTCCACGGATACCACATCGAGCGCAGCCAGCCGACACCCGGGCCCTCGAACCGCGCCTCCCGGGTGTCCCGTCGGCATTTCCAGGTCTCCCCTCCGTCGTCGCTCAGCGCGAGCGTGTTGTCGCCGGCGAGTTCCTCGAGGGTCCCGTTCCCGACGGGTACGCTGTAGCCGAACGCTGAGGAATATGCGAGCTTGCCGTATTTGGCTGGGCCTTGCTTAACGGGGTAGGAACACTGTTGGCCGGAGGACAGGATGTAGCAATGTCCGCCGAGATTGGTGGCGATATGCAGCGGGTGCTTCAGCGCCTTGGTCGTATTCAGTAGCGTGGTCGGATACGGCTCTTCTTCGGCAGTCCAGAAGGGATGTGACTCGGGAAGGGAGAGAGCGATGAACGACTTGCAGCACCAGTACGGGGATCCCGGCGAGTTGTAGTTCTCGGTCATGTTGTGATTGGGATAACAGTAGCCGATGGTGAGAGTGCCGTCGCTGTTGAATGCCCCAGCTTGCTTGGCCCACCATCGGATGTTGCGTAGTTGTATTCCTTTGACGACACCCCATGTCAAGGGGGCCGGAAGGTCGACATCGGCAAAGGCAAGTGCACCCCAGAATGCAGACATCGCGAAACGGTACGTCAAACTCCTGCCGAAAGGAATCGCGCGACCTGGACAAGGTTCAGAAGAGAGGGTGCATACAGCCCGAAACCGTACCCTCAGCATCAAAGTAGTGCACAAAATCCAGCGCAAATTGGCGAGCCCTGTTCCTATATTCCTCGCAGCGCACTGGATCGTCTTTCTGAGCCAGCTTGGAGTAGACGAGCTGAGCGTACTGAATCGCGAACGAGGATGAGTAATAGTCGAGTTGCACAACACCCTCCGGGCCATCGCGAGACCACCCATCACCGATATAGAACGTATCGAGATGGTCCATGTCCGCCTTCATTCGCTCAGCATCGAAACGCGAGGAACCTGCTCTCGACAAGCCAAGATTCGCAAAGACCTGTTGACGTGAGCGAGAGCAAGCCGTCGACGGGACAGGATGCCTACACGGAACCAAAGCCAATTCGTATTCGGCATCGCCTTGTCATTCATCCCACCGAGCCAGCGTTCAAAATTCATCTTGGCTTCAGGCGAGAGAGGATCCCACAGTTTCTCCTTGGCCACGGCAATGGAGAATCCAATAGCAGAGCATTCAACCATCCGCTGGTCCTTGTCCCGCATCTCGCCCCAGAACTCCTCGTGCCCCGGATCGCTGCCGTTCGCAAACCCCCTCACCCACCGCTCGGCGCCGGCGTAGTGCCCCCCGCCAGCCAAGAACGACGCCAGCCCCCAGATCGGTCTGGAGAACCCCTCGAGCTGGGCAGCAGCTTCGTCGTAGTGCGTCGCGGTGTGCCCGAGGTGGATCCGTGCGCCACCGGGAGAGGTGTGCGCTGCCAGGGGATCGAGGAGACCGACGAGGAAGTCCGCGAGATCGGACTTGGTTTTCAGAGGATTCGAGGAGAAGGGTGACGTTTTTCCGAATGAGTCCATGGTGTGAGGTTAGCAGTTACCTCGCTTCTCTGAGAGAGTTCCAGGCCTGGAGAGTGGAGTTGAAGATCATCAGGGCCCGTCTCAGAATACCCCGCACGCGGTCCGATCGGGCCGGCCTACTGCGGCAGGTCACGTAACACCTCCCACGATAGCCTCTCAGTTGCGGCGATGATGCCAATTACGCGGTGAATCTTACCGTGTCAGATCGGATCGTTGGGACCTGAAGCATGACACCCTGGTGCGAGCGCCCAAGCCAGAGCCAGAACCGCTTGTTCCCAGGCCTTGGGATCTAAACCTCCGCCGCACGACGCACCTACCTACTACTCCATGCCGACGAAGAAGGGCCAGGGCGCGACGAGCATCTTCCGCCAGTCTCTGTTCCCACAGCAGCAGAAACTCGCGGGGCTGCTCGTGACCGACGAGCTCGAGAAAGCGCTGTTGGAGTGCAAGACACGCGTGGAGAGGATTGCGCGGGACTGCCGGGCGCAAAATCGGCGGTTTCGGTGCGTGGATGCTGGAATCGCGGGTGGCGGGTATTGGTTCAGCGTACTGACACGGCGCCTGGTCTGTTTCCCAGCGACATTGAGTTCGATCTCGAGAACGACAAAGATCGGTGCGTCTGCTGCGACCCGCGCGGGGCGCGCTAATTCATACGAGCTCCGTGCCAGATGTCTGTTCGGGCTGTCCACGGAAAATCGGCGTTTCAAGCCCTCCGATGTCCAGCGCGTGCACCAGATCTTCCCCGCGCCGTCGTTCTACATCGACGGCGCGCACTCGGGGGACATTGTGCAGGGCCGGATGGGTGACTGCTGGGTCCTCTCCGCGCTATCGACGGCGAGCACGGCCGAGGGTCTGGTCGAGCGGTTCTGCGTCGCGCGGGACGAGCGGGTCGGCGTGTACGGATTCGTGTTCTTCCGGGATACGCGCTGGGTCGTCGTCATCATAGACGAGTACGTACTGCATCTGCATCCAGAGTCGCCGTGCTCTATTTGACACATGCATAGTCTGTTGTACACAGCGATACCCAAGTTTGAGGAGCTCAATAACGCCGAACAGACGCTGTACCATAATGATAAGAAGCTGTACGAAACCTCGGCTCGCAAGGGGGGGAAGACGCTGTACTTCGCGCGCTCGGGTACAGAGAATGAGACATGGGTGCCGTTGGTGGAAAAGGTAACAAGCTTATGCCTCGACCGTTCTCGACGACATCCACCTACGCACCCGATAGGCTTATGCCAAATTGCACGGTGACTACCTGTCCATTGACGGAGGCTTCTCCTGCGACGCCATTGGTGTGTGGTTTCCTGTTCGCCTTCCCGCCAGTCGTTGATTGTGATCTGGCCAGAGGATCTGACTGGGTAATCAACGCAAATGCTCACTTTCTCCTCAAATCTTACTCATGCTGACAGCGGTGTCTCTACTTTGTTCCGGACGAAAGTGAGCTCCACAGCTAGTGGTACCGCACACACACTCTGATGTCACGGCAGGATATTCTCGATACGGATATCTTCTGGAAAGACGAGCTTTTGTATGCGACGCGCGATCGGCTCTTCGGCTGCGGCTTTGACGGCCTGGACACGGCACGGCGCATGGCAGCGGACGACGAAGCAGTCGGCCTGACGGTCAACGGACTCATCGGGGCGCACGCTTACTCTGTGTTGCGCGCAGTCGAGTACAACGGAAAGAGATTCGTCGTGCTGCGCAATCCGTGGGGAGACTCGGAGTGGACTGGGGCGTGGTCCGACGGCTCGAAAGAGTGGACAGAGGAATGGCTGCCTGCACTCAAGGCGCTCGGACATTCATTTGGCGAAGACGGACAGTTTGTTATGGAATGTGAGTTTCGTCGTTTGCTCAGCCTACGATGTGTTCATTGAAGGCACAGACTCCGACTTCCTAGAGAACTGGAGTGTGGTCGAAAGAACATTGGTTTTCGATGACACATGGGTGATGTCTTCACAGTGGCTGCAGGTGACTGCGCGCGAGCCGACGTCGGCCTGGAGCTTTGGAGACATTTCCTGTAAGAACTCCTTCCGCATCACCCCCGCAGCTGACAATTGACTCTTGCAACAGTCACCATCTCTATTCCATCAGCAACCCGCGCTGTGATTGTGCTCTCCAAGCTCGAAGAACGCTACTTCACCGAGATGTCGGGCAACTCCATTTGGATGTTCGATTTTGTTGTCTTCAAGAAAGGCTCCAAGGAAATGCTTGCCCAAAGCAGTATCCCCCGATTTCATCTTCGCAGCGTGAATGTCGAGCTCTGGCTGCAACGGGGCGATTATGTTGTCCACGTGAGAGACCAATTTTCTCTCTGCCGATCCAAACTGAACTCTTTGCAGGTCCGACTCGATCGGCAGGTGGTGAACAAACTCACTGTCTATACGGCCGACAATGCGGATTCCCGCAAGCTTGCCCGGGTGAGGGCCGAGCGAGCCATCAGCCAGTCGATCGCATCGAGTAAGTTCCATGTGCCGTTGCTTTTCAGGTCATAACACTAACGGTTCTATACAGACTTCAAGCAGAGGTGAGCAGATCTTAGCCTGGACCAATTTCCTCCTTGTTAATTGCTCAGCACCGTCCTCGATAACTTGCCCATCCCGCTGGAGGTCCTCGCTGGCCAGGACCTTACCCAACTTGAAGTCAAGGCTGCGGAAGCAGAAGCAGCTCTGAGGACCCACGAACAGGGTCCAGTGCGAGAAAAGAAGTCGTTTTCGCTCTCGAACACAACCGGCTTTCCACCAACGGGACTATACAAGCGCGAGATGACGATGAAGGCAGCTCCGGCGACTGCAGAAGCCGAAGACGATGACGGCGACGAGAATTGGGCCGACGATGAGGAGGTTGACGCCGACCCCACGCTCGATGCTCCTCTATCCCTTGCGGACGAGGATCTCGGCGTCGATCAGGAAGAGGACACTGGCCCCGGTGCCGATGCCGAAGAGCATGGTGGTGCCAGGCGAGAAGACGAGGGCCTCTCGGAGTACAGCAACGATACAGTTGTCCTGGGACTCAAGGTGTATACGAAGAAGAACGCGCCAGCCACCGTGCAAGGCCAACTTCGTCACGAAATGGATGTGAGCTATGCTGCATTCGTAAGCGTCGCCCTCGAATGATGCGCGAACCCCATTTCATGCGATCGATGTCGTCTGCTCTACGATTGCTGAGCCAGTCCAGTTGGATATGATCTCTTATTCAAATTGATGATGTACAATGACGACAGTTACAATGTTCTTCAGTTTAGCTAACAGGGCGGTACTTCCTGTTCGTCGCAGCCTTGGTCAGCGAGTAAGCTCGGACAAATCACAAGCACACGCACTTGCGCCATTCGACGGCGGCGAACGGAATGGCCAGGCCAGTGCCCATGAAGACGGTGCACTTCACTGCAAAGCGGGCGGGGTGGGTGACGGCGCCAGCTTCGTTGAACGGCATGCGCTGAGCGTCGATCAGCCTCCGTCCGATCGTCGATGGAGGGAGCTAGACACACCTTATACTCCTCCGCACCATGACCAGACGCAAAGCGTCTTCCGGCACCACGGATGAGAGGAGCGCGCAGGGTAAGGCGGAGCATCGTGGTATGCGTGTGGGGGATGCGGGGTAAGAGTGTGGGGTTTGTGCGGGGGATCGATGTTTATAAATGGTGCCCGATGACAAGGCATGTGAGCAGTACGTAAATCACAGATTCTAGACTCTAGAAGGAAAGAACATATTCATTCATTTGTAATTACTCGCGCAGTTCGACGTAATTGGCTGAGAGGATTGAATAAATGCATATGGAGGGTGTCAAGGAGAGACATACCAGGGAACAAACCAATCTCTCCAGCACTGTTCTTGCCTTGCCACCAGTCATCCGATGCAGCCTCAATCTCGATGATCAGCTCTCCTTCTTTGAACGACAGCTCGTTGTCCTCGGCCGCATCATAACTAAGGAACGATGATGAACGTGATTCAGCACCACGTAAGCACGCTTACTCGTAGAGTGCGACGGCACTGGCTCCTACGTCTTGCTCGGGCTCAGGTGTAGGAGCTCGGGGAGGCGGTGCAGGCGCAGCCACAGGCGGTGGTGGAGGCGGGGGCGGGGGCGGTGGAGGAGCGGCCTCCGCTTCAGGCTCAGTAGCCATCAGCTCGACGTAGTTCGCTGATGTTGTGATCAGTGCATTAGATGAATCATCAACGTGAAGCTCACTCACCGGGGAAAAGTCCAGTCTTTCCGCCAGCGCCGATTCCGGTCCACCAGCCTTCATCGACTTCTTCCACCTGCTCAATCACTTCTCCCTCAGTGAGACTCATTTCGTTGTCCTCAGCGGCCTCGTAATCGTACATGACCATCGCACACTGGCCTCGGTCATGTGACGGTTCCGCAGACGCGACAGGCTGTTACAATAAGTAAATGATAGCGCATCAATGTCGAGCTTACGGGCGGAGGAGGCGGCGGAGGGGGTGGAGGAGCAGGAGCAGCAGCTTCGACAACGGGCGGCGGAGGCGGAGGTGGTGGCGGAGGCGGCGGCGGCGGAGGCTACAAAAATATGGACATGCTCGAGATCAGAAGCGGTAAGCACGCACCGCCAATTCTTGCTCTTCCTCCTCCCATTCTGGTTCTACGGGAGGCGCAGGAGGCGGGGGCGGAGGCGGCGGAGGCGGCGGGGCAGGAACGGCTGGAGGTGCTGGAGGCGCTGCCGGAGGGGGAGGCGGCGCTGCCGGAGGTGCAGCTGGAGGCGCAGATGGAGGCGCAGATGGAGGCGCAGCTGGAGGCGCAGCTGGAGGCGCAGTTGGAGGCGCAGCTGGAGCAGCTGGAGGCGCAGCTGGAGGCGGCGGTGCAGACGGGATAGCAACCGGGGCGAAAGAGCGAGCGACAGATGGGCTAGAGTTGAGAGAAGCTGAGGCATCTCTGCTACGACTTTCTTCCTCCTCAGCAAGCTTCTTCGCTGCAGCCTGACGCTCGCTCCACGTCAGTTTCTTTGGGGCAGCGGAGACGGGGGTGGACACTGGTTGTTGCTGTTGTTGTTGCTCATACGCGGCAAACGGATTCTTCAGCTTTCTCGGCGCGGGCAGAGAGACGGGGGTGTATGCGGTTCCAACGGGAGCAATACGGTCCTCCTCGACGGGCTTGGTAGGCACATTAGAGGCGGCGACAGGCGCTGGCGCCGGGACAGACACAATAGGACGCGGTGCAGTCACAACTGGCGGGCGGGGTGCAGTGACCACCGGAGCCGGCGGAGGGACCACAGGTGACGGGGCTGCCGCAGGCGAGTCCCAGTCTTCATCAGGCGCAGTCGTTCGTTTATCCACCGAGCGACCGTATAGAGATGCAGCTGAGGCAACTGGCTTCGCCCCGAACGCCGGTCGGGAAACAGTTGCAGGCTTTGTGGGAGCGCTACGAAGGGCAGCGATGTCCGGAGTCCCGATGGGTTTGTAACTGGTACCAACAGGTGCGATCGGCTCAAACTTGCGCGCTTGTTCTTTGTGGGTGGAATATTTGGCACCAGAGGCTGCCTCCACCCGCGACATGATCAGCGATGAGGATACGTCCGACTGCATTGCATGAGACAAGTTACATTCGGACCACGGAGGATGAAGCGGCAACTGTTCCGTACCTCGTTACGCGCGTTCAAAACGACGTGTGTGCCTCGAAGGAAGCTCGCCACAGCGTTGGAGTGGGTGTGGAACAACCCTTTCTTCTGCTCGGGAACTCCATCCCCACACCAGTTGATTTGAACGAACTTGGGGAGTTTGCTCTATGTGGTCTGGTCAATGATAACAACCGATATGGCTTTCGCATGACGAACATTAGGATCTAACACCCGCGCGAAAGCATATTGGATTCTGTAAGAGATTCAACCATCGAAATAGATCAGTACAATAGAGAGACTGACCTTCCATCGTGAAATTCTTCTTCGAGCTCCTCGAGACCACCATCTCCGGTTCCTTGCACCTTGAGATCATTCGTCCCACCCTCGTATGTGAAGAGTGCCCAATCAATTCCGTCAGAGTTCAGGACATTGAGATATGCATCTCGGATATCTTTGCTGGACAGGTTCACTTGCAGAGACATTCTCTCGCACTGGAAACTGGTGGCTGCGGGAGAGTTATGGTGATGTAAGAGATCACCGCCACTGTCAATACGCACCAACAACGCGCTCGTTCCTGTCTACGCCTAGTGCTTGCACTGGCAGGGTCCAATGCTTCGCACCTCAACCAAATACACACGATCAAACCCGGAACCGACAACACTTATCTTCTCTACGCTCAAGCCGGAGAAACTCCGATTTTCCGACCGCCTCGACTTCGCAGGACGAAAATACCCATGCATTGCATCGCATAAAACCTCGGAAGGCGAGGGAACAGCGGCGTTACTCATGTACGACTACTTTCAATACAACTGGTTGCCGTTTCCTCCCCACACGAAAGGCTTTCTCTATTTCCATCGGCCTCCCGACGTGCCGTGCTCCGCTTGGGGAATCCGTTTTCGCATCTGCTCAGAGCCTGCCGGGTTTCATGCTGGCCACGATCTCCTCAACTTCAACCAGACACCGTGGCATCTGACCCTGGGGTCGATAGGGAGATCGTATCCGCTGCTATGCGAGCTTCTCCTGCGCGAGAAGCTTGTGACCCAGGCGGACGTGCAGCAGTCCATGGCCTTGTTTCCGCAGATCTCGAAGAAGACACCGGCTGAGAACGTGCTGTACAGCTTCGACCAGCTTTTCCCGCTTTCCTTTCGCTCCTCGACGCGCTTGCATGTCGTACTTGAGGGCCATAGGCACCAGATGGTATTGCGCATGTTTCGGGACCAGCGGCTCAGGTCCAACAGGGGGTCTTTTGACTCTCAGCCGTACTCTGGTGTGTGGCCTCTCTGTTCTACGATCGCTGGTGGCCTGAGCCATCTGCAGGATCTGCCCTGGCGAAATTCGAGCACCAAGTATTCGAGGGCAAGAATACCGCCGTGGTCCGTCTGGTCAAACTCATCGACCCTCCCAAATTGCGATTCCCTGCCTACGATGGGCACGTCAAGCTTCCTGAGGAGGGCAGTCTTGTCCATGTAGCCTCACGCTCTGCGAAGGGAGGATGGTCGCCCTGGCGGAGAAATCTGGCATCTGAGCGATTCAGGCCTCTCCGCTTGCTGTGGGAAAAGCTTGGGATGCGAAAGCCAGTGTTATAGGTGCGTAACGGAAACACTTGCAGCCGTCGTGGGAAACCACTGTTATGATTAGACCCTGACACCGATCCCAGACGCTATCGTTGTCGAAAACTTTCTTTGGCACGCAAGATTTCAAGGTAAAAGTATAGAATGTACATTAGAAGGCGTTGAATAGTACGACGTAATCTGGCGATTCGCTCACTTGGGGAGCCCCAGTCGACAAGATGTACGATTATGGCCTACTTGGCCGCACAAGCCACAGCATCCCTTGGCTCTGGGTCGTGGCGGAGGCTGGGGTGGTTTCGGTGTTTCGGGAAGTGGACACGTTTTTCGGTTGTGGCCTCGTTGTCGGCAATTCGTACATCGGTCTGTTTTGGTCAGCTGAGAATCTATCGGATGCAGCGGATGCACATACTGATCACTTTGAAAGGTGTGTTGGGGCTGCAATTGGGCGGCGGGGGCGAGCCGTGACTACTACCGGCCTGCAATCGTAAGATCCTTGGCGCCGCACATGAACCAGAGGCTGACATCGTCCGGCTCGCGAGAGTGGGCCGTGGAGGAGGGCGGTGGTGCGCACAAGAGCTGGCTGATTTTCATAGCGATTTGGGGCTCAAATTGACCAACGCCGTTATAAAAGCACCGTTGCATGCACATCTGAATTCTCCGCGAACTTTGATCGAAGGCAATTACAGTGAGGCGAGGCCGAAAGTGTTGGAAGGCGAAACTTTTTGGGTGTTTGACGGACATTTTACCACACGCAAGTAGAGCCACGCCCAAAGTATAAATCCAGTTGAACGCGTTGATGTGTCACAAGAATTCAGAAGATCAGCGAGGAGTAAGTAAGCTGGTCGCGAGTTTTCTTATTCGAGTGCGTCTCAGGGTTGCCGGACAGGTGAACCGCACGGAGAAAAAGGTTAAAACAAACCGCCACGGCCCACGGCACCAGTCCCGTGTTCATCATTCTAGTTTTGGAGACCTGTCTTCAATCAATTAGCCGGGTCGCGTTCCCTCTCTGGCCCCACACACCAAAACATGAACGGACTGTTTCCAATTGCGGGATCGAACGATCTAGTTCCCAGGGAGCGGCCCCGGCACCAAAACAAATGCACGACAATCAGTCAGCCCCAAGGAGGCACTAAAAGTGCCCTCGTGTTTTCCCCGATAAAAATGCTGTTCCGAGGACCGTGAGACAGGCGACGAGGATCATACGTTTCTGCGCGCCGCTTTGCATCTTGAAGCTGAGCTCTACGACGAGGACACACCTGTGTACTGAGTGGCAACGTGGTGGAGAGGATCGGTAAGTAAGGACACAGACCCAGGTCCTGGCCTGTCGCAAACTTTCGTTCCTAGCCGCCAAATTAGCAACGTATTTCCCAGGCTTCATCAGTTGTCGCGCAAGTGACAACACGAAAGTGGGATGTCACCTCCAGAAATGTATGCACGAGGTTCACCAATAAATACTATCCGGCCGACACTGTCGCGAAGGCACGTGCACATCATGATGTCCGTGATCTCGGAGATGCGGGTAATTAGATGCGCCAAAAGTTGGACATGAGTGAGATGGGTATATTCCAGTGTAGTGTGACCAGATTCACGAGAGGTTACACACATGTGATCAAGTCACATACTCGTATATCATTTTTGCTTCGCGCTCACCATCCGTGCTTCTATTCGATTGCGACGCGTCGTTCTTATTGGAGAGATGGAAACTGATGAAAAGAAATGCTCGAAATGCCATCATTCTTACCCGCTGACATCTGAGCACTGGCGCGCCTCATTTGGGGCTGGATGCATAATCAACAAAGTGTGCCGTCTATGTGCCAAAAAGGACGCGATATCGCGTGCGAAAAGAAGGGGGACTCCTGTTGCGCCAAAAGAGGGTGATGATGGGGAGGGTGACCTTGACGCGTCTGATTTCATTGGTGTGGCCATCATCCCACTCACACGAGAAAAGTCTAGAATTTTTTTCCAGGTTCCACTGCATTACCATTGCACGATTTCCTCGAACTGCTGTCCAACATGAGCGAGATGAAGAATGTTGTTGCCCTTGTTGATGTCTCCTCGATCACAGATCAAAACGAGCAAACGGACAGCGATGATGAAGTGTCTTCGGAAGGTGCGACTGATAGCGTGAAATCATTTGTCAATCATATCGCTGCACTTGTCTGGGAGAACAGTGGATATCGTTTCGTGTACATCACACATCCCAATTGAGTTCTTTGCATGTGCTGATATAAGTTGAAGGTTTGACACCCATCCGAAAGGCAGTCAGCGCTATGTATACCACTGTGCCCAGCTGGCTGCCCGGCAGACAAAATCACAGAAGAAAGAAGGCGTCAAGCCCAGAGACAAGGGACAGATGCGATCTTTTCAGTGCCACGGCTACTTAACAATTTGGGCTGATGAAAACCAAACCAATTGTTTCGTTCGCATAACACACAATGAATGCCACGAGAAGTACATCTCAATTGGACTTCCCAAACCGGCCGAGGAATTCGTCAAAAAACGGTGCCGAGAGATGCAACCTACTCAAGTGCGTGCTGAATAATCAGCACTGTTGAATTGTGCTAATAAAGCGCATCACAGATCTACAAAGAGCTTCTCAACACGTATCCCTATCCCGATTTCACTCCTCGAACAGTATACAATCTGTGCCTGAAGGAAACCGAAGGCCTATATCGTCACGATCCGGATGAATATACCTCGGCTGGTATATATCTGGATCAAATGAGCGCTGGTCCGGATCCAATTGTACAGCGCATTGCATTACCAGATGATCAAGATGGGTATACTGCCCTTGCCTTCTCTGTCCCGTCATTTATCCGAAAGTATGGTGAGCGCATCTGCGAAATCGGACTGGATTCAACATGTATGATTTGATTAAAGTTTATTTTCATTGTTACTGACTTGAATGTATGTAGGGAAGACTAATAAATCCGGTTACGAGTGCTTTGCGCTCTTAGGAGAGCTGTCCGGCTCTGGGCTCCCACTCGGCTTCCTCCTTATCAAATCCAACAATCCCGAACCGGGGACAAAGGAGAAATACATCTGCGCCCTTCTCCGTCATATGCGCGAGAAATGGGAGCTTGTTCCTATCCAGTCCCTCAGTGACAAGGACATTACAGAGATCAATTCGTGTCTCGCTGAATTGCCAGATGACATCAAACATCAACTGTGCTTCTGGCATTGTATTCGCGCAGTTCGTGGCCGGCTCAGCGTTGTCGGCCGATCTCCAGCCCACTATCACATCGACGCTGCACAGTTTGAATTCGATTTTATTGATCCAAACTTTGTCCCTCTTGCTCAAATGAAGGAACAAGACAAAACTCCGGTGGGTTATCAAATCATTTTCCATGTCTCTGTCAGATTTTTACTAACCCGACTTTGACCCGACTTTTAGGAAAGTCTTTTTGTTGCGCAGGAGGCAATTCCCACGGTTCAAATCCGGATCGGTGACCAGCTAATGAGTATGGCACCGGCCAAGCCCAAAATTGTGATCCACCTGAATGGACACCTTCGGGATACCTTGAGGGGGTTGCGTGGCCTGGGGGAAGAATCGGACGAGCGCGAGGAGTATTTTGAAGAGGAGGATGACGGTCTGTCAGATGAACTGGGAGACGAGCTTGAGTCCATGGACTCAGACCGTTTGGAAGCCGCCCCGTCGTGGCTTGAACCCGGAGAGCTTCTAAACGATGCAACAGTGTTTGCGCATAATAAGTCCTACCTGTTCTGCCCTGCACCCCATCGACGCCAGCTTCTACATCTGTTCATGCGGCACTTTTGCCTTCATCCCCTTCTTCCCGAACGGACCAGACAGTTTCGCACAGCTCAAGAAATTCGGCGCGACTCCGTTTTTGAAATGTACAAATTCTGCTTCCAGCGCGGGTTGCGAGAAGTGTGGGGATATATGTGGGAGGCTTGGTATTGCAATGCAAAGTGGGTGCTGTGGGCTCGCTCAAGCCAGCCAGACTTCATTGGTAGATGGCGCACCACCATGGCTGTCGAGAACTTCTGGCGGAACCTCAAGCACGGCACTCTCCACCATTTACTTCATCCTCGACTCGATCAACTAGTTCACCTCATCGTCACGGATGTCATCCCACGCTTTCGAGACAAGATGCGAATCTTCGATACTGATTATCGTCCGGGCCGCGCACGCGCGCTAACCCCATGGCAGACGGAACTCAAGAAAAATTGGAAAAAACAGGCAGCCCGCGCTGTGAGTTCCAACACTTATACTCACTCCCTGAACCTATCAACATGGACATGCACCTGTGGGCAGCAAAAATACAATGCCTTCCTACTCTGCAAACATCTGGTGCAAGCTGTACACCTCCCTGATCCCCAATTTTTCCGCGAAGTCTATCGCCGCCGGGTCACGCCCTTTTATCATCATCCCTTGCTTCGACCCAAAGATGGTTCTACAATTGACGCGTCGGGCTTCAAGCCTAGTCTGATCAGCGGTGATTATTTCACGGACTTCGAGGCCACACGAGGAATGAAGAGGGCTAGAGGGCAGGATACATGGAAGCGAAATAGTTTGGCTGGCTCGTCGCGTTCATCCTCCCTCACTCCGGAGGATTACGAGACTGCGAGAGAGTCTTCGGTATATGAATCTGACGGACCAGATGATGTAAGCACTATCTCGCATCCGAGAAACAAAACGGTCTAATCTGGCGCTTACCCTTAGAACGATGAGCTCCGTGAATATACCGAAGATCTTATCTCCGGTCTTCGAGAGGGTGTCGATATCCTTTTGGGCCAATTGCAGCGCGGTCCAGAGGCAAACATTTTTCTTAGGAGTGTGAAGCGCCAGAAAAGGGGGCAGGATATTATTCAGATGGTGAGGGACATTAAACACTTCAGTGAAACCGGAAGGAAACGGCCCACTACCTGGGCAAAACCGAAAGACAAGCGATCAGCCGAGTATACTAGCAATACCATGGGTTATATGACCCCTGATATCCCTAACTAGTGTCCGAACTCACTGACATCTGACAATTTGATTTTCTTCTTCTGTTTCCTCATTTTCTGGGTCTGAATTGAGCCCAGTTTGACGAGTTTCGGGTGTCTTGTGGATGTGCGGAAGGGTGTGGCCCACAATCAGCCATAAACTCGCTCTTATCACTCGCATCTCCGAGATCACGGACATCATGATGTGCACGTGCCTTCGCGACAGTGTCGGCCGGATAGTATTTATTAGGTTCACCCTGAGCTCCGAGAAATTTCGCCTCTTTCTGGGCGAAGCTTGACGGTTGTGGGTTGAACACGCGCACAACATGGCTATTCCCAGGGAATTGGGAAGAATGGTAGCGTGTAATATGACCCGTCATCTTCTACGCCGGGATTAGATCCCGTTATGCTGGCTGTAACTGAGAGTTTTTCCTTCTACGGTTCCACCAGTGACGGTCGGGGAGAAACAATGGTGAATCGAAAAACGAGTCACCTCCAACACAATACCACTTGCTTCAGCCGTAATTTTGAATGCTTGAGATGGTTCTGTTCAATTAAGACATGACACAAGAAACATTGAGAAGAGGCAAGCGACAGTCAAGCTTGCCTGTGCACCAGTCACTTGGTGATCACTTACTGTAAAAGCGCTCAGCGGGGAAACAGCAGCATGAAACAGCTTGGCATCACCTTACAGTCATTAATTCAAACTGTGGGTATCTTGACGAGAGTGTGTCACGTGAGCTGAACTTATTCAATCACAGGCAGGCAGGTGCAGATTGATGGGAGTGATGGCGTTGTTGGGAGGGGCTGTTGCCGGATGGTGTGGGATGCAAGGTGGGCTGCCTGTGGATGCTGTAAATACGGTAGGTGTTGGGGAGTTATTATATTTTTATTGCACCCGTGGGGTTTGCTGGGCTGCGCAAGTGAGTGCAATAGGTCCCTGGTAGCTGCCATGGCTGCGCGTCGCAGAAGGCCGAGCCTGTGATACTGTTGTGCGGGCTCGGGCGTTCGGCCCAAACGCCCGGATACCCAGTCTCGAGTTCTCGAAGCCTAGACCGGCTTTGCTTTGCACCATTACGGAACTGACATAAAGGGTAATGCCCGGGGGCTCACAAGCTACTCGCCCATTCTGTTCATCAGCTCACTTCAGTGAGATCTCGGGCCGACCACTCCCATCTGATCGGCCTTCATAGCCACTCATTGATCGATCCGCATTATGAGTGATGCTCGAGTGGCCAGCAAAAGTCGAAGATAGAGAGTAGACTAGTCCCTCAAGGCCTCAAGGGTCATAAATTGAGTGGCAGCAGCACCTCGTAAGTCTATGCCAGTCAATGCCGAACGAAGCGCTTTTCACGCAGCGTCACGCTTCTTTAGGCACTCTTGATTGCTTGAAGCTGCCGAGGGAGAGATCAGTCTATCAGAGATTACATAAGCCGATAAAGGAACTCACAAGTGGATGAGCGACTTAGAATTGAGCCGCCATATTAGATCATCAGTCATCTCTCCTGCATGCCCCTGTTTGCATCGCCGCAGTCAAGGGCACAGTCCTGACACCGCAGTCCTAATATCTGAAGCTTCGCGAGCATCCTCGACGATTCTTCGTTATAAACTGCTGCGCTCTACTCTTTGTTGGACTGTGGAACAAACACCTGCACGTGTAGCGCCTGCCAATCCTCTATGGTCATAATCTCGAAAGAATCAGAATGCAGGCCCTCCTCCTTAGACGAAGAAACCATGGATCTCCCAAGTGAACACGACGTGACTCTTCCGCCCTACTCCGAACTCTTCGACTCCGGCCCTCTTGAGGGATCGGCATTCCGAGGTGCGTGTGAGGCTCTGTTGTTCTGAGCTGCACTTACACTACCCTGGCGTCTCTCTCTACTAGACGATGGACGCGTTGACCTCGACCTTGGCTCAAAGCTCGCGAGGACGTTATCCGTCCTCGGCCCCCCGAAGATGCCAGACGACGAACCCACATCGCCCGGAGCATCAGCACCGCGCGAATGGAAGATCAAACTCAACATCGTTATCCAAGTCGTCGGAAGTCGCGGAGACGTGCAGCCCTTCATCGCGCTCGGAAATGCGCTCCAGGCTTTCGGGCATCGTGTGCGGCTCGCCACCCACGACGTCTTCGAAGACTTCGTCAGGAAGTCCGGACTGGAGTTCTTTCCCATCGGCGGTGACCCCGCAGATCTCATGGCGTACATGGTCAAGAATCCCGGACTGATCCCGGGCATGAAGAGTCTTCGCGAGGGTGATATCCAGCGCAAGCGAGGGATGATGGCGGAGATCCTCGAAGGGTGCTGGCACAGCTGTGTCTCACCAGACCCAATCTCGAAAAGACCATTCGTCGCGGAGGCGATTATCGCCAACCCGCCCAGCTTTGCCCATTTACATTGTGCTCAGGCCCTGAGTATTCCAGTTCATTTGATGTTCACCATGCCGTGGTCCAGCACGCGCGCGTTCCCTCACCCTTTGGCTAATCTCACTCACAAAGACAAGTCCTCCGACTTGAGCATGGCGAATTATGTCTCATATGCTGTCGTCGAGTTGTTGACCTGGCAAGGGTGAATCTACCGATTTATGCTCTTCGTCCCACTGATAAACTCGCCAGTCTTGGAGACATCATCAACCGGTGGCGACATTCACTCGATCTGGAGCCTATTCCTATGACAGAGGTTCCGTATCTCACCGAGACCCTCAAGATACCCTTTACATACTGTTGGTCTCCTGCCCTGGTCGCCAAACCATCCGACTGGCCGAGACGCATTGGTAAGCGCGAACGATCAGCACCATAACTGGGCTGACCAAGATAGATGTCTGCGGTTTCTTTTTCCGCAACCCGCCTCCGTATTCTCCGCTTCCAGAAGTCGAGGCATTTCTGAAAGCTGGCCCGCCACCCATCTATATCGGGTTTGGGAGCATCGTGCTTGATGACCCTGACCGGATCAGTAAGAGTATCTTCAGTGCGATCCGTCGGGCGAACGTGCGGGCTATCATATCGAGTGGGTGGAGCAAACTTGCAGGACCTGCTCTGAACGATGTGTTGTTTATGGGAGACTGTCCGCACGAATGGCTTTTCCAGCAAGTTTCAGCTGTAGTTCACCACGGCGGTGCAGGAACTACAGCCTGTGGGCTGAGATATGGAAAGCCGACTGTTATCGTTCCCTTCTTTGGGGAGTAAGTACCTGCATTTGTTTGCTGATCTTTAGAGTGCTGAAAACCTTCAGTCAACCTTTTTGGGGACGCATGATCGCTGATTCGGGGGCTGGACCTGAGCCTATTCCCCACAAAGCCTTGGATGGCATGCGACTGGCCCAGGCGATCCTTTTCTGTCTGACAGCCAAAGCGCAGATTGCTGCTCAGGACATCGCAGCAAAGATGGCCTCCGAACGAGGCGTTGATGCTGCCGTTTCTTCTTTCCACAACAATCTCCCACCCGATATGCAATGCGATTTGTTCCCTGAGAGACCTGCGGCGTGGACTGTCCGGAAGAAGAGCCATGTGAGACTATCCAAGCTTGCTGCAGAGATCTTGATCCAGAGTTCATACATCACTCCCTCTTCGCTGAAGCGGTCAGCCTTTCCCCACCTCACTGCGTTCGAGACTGATCTTTGCCAGTGTTCGAACGAAGGTCATTCGTATTGTGAATCGACGATGGGATCCGGTCACGGGGCTTTATTCTGCAGCAATAGCGACTGCTGCAAATATGGTCGAAGCCACCGCCGATATGGTGGTGAAACCTTACGCCGAACTCAACCGATTCCGTGCATCTGCTCCTCCGGTGCCACCTCCCAAGGACCGTTTTCAGCTTCGCAACGATTCCTCCTCGCTAGAGTCCCGGGATTTGGATATGGCTGGACAGAGCACTTCCGATCTGTCACGATCGGAGGACCTAGGCGAAGGAACGAGCACTGGCTCGTCCAACAGACTGCATTTAGCAGGTGCAATGGCGGCGGCTTCTGGCAAAAGCTTCAGTCGATTCCTCGGGACCGGCCTCAGAGGGATGATTCTCGACATGCCTCTGGCTGTGACTGAGGGAATGCGCAATGTCCCGCGGCTGTACGGCGACGAAGTGAAGGACATGGGCCCCGTCGATGGATGGAAAAGCGGTTCAGTCATGGCCGGCAAGAATTTCGTCTCGGGTGTCTACGAAGGCCTGACCGACATCGTGGTCCAGCCGTACAAGGGAGCCAAAAGCGGCGGCGTGCTGGGTGCCACGATCGGGGCCGGGAAAGGTGCCGTCTCGCTCGCAACCAAGCCCATCTCTGCTGCACTCGGTTTGGTGTTTTATCCTGGGCAGGGTGTATACAAAAGCGTTTGGAAGGCAACGCATGCCGATACCAAGAGGGATGTGTTGGACGCATCTCGCGAGGAAGGGAGATGGTTGTTGGCGCAACAGCCGACTAATATTGACTATTCTTGGGTGATATCCTCGTTCAAGTACGGTGACTTGAGGGATCCCGATCTCGACGAGTCTTGAATCCGCAGAATATTCACATGCATCCCCTCGAAGCTGATAGAAAAATGTTCTATGTAGGAATAGAAAAAAGTCAAACAGTGATATGTTGCAAATACAGTGGAATCTACTAAAGGATACAGCGGATAAATTCGACCTCTCATTCTTCCATCACAGCATCTTCGTCTACTTGGGCAGCACTCCACCATGTAATCGGTCCCAGGCCTTGCTCTCCGATGGATGCCTTCAGTCCCGTTACCGCATTGAATATGTGCTGGAAATGCCTGACTCACAGTAATTGTAAAAGGGGCTCGGGTCTGAGCTTCCTTGACGACTTGCACTCCTTCTGCCATCTTCGCTGGCCCGGGTTCCTCGTCGTAGAACTCGTCGCTTTCTACCCGTATCCGCATAACTTCGCCCTTGTCCATCCACATGCGTTCCACCAGTGGCGAATCAAGCAGCTCTCCTTCCCCGAGTTCAGAATTTGGCAACCAGAAATGAGCGCGTTCGTTGGGATCACTGTCATTTACGGATCAGTCGCAAGGGAATGCAAAGGAAGCGGTTACAGACAAGGCATTTGGCGTCGGGAGATAATGTACCGGCACGTATATGTCGTCGAAAAAGTCGAGAGATACTGCCGTGGCTTAGTCCAGAAGCTAATCGACGCGCAAACCGTTCGTCCTTACATCGGATCCCATTCTGGTCCGAAGACATGACCTTTGCAAGTAAAACCTCGGATTGAAACGGCCGGAAGATCACCATCCGGAAGACGACTTTGGAGGTCTCTAAGTCGGCTGGACTCTATAGACTGACCCACGCACCTTTGTACCATAGATATCCGTCCCCATACCTCACTTTGCCTTCTCCAGCCTCTGTCAGATCGAAGACACACATGCACAGTCCAACGTCGTGCAGAACGCGATTGGCATATTTTTTGTTGAGTTCGGTGATGATGGCTTGCTCTGCGGGACCTCCGAAGTCGAGAGGATGCACTGAGACTGTGTCCTTCAAGATGGCCAAGTTGAACATCCGAGTTCACCGTTGGAAAGGCTGCCGATAGATATGCACAACCGGTAGATTCGTTGAGACGCGAAGAACGCGCTTATGGCTGGCACGTGCATAATGATGACACCTCGATCATAAAATTTCGTCCATTCCGTGCCGACAATTGTCGCGTTCCACGACTCACTTCTGTACCGCGAAGTTACCCAAAGCCAACTAGACCTCAACACTGTCGACACAACCCTGCAGCTTTGAACGAACAACACCCTCTCTCTTATGGCTGAATCTGTTGACCAAAAACCGACTGCGGGGAGCTCACTTCTTCCCGCAAGATCATGGCAGCATTTCGTCGCTGGAGGGTGCGCTTATTTCCTTGCTACAACGGCGACAGCGGAAAGCTTAAATAGATATCCTATGCAGTCTAGGAGGCATGTGTGGAGCTATCGTGACGAGTCCTTTCGATGTTGTCAAGACGCGGCTCCAGTCAAGTCTATTCCGTGAAAAGCATGCGACCATGGCAGTGGCTGGCGCAAATAGTGCCGGTACATTGTCTGCCCCAAGACCGGGTGGGGTTTTGTACAATTTCGTGGAAACTGGGCAAATTCTACGGTGCGTCCATCTGGCTCTTCCGGAGGTCTGGGTCGCTGAGTGCATCCCTTGGAACTCATTAGGGATATCTACCGAGAAGAGTCACCCCGTGCCCTTTTCCGAGGGCTAGGGCCAACCCTTGTTGGCGTCATCCCGGCCCGATCTATCAACTTTTTCACCTACGGAAACGGCAAACAGATTATCGCAAATCACTTCAACGATGGCAAGGAAGCTACCTGGGTCCACCTTGTTGCAGCAGCTTGCGCTGGGGTCGTAACAGGAACGGTCACGAATCCAATTGGGTCGTCAAGACGCGATTACAACTGCAGTCAAATTTGCAAGGTAGCAGCGGCGATCCCTTGGGTGGGAGCTGGAAGACTATCAAGACGATTATGGCCGAAGAGGGTGTCCGTGGCTTCTATAAGGGTCTTAGTGCCAGCTATCTCGGCGTCACCGAGGGAACAATACAATGGGTCTTGTACGAGCGGCTAAAGCGGCTCAGCGCCAACTCCGAAAACAAGGGCGGGGTGATGGAATGGCTGGGTATGCTGGGAAGCGCAGGAACCGCGAAATGTGTTGCCAGTCTGATCACGTATCCTCATGAGGTGAGCCCGAAATTTCGACTCTTCTCCACGCAGAAACTCAACGTCGTTTCCCTAGGTCATTCGTACTCGACTACGACAACCCAAAGTCAATGGCGTCATGAAATACACCGGTCTGGTTCAGACTCTTCGACTGGTCATTGCCGAGGAAGGTGCTCGAAGACTTTACGGCGGGCTCAGTGCCCATCTCATGCGTGTTGTACCAAACGCAGCTGTGATGTACTCGATCTACGAGGGCATTCTGCGCTGGGGTAACTAGAATTCTCCTATCTCCCTCCAAAAGTGGTCTGGTCATGTAGACCTACTTACACCCCACCTCATTTACGCCCTGTTAACATCAGCTTTCTGTATCATACACATCATGCTATTCCGTATTGTATAACTCTAATATTGTACCTCTAGCCTGCACTACTTTTGACATAGACGTATACCCTTTAAAGCACACTGCCAAGTCTTAGTTCGTGAGGACTTCAATTCCCGTAACCAGAACTCGCACGGGACTGGAACGAAACAAGCGCACACATCGCGTCTCTGCTCTAATCACCACGATGGCCGACCGCTCTCGACGTGAAAAAGTGTCCAAGCTCGATAAGCTTGCCGAATACAAACTTGCTAGGCAAGGTGGAGGTCGCGTACGACGGGTTAGCTGTCATAATATGCCTCTATCTTCATCTGCTGACGCGCGCGGTAGACCGAAGACGTGGACCTTTATGACGAAGTCTCCGAGGAGCAGTACAGAAGCATCGTACGTGGGCGGCTGCAGAAGGACGACTTTGTTGTGGACGATGGCGTTGATGGGTACGCGGACAATGGCATTGAGGACTGGGATGTACAAGAGGAACACGACTACGACTCGGAGGAGGAAAGCGCGTCCAAGAAGAAGAGCAAAGGTTCTTTAATAGGTGATCATGCAGCATTGAGCGCGTTCTGACGTGTTTCTCAGCGAAAAACGCGTCCAACAAGTCGAAACCCAAGCTTCCTCCTCCGAAGCCAACAATGGCTGCTTACCGACCCGCCATCTCCAAGGAGGATGAGAGCGATTTCCTGGCCTCTCTTATGGGAGAAATGGACTCTATGCCTGTCGAGTTACCGCTTCCGCCACCAAGATCGCGCAAGCGAAAACCATCGCCTGCCTATCGTCCTACGTACTCGTACGCCGACATGTCTTCTGATGGCCTCGTGCCCGAGCCATCGAGCGACGACTTGGGATTCAGTCCTCAAAAGAGAGTCAGGATAGATAACGACGATATCATCCCTGGAGTGGATCGCCTGGCCGTTGACAGTGGTTCAGAAGGCTTTGATGACATCGACATGACTTCATTCAACGACTTCGACGACCTTGACGATGACTTTGCCATGGAAGTCGATGAGAAGAAGCCCCGACTTCACATCCCCAAGGTCGTTGCCAAGACTTCTGCTGTAAAGAAGGAGGAGGAAGTGACTGCTGCATGGCTTGCTACATATCAATCTCTGTCGGCCAACCCCCCTGACGAGATTGGGATTTCATCGAGCTCTTCCGGCCCCAGTAATGTCGATGCTCTTGAGCCTGACGGATCGCTGCGTTTCTTCTGGCTGGATTACCTGGAGAACGATGGACGTTTGTACTTCGTCGGCAAACTCAAAGACAAGACGACGCAGAACTGGGTATCTTGCTGCGTCACGGTCGAGAACCTGCAACGCAATATCTTTGTCTTGCCTCGCACGAAACCGGACGAGTTTGGCGACGTTCCAGGTCTACAGGATGTGTACAACGACTTCGACATGTTGCGGAAGAAGATGCAGGTTTCTTCATGGAAAGGCAAGTTCGTCAAAAGAAATTACGCGTTTGGAGAGGTGGATGTACCGAGAGAAGAGACTCAGTGGCTCAAGGTTGTCTATGGATTCAATGGTGAGCGCGACAAGAACTTCCATGTCCGGCCGTTCTGACTCAGCAACAGAACCCCAGCTGCCTATCACGGATGCCGATCCTAGCCCAAACATTGCACGGATCTTCGGGACTAACACAAGCGCGTTTGAGCTGCTCGTGATGAAGCGCAAGATCATGGGTCCATGTTGGCTTGAAATCAAGAATCCTGTGATTGAACACAAGAATGTAAGTATGTGGGTAAATCTGACTCGAATCGTCTGAACCACTGCACTAGTTCTCGTGGTGCAAACTGGAGGTCACTGTTACCGATCCCAAGGACTTCAATCCTTTTGCGAAAACAGACCAGAACGCACCTCGAGAGACTCCGCCGTTGAACGTGACGAGCCTGAGCGTGCGGACAGTCGTCAACCACCAGGAGAACAAACGCGAGGTCGTCTGTGTGACAGCCAGGACATGGCATAACTGTAGGTTTCTTCCACGCCTCCGTTTCACAAGCATTCAAACTCAAGTCCAGTGCTCATCGATGATCCAAAACCTCCAGAGGAGCTTCCATGCACAGTACAAACGTTTGTCAGGCCATTGGAGAAGTTTCCGTTCAGTTTTGAGGCTGCCGCGAAAGCTAACGGCAAGGGCGCTATCACGACTGTCAAGAATGAACGGATGCTTCTGAGCAGTCTTTTAAGTAAGCAGGTAACACGCGTTTGAGCAAATTTCTGATACAACTCTAGATTCGCTATATCGATCCGATCCTGACGTTATTATTGGGCACGATTTTCTCGGAGTTTCGCTCGATGTGTTATTGCATCGTATGAAAGAGCTAAAAGTGGACCATTGGTCTCGCCTTGGTCGTTTCAGGCGATCAAGGTGGCCCAACATCGGCAAGCAAGGCTCGAACATCAAGTTCCTGAGTGGTCGACTGCTTTGTGACTTGGCTAGCGATGGAGCGAAGGTGCGCCACGCGTATATCTGGCCCTGTTGTTTCTTATCTTTGTTTATCCTGTGCTGTGTAGTCCATGATCACCTCCACGACCTGGTCTCTGACGGAAATGTGCAAGACACATCTTAACTCTGTGCGGCAGGACATCGACCCTGACGATACGGCCAACTACTTCGATGGTGATGTAAGCAGTCCGGAGAGGCTTCTTACATTTGTACGGCACTGTGAGCTAGACGCCCACTACCACATGGCGATCGCGGATAAAGTGCAGATTTTGCCGTTGACCAAGCAGCTCACCAGCCTCGCTGGCAATTCATGGCAAGTTCTGGGAACATCTCAGCAAAGCTGCGCTGAACATCTCACAGGAACAAGACGTTGAATGGCGGTCGTGCGGAACGAAATGAATACATTCTTCTGCACGAATTCCATAAACTCAAGTACATCTGCCCAGACAAGATCTACGGCAAGAAGATACGCGTCGAAGATGCCGAAGACGCCGAAGGCGGCGGGGGTAAATCCAAGAAGAAGCGGGACAAATACAAGGGCGGTCTTGTGTTCGAGCCTAAGCGAGGGTTGTGGGACAAGTACATTCTCGTCATGGACTTTAACTCGCTGTACCCCAGCATCATTCAAGAGTACAACATAGACTTTACGACGGTCGATGTCGAAGAGCAGTTGGTGAGTTTATTATAACGCATCTTGTCGTGAGATCTGACCTTTACCGTCGCAGAATGACGAAGGAGAAGAGAAGATCCCTGATCCGCCATCTCCGCAAGTGGGACAGGGTGTTCTTCCCCGTTTGATCGCCACTTTGGTTAGACAGCGACGGACAGTCAAGTCTCTCATGAAAGACAGGTCTACTCCGCCGGCCAAAATGCTACAGGTGAGAGCCCTGTCGACCGATCCCCTTCGCTGTTCCTGATAATGTGCTGCAGTATGACATCCGACAACAAGCCCTGAAGCTTACTGCCAACAGCATGTACGGCTGTCTCGGATTCGAATACTCGCGCTTCTATGCTCGGCCGCTGGCTGCGCTGACGACTTTCAAGGGTCGTGAGATTCTGACGCACACTCGTGAGCTTGCTGAGAGCATGGATCTGGATGTGGTCTATGGAGACACCGATTCGGTGTTCGTGAACACGAACGTGCTCGAGCTGCCCCAAGCAATCAAGATATCAGCGGATTTCAAGAAAGCGGTCAACGAGCAGTACCGACTGCTTGAGATTGATCTGGACGGCGTGTTCCAACGTCTACTGCTGCTGCAGAAGAAGAAGTATGCCGCACTCAAGGTCGAGGAGGGATCTCGGACATCAGTGGAGGTCAAGGGTCTGGATATGAAACGTCGAGAGTACTGCACGCTCTCCAAGAATGTGTCACAGTATGTTGTCTACAGTCCTGCCAGCGACGCGAGACTGACCGATAGCAAGATATGTTTTGGACCAGATCCTCTCTGGAGATCCGCAGGATGATGTGATTCAAAACATCCACGACTTTTTGACGAATATCGGCCAGAATGTTCGGGACGGCAAGGTCAAGCTGGAGGAGTTTGTCATCTTCAAAGTGGGCAATTGATCCAGCAGCCTGCTCAACCAATCTCATTATGCACAGCGTCTCGGCAAAAACCCGGAGGATTATCCTGACATTAAATCGCAGCCGCATGTGCAGGTAGCACTGCGAATGAAGCTGCGTGGTGGCAATGCCAAACATGGGGACGTGATACCTTACGTTTTCTGTCTGTCTCCCGGAGAGCAGACGGCCAAGACTGGGCAGGCAGACCGTGCCAAGCATCCCGACGAGTATCGGAAGGAGGGGTCTGAGCTGAAACTGGATGTCGAGTATTATCTGGCACACCAGGTTCTACCACCCATTGAGCGGCTGTGCGATCCGATTGATGGTACCGACCGATCCCGTCTTGCGGAATGTCTTGGGCTGGATCCAACCCGGTACAGGACAAGCTCGTCCAGTGCCTCAGACGAGCCAGCATTCGCGGGATACGATTCCTTGATGCCGGACAGCGAACGCTTCAAGGATGCGGTGCCTCTCGTTGTAAGATGTCGAAAGTGCCAAGTTGAAGTCGCGTTCGGCCCGATCCACGACCGAGATGTGCGTCTTTTCCATCCTCGGTGTTCGACCGAGTCATCACTGACTCTTTTCCTTGCAGAAATGTATACTGCAGACAGAAGGGCTGACCTGTCCTGAATGCAAACAAAGTATCAGCCACGGCAGTCTCCAGATGCAGCTTGAGACGCAAATCCGCAAGCACATCAACAAATACTACGAAGCTGTTACCCGTTGCGATGAATGTGGGCGAGAGACCCGTCGAATGGGTGTCAGTGGTCGGCATTGCCTGCAGAATGGTTGTAGCGGCAATGTCAACTTGCTGGTACGCATTGTGTCTCGCAAATTCACGATTGCTGTATCCTGATGCTTGCCTAGTATGACGACAACATGCTATACAACCAATTGCGTTACTTTTCATCGCTGTTTGACATGGAAAAGGCGAAACGCAGTGCTGTAGGGTCGACACATAGCGGTGAGTCGCTCGGGCTGTGCGAATTTATATGTTTGCTGACTCTGCTGTCAAGATCTGGTGGCTGCTGTGATCTCGAATAATGCTGGCTTTCTGAGAGCAATGATGGCCTGCGTAGAGCGATATCTGGATCAGTCGGGGCGGCGGTGGGTTGAGCTGAGTGCCATCTTTTCATGGATGAATGTCGACGAGAAGTAGCTTTTGTATCTGTACTTAGCTCATGTAAGCATGTATTTTCTAGAGCCTGAGATGCCGTTCATGGGTCTTCAGAGAGCCGAGCTCGCCGATTTCATAACATGCGGGCCCAGTGTTGTGGCTGGACTTCCCGCTGAAGAAGCGATTCCTGGCCTACCAACGTGATTGAGGCAGCGCTCACGGGATCAAATCTTTGACGTATTGATTGATGACACTGCTTCGCAATCGAGACGACGCTGTCAATTCATTGTCAGTCTTGACTCTCTTCCATTTCCAAGGTTCCAACTGTCCAGGATGGCCGCCTCGTCGACTATCTACATTCCTATAGTCTCGCCGCCCACTCCTACTGCGTCTCCCGGCCCAGAATCAGACCTCACGCAATGCGCCCATATCCCCATCGCTCTACCCCAGAACCCGGCACTGCGACAACGCTACCTCGCGTCCATCCTGCATTCCCTGACCCCCGCTGAACTTTTATTCGTCTCGACCACAATCGCCCCGCTGCTCAAGCGAGACTTCCTCTCGGAGCTCCCCACCGAGCTTGCGTTGACCGTGCTCAGTTTCATCGACGACCCACAAACGTTGGTGACCGCAAGTCGCGTGAGCAGGCGGTGGAGGGACATGGCTGCCGACGACTGGATATGGAAGGGCATGTGTCTGCGTCTCGGGTTCACCATGCAGGAGATGTTGGACGGCCAGCTCTTGGACGACACGAAGAGGGACGAAGATCCCACTCGCTCGATTTGGGCGAAACAGCTGCCGAGGGGGAGAAGTCGCGAACTCGAGCAGCTTCCGCCCGCGATGTCGTATCATGACTATTTCAGGAAGTCTTACAGGACCAGTGAGCAGTCTCGTATCTATCTCCTGGTCAACCAGCCTCATTTAGCTGCATCTAGTGATGAATTGGAAACACGGGGGCCGTCTTCTGCGCTGCCACCGAATGGCACCCACGCCCGCCCCTCCGAACCACAACGCCGGCGGGCCTCTGAACTCGCTTGATGTCATCACATCTGTGGCCCTCGACAGTGACTGGGTCGTTGTTGGACTCGCGAACAGCAAGATCCACGTCTTCAGTAGCCGGACCGGGGTCCTCGCGCGGACCTTGGTCGGCCACGAAGCAGGCGTCTGGGGTGTCTGTCTCGTCAGACACGGAGGCTCCTGGGTTGGGGATCCCATAGTACCCGAACCCAACGCCGCAAGGGCTGCGGCTGCGTCATCGGTGAAATGGCGGAACGCGCTTGGTCTGGATCTGCCGTTTGAGTCACAGCCAGCCCTCTTCCCCGGAAAAAGATCGTCGCCATGCGCTGCTTCGGAAGGCTGGGGTCAGCCGAACGATCTGGTAGTCAGCGGGGGGTGTGACAAGGTGCTTCGGGTATGGGATGTTCGAAGCGGGTCTCCCATTCATGTGCTTTCCGGGCACACTTCGACTATCCGATGCCTGAAAGTTCTGCACAATCGGCCATTGGCGGTGACCGGGTCTCGCGACTCGACCCTGCGGGTATGGGACGTCCAACAGGGACGACTAGTGCGGACGATGACAGGCCACACGGGAAGTGTCAGGTGCTTGGATGTCTGCGGAAATCGAGCGGTCAGCGGAAGCTACGACGCGACCTGCCGTGTCTGGGATCTCGACTCAGGGGAATGCATACATGTCTTGCGAGGACATTTCCACCAGATTTATTCGGTCGCGTTTGACGGAACGCGGATTGCCTCGGGAGGACTGGACACTAGTGTCCGAGTGTGGGACGCACTCTCCGGGTGCGTGTGATTGTTGTTTGCATTTGATTTTGTCGGTTGACCGGCGTGTCTAGACAATGTGTGGCCCTGCTGCAAGGCCACACTGCGCTCGTCTGCCAGCTGCAGCTCTCGCAGTCGATAGCGACGACGCTGAATCCGCACCCGGACCCGATCCTCGTGACCGGCGGTTCCGACGGGCGAGTCATCACCTTCTCGCTCGCTTCGTACACGTCGCTGCACCGCATTGCGGCGCACGACTCGAGTGTGACTTCGCTGCAGTTCAACGACCGCTGGCTTGTGACCGCGGGGAACGACGGGCGTGTCCGGTTGTGGGAGATGGCGACCGGCGCGCATGTCCGCGAGATGACGGAAGTCGGGGAAAGTGTGTGGAAGGTCTGTTTCGACGGCGGCCCTGGGGAGATCATGTCGATCATGTGCAAGCGTGGTGGGAAGAGTGTCATGGAGATCTGGAGCTTTAGGCCGGAGGATGGTAAATTGCAGGGATAATTATCGTGCCTGGGTTGTATTATCAATAAGTACTAGATCATATAAATTCACCTAGTTTCTTCGGCGACTGTTTATGACATGCATCTTGGATCTCAGAAATGAAGTTTCGATTCCTGCGATTCCCAGCTCGCTCGGTTTCAAGGACGTTGAGTCTCGACTCTCAGACCAGGGCCCGTGCTTGGATCTGCCATCATCGTCTTGTTTGATGCGGTCACGTCAACCGCAGCTGAAAGTTGAACCTTGACACAATGACACTGACAGTTCAAGTCCAACTCTCAGATATGAATGAGGCTTTCTGCCTCTCACTGACAGGTCCCCGACGGCCATGAGGCGTCTTATCAACCTCTTATCGATGAGGGACTTCTAGAAGATATCTTGTCGTGCTATCCATCTGAATCACGTTTAATGGCAAGCGTGGGCTCACTTCTACCGGCTCGTTAACTGCTGCCTCTCCAATCGCACTCGTGATGCCGCTGGAAATGGCTTATTTGCGGATGGACTCTGCGCACCTGAGTGCTGCTCTCTTGTTGGCTGTTGGGGTGCTTGCCGGGTCCGCCTTCGCGTACAGGGACGATCTGTGGTTCCTCCGCAAGAAACGGGCCAGTGGCTCGGCCACGAGGCAGACATCCGCTGTGGCTAGGGCCGCGCATCGCGCCGCTGGTGGTCCGTCCTGTCCTTGTTCGCTGTGCGCTGTGCGCTGAGGAGCCTCGGCTTATCCGGATGCAGAATGGGAGCCCCAGGCGTTCAGCTACCCCGCTTTCGACGCTTGTGCTGTGCCGCTCGATGAGATACGGCCCCAGATGTACCGGCCGTTCCGGTGGGGCGAGTACCAGTGCGTGACACGCACCCTTGTCTGCACTGCCGTTGTCTGGCTGAGCGCACGAGCAGCGTGACCATGGGCATCAGGAACATGCACTGGGGCGAGTGGATCGAGGTGCGTGTGCCATGTGATTCTCGCGAGGACGGGGAAGGCCGACTGGACGCAGCTGGACGGCAAATACGAGACGTACCGGCGCATCCGCCGCGAACGCCTCCGGACGAAAGGACGCGACGTGCTCCAAGTCCTCCCGGACTCGGTGCGCGTACACGACGGCGAAGAGGCTGTGCGCGTCGGCGGCGGGGCTGCCGGCGCGATTGAGCTCGCCCACGAGCTTGCGGAATATTTATCGCGCCGGTATCCAACGACGTTCGAGGTCACGCGGCACGCAGCAGAATCGACTGAGGGCGTTTACTATCCGTGCGGGTGGGACGGGTTGCCGCCGGTGGAGAGTATTCGCAATGCGCTATCGGACGAGCGATATTCCCTTCCGCTGCCGCTTCCTCTCGATCCGCACAAGGTCGTGGATGATCTGGTGCAGCAGGGAGAAGAAGCAATGCGTATTGCAGCGTCGCTTGTCCAGGACGATCTTGCTATCATGGTCGAAGGATCGAATGGAGATTACTATTTCCAGGCTGGGGCGATCCTCGTCGGCGGTATTTTCTTCAGATTGAGTGCCCTTTCTTCCACTGAATACTTGAAATAGGATTCTGGCGGATGAAAGATAAACTGGGCAGACGAATGGATGAAATACATCTCAGTGGACACGTTCCTCAATGTGAGTATACTCATCCCCTTACGCCCTGTCCTTCTTTCTGAAGGATCGCTTCTCTGCAGACAAAGAGAAACTGCACACATCTCTTTCGCGCTTCTTCCGACGCATGGCTGTGGACAAGCCAGTCGTCCGCAACAACTACTTCGTGCAGATCTCGCCGCCAGCCACCGCCCACTCGGATGCGGTCGATCCCGAGGAACTTGCGTGGGGTAAAAACGTGATGGGAGAGGAGGATGCGTACGGTAAAGGGGGTGATGGGCGCGGGGGCTTCAAAGCCGCTGCCTCGCCGCTCACTGCTCCGATTGTCACTCCCCAGACCCTGCGGCTGCGCACGGAGCGTCAGACACTTCGGCGGCTTCCGAGGAGCGGGGCGATTGTCTTTACCATCCGGACGTATCTTGTGCCGGTCGAAGAGCTGGCTTGTGAGCCTGGGGTGGCCGCGCGGTTTGCCAGTGCTGTGCGCAGCTGGCCTGAGGATGTGCAGGAATATAAAGGCCAGGGGCGGTACCGGGATGTGTTGCTCACTTACTTGGATGAGATGGCAGAGCAGCAGGAAGAAGAAGTTGCAATAGTCAAGCCATATCCTTTCTAAACAGTGATCATGAAATGCGATCATAGGCTTTGATAAGATAAGATCATGAAATGCGATCCGTTGTTGCTAGGGCGTTGCTTGGTTACGTCTTGGCAAGGATGAGGCTCGCGTGGTTCCTTTGATCTACACCTCTATCCTATTTTGCGCTCGAGGGGTAGCTAGGATCCTCAGTAAATCCACCTCGCATCGAACAAGGACAGTTTACGCCCTGGACGAACTGACATACATGTGAGCTTCCCTAGGTAAGGGCTTTTCCCTGACTCGGTGGATGCATAAGGTGCACATGCCACATTGTGCAAGCAGCAACGGAGATAATTCTTCATCCCATTCAGCCTCCGAGTCCCGATCGAGGCGGTAAGCGACGGTCCTTCAGCCACCGAGTCCCGATTGGCGGGTCCAGGATCGCAACTGTACTGCAGGCCCTGGTATAAGAATGAACGCAGGAACGTGTGTTCTGCATCCGCCGCCTTCCTCCCTCTCCCTTCCACTGCAATGCCCAGCCACTCCCCACTCTCCTTCTTCTCTCTGCTCGCGCTTGTCGCGCTGCTCTTCTCGGCCACGTTTGGCTCTGCCTCGCCCGTGGAGAAGCGCAGCGCCCGCACGAGCCCTCCCTCTGGAGCGGTCGTCGTGAATGTTGCGGGCGGCAGTGGCGTACACACCACGGTCTCCTCGGCCGTGGCCGCGCTCCCGAACGACAACTCGGCGCGCACGATCTTCATCTACCCTGGCACCTACAACGAGCAGGTGTTCATCACCCGGCCTGGAATGACGACGGTGCGCGGCTGTTCTGTGCTGTGCTGCTTGGGCTGACGTTGTTTTGGTGGTGAATGCAGATCTACGGCTACACCACCAACAACCTCGACCATGCTCAGAACGTGGTGAACATCAAGCACTCTGCCTCTGCGTCGGCAGCCGGCGGCGACGATCCCAGCGGCACGCTCCGGGTGCACAAGGACAACTTTGCGATGTACAACGTGAACGTCTATAACACGGTCAGTCTGCGCGTTCCTCCTAGGTGCATCGAATGTGTCCGCTGACTGTGGGCTGCGCAGTTCGGTCAGGGCCAGCAGGCGATTGCCGTCAGCGCCTACGGCAGCAAGCAGGGTTACTACGCGTGTGGATTCTACGGGTACCAGGACACGCTCCTCGCCGAGCAGGGCACCCAGTTCTACGGCTACACGTACATCCAGGGCGCCGTCGACTACGTCTTTGGCCAGCACGCGTTTGCGTTCTTCCAGTCCTGCACTCTGGCGTCCTCTGGCCCCGGTAGCATCACCGCCGCTGGACCCTCCAGCTCGTCCGATGGCATCTGTATGTTTTTCTGTTCGTTTTGTCTACTGATCCCCGCCCTGACCTGGTCATCCACCAGACGTCATTAACAAGGCGACCATCGAGGTTGCCCCGGGAACTGGCACGTCTTTGGCCGGGAAGGTCTATCTCGGTCGCCCCTGGTCTCAGTTCGCTCGGTGAGTCCGGGCCTGCCTTGTCCAGTCATCTGGCCTGGGTACTCAGATCTTCCGCAGCGTAGTCTACACCAACAGCAACATTGGCGCACACGTCAACGCGCTCGGCTGGGACACCTGGTCCTCCGCCTCCCCCAACACCGCCCACGTCCTCTTCGCCGAGTTCGGCAGCTCCGGTGCCGGAGCCGCTGGCAAGCGGGCCTCGTTCTCCAAGAAGCTGTCCTCCGCTGCTGGCTACACCATCTCCGATGTTTTGGGCAGCAGCCACACCTGGGTTGACTCGGGCTACGACCACTAGGAAACTACTCATTACTACCACTTATTAGCCTCTTATTTGACTTTTAATACAATACACTCTTTTTAACACAGTTACACGAGAGCATAGAAAGATCCAGCGAAGCATCATCAGCCCAGGGCAGGGCTTTCGATGCGTCTGACAGCTTATCACGTGGACGTGAATCGATCCCACCCTCCGATCACTGATGCGACTTTTGAGCACTTGCACTCATGCAACGAATATGCATCCTCAGTAGTAGAGCCCGACATCCACCCCTCTCTCTCTCCAGGGGCGTCCTTCGGCGCCTGTCCACATTCACACCCTCCTACGAGTACAAGAATGTGCCGGCCTTGACAGCGCCCCAGCTTCTCAAAGTCTACAGCCAGCTCTCGAAGTCGCGGCTGAGCCTGCTCGTTGTGTTGACCGCGATGTCGGGCGTCGCCCTCTCGCCCCTCCCCGCGACCATTCCCACCCTCCTCGCGACGGCAGCCGGGACCGCCCTCTGCTCCGCCTCCGCGAACGCACTGAACCAGCTGCAAGAGGTGCCATTCGATGCGCAGATGGCCCGGACGAGGAACCGCCCGCTGGTGCGCCGCGCGATCACACCGCTCCACGCCGCGGGCTTCGCGCTGGCCACGGGCGTGTCGGGGCCCCTCCTCCTGTTGACGATGACGAACCCGACGACCGCCGCGCTCGGCGCGTTCAACATCTGGCTCTACGCGGGAGCCTACACATGGATGAAGCGCAAGTCGATATACAACACCTGGCTGGGGTCAGTTGTAGGTGCTATCCCACCCGTGATGGGATGGACGGCCTGCGGGGGCCATATCCTCCCGTCGGCCGCGTACCCGGTACACCTGTTCCTCCCGTCCTTCCTGTCCTCCTCCCCCGCCCCCGTGGACCTGGCGCTGGTCGACAACCCGCTCGGCGCGTTCGCGCTGTTCATGCTGCTGTACAGCTGGCAGTTCCCGCACTTCTTCGGCCTCGCGCACCTCGTCCGCGCCTCCTACGCCCAGGCCGGCTTCCGCATGCTGTCCGTGACGTCCCCGCCCAAGGCTGCGCTCGTGTCCATCCGCCACGCGCTGCTCCTCATCCCCGTCTGCTCCGTCCTGATGCCGATATCCGGGCTCACCACCTGGGCGTTCGCCGTGACGTCGCTCGTGCCGAATCTCATCTGCGCGCGCGCGGCGTGGCTTTTCCTTCGGGTGGGCGGGGAGAAGGAGGCCCGGGTCCTGTTCAGGAACTACTTGTGGTACCTGCCCGTCGTCATGGCCCTCATGATGCTGCATAAGCAGGGCCTCCAGTGGGGCCGGTGGTTGGGCCTCGAGGCGGACGAGGAAAAGAAGGAACTTGACAAGGCGCTTTGAGGGAAACGATTATCGTATCGTGTAGAAGCACTATCGTCAAATATCTAAAACATCAACTCATCTCAATCCAATTGGTTGGGGAAGAGTGTTGTAAGAAAAACAGGACAACAAAAGGGTCAACGAGGAGCGAAAAAAATGACATCTGGCCAACGTGGGGATCGAACCCAAGACCTTCGCGTTATTAGCACGACGCTCTAACCAGCTGAGCTAGTCGGCCGATGACGTACAGTCAAGAGGTATGTTTACAGCGCGCAAGGAATTTTGATACAATTTGCGAGGTTGTCTACGATTGCCATAATGCGCAACCTTGGCGCGCTCGTTCAAAAGCGTTGGCCTCATCTATCTGCTGCAGTCCTCCTTAACCCCGAATTCACAACTCGAACCTATACGACGTGCCCACAATCGGGCAGCAAACAGTCCTTAGCACAGTCCCTGCGCGCCTCCACCGCCCTGTCACGCGAACTATCGTACCTCCTCCGGCACGGCGCAGAGCGTGAGGGGCTGCCTATCCGTGTCGACGGATACGTGAGCGTGGACTCCCTGGTTCGTTCATCGGCTCTACCCCGATCGCACGGTCTGGCTGGGGACGCGGCCTGACGCGCCGCAGCTCAAACACAGGGCCTTCCGGGGCACGACTCTACAGGAACTGATGCACATCGTCGAAACGGACGGAAAGGCGCGCTACTCGCTGGTGCTGGAAGACGGGCTGTGGTGGGTGCGCGCGAACCAGGGCCACTCGATGCCAGTTGAGTCCCCGCGCGTAGCGGATCGTGTGGTGCGCTTCGTCGTGAGCTGACCGCGTGTGCGTAGGGTATGGTGCTGGATCTGAAGCGGATAACGTCGGCGGCGGAGGTGCCGATGGCCGTGCATGGGACGACACTGGCTGCATGGCGGCAAATATGTGAGTCCCGCGCGCCGTTTCCCCATCGGACCAGGCTCGAGCCCCCTGGCAGCTTCGGAAGGCATCTCGCGCATGACTCGGCAGCACATCCACCTCGCGCAAGGCCTGACGGGGACTGTCATCAGTGGTGAGTAGGTAGAGGACAGGTGTAAGGACCGGGTACCGACACCACAGGCCTCAGGGATGCGAAGCTCATCTGAGATCCTCATCTTCATCGACGTGGAGCGCGCCCTCGACGCTGGTATCGCGTTCTTTGTGTCCAGCAACGGTGTTGTGCTTTCTCCGGGAAACGAAGCGGGATATATCGCTCCTCGTCTTTTCTCGGATGTGCGTCGGGCCAAGAGCAATGGGGCAGTCCCTAGATGGCCGCGTCCATGATTCAATTATCCTAGTAGACAAATGAAGAACAAATGTGCATAAATTTGTAAATAAAAGGAGAGGGCAAAAAGCTATGAGTTTGTGACCAACTCGCTCCCCAGCGCGAACAGACAACAGATCCTGATCTGCGAAGACTAACTCGGCGAGTACCGCGGGCTGCGCAATTGCTTGCCTGACCCGACAGGTACAGATTATTCCGAATCCGTGCCACCGCTTCCGCAGTGGAGAATTGCGAACACCAAGTTTTCTGCAGGGGATCTGTCTTGAACCAGCGCACTCAAGGAGTTTACCGATGATGGAACCAGTCACATTCCCGACTGAGGGCCACTACAACCACTACGCCATTGTGCCATAGGACGCTGCAATTGTACTGCTATTGAAATCACTTCTCAGGCCACTGCAGCTCAGCAAGGATTCCCTTGCCTTTGGCTCCAGACGAGCTCTCGAGTCTCGAGACGATCGGCATCCGATGGCATCAAACACGCCCATGTGATATCCTGTCAAGCTGCAGTGATCAAGCGTGTCTTGAGACTCAACCAACATCCCGCATTCTCTGCGTTGCTTTACTGGATGCAGCAACAACCGAGACCATGTCCGCACAAGTAAGTAACAAAGGTCCACGAATCTGGACGCAAAGACCAGGTGCCCCCTCCAGGCTGCAACGCCAAGTCCTCCTCTCATAGGTACCCTCCTACGTTTGACTTGTACGGCCGCATAAGCTTGGATAACGGGTTCTGTATGCAGGCAACGGAAAGACCGTGGCTCGAAGTTGACGCGTCGTCAAGGGGTGAGTGCTGACCTTCCTGTCGTGTCTCATGGTCAGCTCACGCGTCTACACGACCCGATTCTATTCAGCCGCCACCGGGGCTCGCTGATTGTGCACGTGAGTCTGCGTGTGCTTTGAACCTGATGCGCTGAGATCGCCTTTGTTTCTTGTGCCCAGCGCTATGGCGTTTCTGTCGCAACAGAGATCCACATTCGGCGCTCGGGCGTTATTGAAGCTGATCTGACGCCAAGATTCGATACTGAGATTCTGGGCTGCAGCTGTCCTTGTTACCACAGGAGGGTTCAAAGTCATGCTCTGAGACAGCATGAAACCCAAGTTTGTGGTCTGTCTAGACACGGGTCTACGTGTTCTAATGTCTGGCCCCTCTGTAGCTTGAGAGACTAGCACCCGACGTGACTGGGGAAGCAAACAAACGCATAGTTGTACATACACACAATACAGCACAATACGATACAATTTCAAGTCCTACAATTCAAAGCAGACATAGGGAAATCTGGTTCTCTAGTGCAGCAGATTGGCCAACAAACAGCTTCGCTTTGTCATAGATTCCTTCCCACGCATTACGGTCGACTCCGACCAACTTGGTGGCCAGATACGCCATGGCAAGCAGCGTCGCAAGCACACTGTCGATCAAGCTGAGCTCATTCCGAATCGTGTCTGCAGTGATACCGGGTTTGAGTTGGATGACGTCCAGAACTTGGAGGGTAAACCCGCCGTCAAAGGCCTGGAGCCGGGCCAGAGCTTCCAGAGCGTCCATCGGCTCCAAATCTGCCACCGCAGGGCCGGCCATGGCTCCAGCACTCGAAGCTCCATTGGACATGGCTGGGACCGACATCGAGCCGTACAGCTCTGTTGATTGCGGCATCGCGGTCTTCTGTCCCATATCTCTACGGGAGAGTCGACGACGTCGAGTAGGACCCGGCGCCGCGGAGAACGATCCAGTCTCTAGAATACCCGAAAAAAATTGTGACTGAGGAATGGCTGCCGAGATCGAGGACGCTGCTGCAGGGGCCATAGGATAAGACATCGGGGAATAAGCACTGGCCACTGGCAGCTGTGGCACAGGGTACGCCCCCTGGGACGGAGGCGAACCGGACAGCGAGCAAATCTGGCTCGAGTAATTTCCAGCATTCGGAGCAGACCGGCCGCGATCGCGGCTATATGATGACCTAGCGCCCCCAAGGCTCAACATGATGCGGGACGAGCCCCGGACGCGTTGGGGCTGCATCGCGCTTGGAACTGCGTGGAATGCGTGGCCGGTGTCTCGGGCAGCCGTCCGGTCCGACTCCTCAACAGCAACAAACGATGTATGCGTCGATGCGATCGAGTACGTCGTCCCCAGCCGCACAACACTGGCTTTCACAGTCCGCGCGAGGAGATCGAAATCGGCAATGCCTGTTCCGAGCGCGTGCCGTCCGTCCTCCAGGTCCTGGATCAGCTTGCGCGCAGCCAGCGAATGAATGGCCGGCGGAGCTCCTGGGCTGTTCTGCAGGTGGCTCACGGACACAGTCACCGGAAGCTCGATCTCAGCACCGTCGAACGTCGTGCCGCGGAGAGTGACCACTTTCGGGATTTCTTTGCCTGCGACTCGATTAGGACGGTGACAGAAACAACCGAAAGCACTGACCTTGGAGAATAGCATAGGCGTTTAGTCGGATGTGAGGGTACAGACTCTTGATCTCAAACGGAGCTTGTTGAATTTCAGAGAAGGGCGCAAGAACAACTGCCGGAGGAGGCGGCGGGGCACCAGACGCAAGCGAGTGCTCGGCGCTCTCATCGAAGATATTCAGCGTCTTCTTCTCCGGTGCAGCACTCTCAACCACCTCAAAGTCATCATCCTCGACATGAACAGGCGTCTGCTCCCGCACACGCCGCCCCCAATCAATCCGAATGTCGGATATCGGCGGCGTCCTCGCAGCCTTCAGCATCCTCGCGACCTTGCCCGTGAAACTGCCCTCGTCCTCGCCGACCATCATGCACGTCCCGTTCCCGACTCTGGCAATCCCTTCGCACATCGCCGTCGACGCCGAGTTGCCGATCCCCAGCACAGAAACGCGCACAGGCGCGTGTTTGTCTTGCGGCGAGTCCACGGTGGCCTTGATTTCGTTCAGCACGCCATCCAGATCCCAGGCGTCTCCGTCCGTCAGAACCAGAACACTCATTGGCCTGTCCTTCCTCCGCTGGGCAAAGCACGTCGCAAGCGCGTTCCGAATCTCGGTCCTCCATAGTCTGCAGCCATCCTGTCAACGTGCTGGGTCGCCTCCTCCAGAGTGGCTTGATTATACGCTCTGCTTCCCGACGGCCACAGGAGAGATGTCCGGCTTCCAAAGGACACGATCTGGAATAGACAGTCCTGGTGCGGCAGTGCCCTCAGCATCACCACAAGTGCCTTGATGGCCGCCTTCATACGCTGTCCACGCATAGAGCCACTCCGGTCGACGAGGAAGACAAATTCCTGTCGCGACAGGTCGGGAAGAGTGAACCGTGGGACTAACGTCAATCCCAACGCGACTGTGTTGTGGACAGGATGCATTTCGGCGATGCATCGAGGAGTGTCCAGTCCCGCAGATTTGACCGTCAACACAAAGTCTCTGTCCAATACTGTATCCGAAAAGAGCGAAACGCGCGCGAAGTTTGAGAACGGCAGCTCTTGGTGATTAGGCAACAATGGATCTGGACCGAGTTCCGTCGAGATCGTATGCGAGGGACTGCCTATTTTCGAAATAGGTGACGCTGATTCAACATTCGTGGTGATGGTCAAGAAAGGGTCGGGGGAGGACTTGATCCAAACGTTTTGTAGTTGATACTTCGGAGCTGTGGGCTGCGGGGCAGCGCCGTACCGAGAACCAATGTGCACCGGAAGATGAAAACGGATGGAATCACTGTCTTCGTCCTCCGTGAGCTCCGTAGCATAGACAAGCTCGATCTGGACTTGTTCGTCGGGCTGGATATTTCCCACCGACACATGGAATGCTGATAGGCAGTATCCATCAGCTATGCCTCCAGAGATGACGCCGAGGCTCACTATCTGGTCCCAACTGCTCTAACAAGCCTGCATGTCGCCCCGACGCAAGCGCATCCTCATACACCGCCCTCGCCTCCTGCTTCTCCTTCACGTTCCCCACGATCTTGCTCCCATCCTCCCGCACCATCGTGAAGCTCGACACCACGGCACGGTTCGGGACGGGGAACACATACCGCGCTTCGATGGGGACGCCGGCGTCGTTGGCGTACGTCTGCGTCAGCGTTACTTGCGCGGCAAGCTCCTTGATCTGTGCGGACGCGTGCACCGCGAGGAGCGGAGCTGAGATCGCCTGATACTCGTGGTAGTAGAAAAGCCCATAGATGGCGGTCATGCTGTGAGTTTGCGGGTGGGTTGTAGGTGCGTGGCTTTTCTGGCGCTTCATATAGATGGATCGAAGGCCTGCGTCACAGCAGTGCAGTCATTCTACGGGACCGCGAGTGTCACCCGTCACGGGCTGTGCGTTCACCCCTCAATGAGTTTGCGGCTGACTCAAATTCCTATCAGAATTCGAGACGTGGGGGGTCGCAGTTGACGGGGAGATCAAGTGCCATAGAATAGTGGGGTGCGGCAAGAAATCTACAAAACGCCTATGCGTGACAGATAGCATGTGATGTGACTAGAACGCGAGTCGCGTCTTGGCATCATCGTGGCACCACCTCCCGCTGGCAGTACCGCTACGTCTGATCACACAATACAGATACTAGGCCAAGTATTACAAGGATAACATTACAGAGAGTTCACATTGTCCCGCGGCAGAAGTATCAGGACGACCACTCTGGGATAGTATCTGTCCGTTCAGTGCGCCTCTTCCTCGAGTGACACCACCAGTATACCAACGTGCTCACGATAATCGACAACCCGACTCCACTGCTCAGAACAATGCCTAGCGCCTCCCCGATTTCGGCACGATGTGGAAGGCCTCGCGATGCCGGGGAAGACGCCGACGCAGATGCTGCGGAAGCAGAGGAGGACGCCACTGTCGCGCTTGGTGGAAGTGACTTGGTCGGCAGGAAAGATGCGGTGGTGTCCCTTAGAGAAGTGAGTTGTTCATGCGCCACACACGAAATGCCGGGCTCACGGGTCCGTCACAGTCAGAATAATCGACCCAATGTCCAGTCGCGTTGCGTTATCGGGAGAGGGAACGAAAGTGACGGTCGTCATCGACAGATTGCCTTCGTTCAAGTTGACGACGGCGATGAGCCCAGTGGACGTGTCGACCTGCCGGCTCTCGGTAACTCCCCCGGAAGACACAGTGAAATTGGCCACTGCATTGGATAGAACGGAAGTCGACATATACAGCGCCGACGCTACGTTGGGTCAGAAAAAAAACAGAATAGTCAACGATAAGCGACGAGCAGGGGCCTACTTACCTCGGAACGACATGAACATCTGCGGTACCAAATTTCCGCCATCGACTCCCGGTCCCGTTGAAGATACCGTAGGGATGTCCCCTATCTGTGTAGCATTCCTTCCCCGATTCAGTCTCACTCCGTGTCAAAACATCAGACACACCATGCGCCTTCGCACCCCGGATCTGCCGCCAAACTAGCCGCCGAATCACATAGGAACGGAGTGTAAATGATTTCCGGGGACGTATTCGACACTGAAACATTCACAGACGTCGCACGGAGACTGGAGCATAGTGACAAGAAGAGCACAAGATGAGCCCCAAGCCGCCGATCCCATGAACGCAGGCGCATGCCTTGTCGATGCAGCACTGGGCAGACGCACTCGCTCGTGGTCGTCGTCAAGCACCAAGTCTCAGCAACGATTCGAAGACCTTCGCAATCTATCCAGTTGCAATCCGGAGATAGTCGGCCGGACTCTCGTCACAATGCCAACTGCTATTCAGCGGCGAAAATTAACGGGTGTGAAATGTTAAGAGTATCGTGGCAGCATGGCTATGAAGCAAGGGTCGGAAGACAGTCTGCTCATAATCAAGCTGCATGATATTCAAGGGAGGACCTGATTTGGGTGATTCTCATCCATCGAAGACTGTCATACTCAAATGCACTCGTGAAAGACGTTAACAGCGATCACACCCACATACCAATGTCAGATAGCATCACGCTCATGTTCTTAAAATACGGCATTTCCCAGGAGCGTCGAATGAGCACAGAGCGTGATTGTCTATTGCAGCTCTAAAACAAGTACTAGATCGACTTGTTTTTAACGAGCACTGATTCGAGTGTGCATTGGTCAATATGCAAAAGAACAAGAATAAAAACACGCACGCTCTATCTCGGCAACCGCACCCATCAAAATCTCCTTCTGAGTCTTCTCATCTTTCGTAGCGGCGAGAACTTTGTCAATGACGGTCTTGGTCAGTTCGGCTTGCTCGCTCTCCTTGAGCTGCTGTTCGTAGCGGACCCAGCTGTCGAGAACACCCTTGATCTCGGCAGCAATGGCTGCTTTTTGCTTTTGCACGAAAGCGTCAGACTCGAGAACGGCGGTCTCCTAAGCCAGCGTCAAAAAATAGCTTGGAGGAGCCTTATACGGGGACCGACTTTAGACAGCGAAAAGAGACCTTTGGTCAAGGAGACTACGTCCTTCATCTTTGCAACATTGTCGATGCGGTCCTTGACAGCCGAGGTGTGGTCGTTGCGAGCCGCATCCAAGATGCCCTTGATACGAGCAACTTGCGCGTCGGCCCAGTCACTGTACGGCTGACGGATAGCCTAGACGTGAACCAAAAATGTCAGCGCATGCACGATGTGCGTGTACGGCACTCGGAAAACGTACACGAGCCACCAGCGTGAAGAAAATGAGCGAACCAGCCAGGAGGACGGTCTCATCGCTGAGGACGTACAGCTCCGAGGAGATGGCGGCAGCAACGACACCGGTACCAAGGATAGCGGTTCCGGCCTTGGTGATGTAGTTCGGAGAAGAGGGGAGCTTGTCGATGATCTCAGCGGCACGTTCAGAGGGAGGAGTGGGGTTCGAAGAGCTCGCCATGGAGCGGCTGGAAGCATATATCAATTTGTAAAGGTTTTCGGCGCCTGCAAAGTGCCTACGTTTGGAAAACCTGGGGGACGGCAGCAACCGCTCGCGGTCGTGCTAACGAAGCCAAAGAGTTTGAGACATATTTCAGACATGCTATAGGCAGGGCGCCTACCTGCGGCTCTCAGGGAGCTGATAGCGACTCTGGAGGCCATGGCGCGAAGACAACAGGATGAGGGCGGTTTGGCTCGGGTCACGTCACAGTCACGCGTCCACCGCCTGATCCGAATATCTACGATCAGATCATCAGCTTCTTATCCTTCTCACCCTGCCCTCCCCCAAAATTAGCAACTGTGAAGTACTACTGGCCACCATTCATTTCCACATCTTCATCTCCTTTTCTGCACCGCCTACGCTGATCTGCTTTGCTTTGTCCGCCCTCCAATCAAGAAAGCGCAGCTCCTCAGAGAAGATCTCAGTGCACAGCCATCTCTGTAGACTTGCAGCGCCCGCGTTTCAAGACAGCGCCCCCGCGATCACTTTAAGCGATTGACAGCCCATAAAAACGTTGCCTAGAACCTTGCTAGAACCTGTGAACCCCCCCACGTCCTTGTCTCTCCCCCTCCATCGTTATCTTCTTCGTCGTTCCTTCAAAGCCTTCCACAAGTCCTCATGGCCTACGTGCGTCCCTGTGAAGCTCAGACTAAGTTGAAACCTGAGCAAATTTTCCAGCCTCATGAGCAAATTCCGATGCAACAGAAGCAGCCCTTCCTTGTGCAACAACCGGGACCCACCCTCGGCATGCAAATGGGCGGAGGAGGTAACCGGAATGCTGCCGGCAAGCCTCTCAACAGCAGCGGAGAACGAGAATGGAGCAACGGGCTGTGTGGCTGTTTCGAGGAGTGCGGCACTTGTCAGTCGTGCCATACAATCTCCGCTCAATGGCCCTCTGATCTGACGAACATAGGCTGCTATGCACTGTGGTGCCCGTGTGTTGTACACGGCAAAAACAAGCAACGTCTGGACCACTTGAACAACAAAGGTTTCCCCCATCCCGATGGAGGAGATTGTTGCTCGGGATCTTGTTGGGGACACTGCTGCTTGAGCGGCCTAGGCTTCGGCTGGTTGCTACAGGTGCGTTCACACAGCATTGGTAACACAGCATTGATAACATTCTTCCGAATCGTGTCTTTCTCAGTGCTTCAACCGTGGTGACGCTCGCCGACGCTATCACATCGAAGGTGGAGGATGCGGAGATTGTTGTGCGACCTTCTGCTGCGCACTATGTGACCTTGTTCAGGTTTCGCGTGAGATCGAACTTGAGGAAAACAGTTTCGGTCCTAAATATTGAGCATTATCTCTATTCTCACCGTGCTATTGCCTCTGTACACTGTTTGTAACTGGCTGTGCCGCACACTACATGGATATGATGTACCAATTTTGGCTCGAGACGTCGCCCAGCGCCATTCCTTTCAGAGGCCAAATGATGTCAGGGAACGACTCAATATTAATCAGGATCATTGGTGAAGACACTCAAGAGTCGTCCGAGAGCAGGATGCGTATTAAGGTCCAATACGATACTAAAGACTGACGATCAATCGACATGACGCTTGGGCAGTGCATTTAACAGCGAGGACTGCGCAGCATGTTCATGTGTTACGAATGGTGGCCCAAACTGTAATATAGTCGTGATCGCGGACGGAGAGGAGAGGGCATATAATAAATAATTGGCTGCTCAGGACTGTGTCCGAACCACTGAGTACCGATTTCTCAAGTATACATCGACGGTAAGCAGCGGTAGGAATTAAGAGACGAAGCCGGACGCGGTGTCCATCACATCGCCAAACAAATTATACACTCCAATTAACTCACCCACCCTACTTTCCGTCATCATGGAAGTAGAGGCGCCTTTGGTCGTTGACAATGGAACCGGGGTACGCCAGATCTCAACTAACGTGCTACTTTCTCTGATAATCTCCTCAGTTCGTCAAAGTCGGTTACGCAGGGTCCAACTTTCCCGAGCACGGTACAAACGTTCTCAGTACCCTCTCTGTCTTGATGCTCAAACATATCTCTAGTGTTCGCCTCAGTCGTCGGTCGCCCAATACTCCGTGCTGAGGAACGCGTCGGCTCTGCCATCATCAAGGACATCATGGTCGGCGACGAAGCTGCGGAGAACAGGAACTATCTACAGATCACGCAGCCTATGGAGCACGGATCGTGAAGAACTGGGAGGACATGAAGCTGCTGTGGGACTACACCTTTGACGAGAAGCTCAAGGTCGATCCGCGTGGCAAGAAAGTCCTCCTCACCGAGCCGCCCATGAACCCGAAGTCGAACAGGCAGCGGATGTGTCAAGTCATGTTCGAGGAGTATGGGTTCGACGGAGTATATATCGCGATTCAAGCTGTGCTTACGTTGTATGCGCAAGGTGCACGATCTTTTGCTCGCCTCTGCGACTTCGCTGACTGCATCAGGTCTGACGACTGGTGTCGTCGTCGATTCCGGTGATGGCGTAACACACATCGTGCCTGTTTATAGCGGATTCGCGTTGCCCCATCTGACGCGTCGGTTGGATATCGCTGGACGAGACGTCACTCGCTATCTGATCAAGTTGCTGCTCATGCGCGGGTATGCATTCAATCGCACGGCGGACTTTGAGACTGTGCGCGAGATCAAGGAGAAGTTGTGCTACGTCAGGTGAGAGCAAAATCATTGGTCTGCCGTCAGGATGGCTCATTGTCTCAGTTACGATCTGGATATGGACACCAAACTGTCGGAGGAAACGACCACTCTCGTGGAGAGCTATCAGGTGAGTTACACGATCGGTTGCCCAAGGTCATCGAACTCATCGATTTCAACCAAAGCTGCCAGATGGACGTGTCATCAAAGTTGGGTCGGAGCGATTCGAAGCTCCCGAATGCATGTTCCAGCCTCATTTAGTCGACGTTGAGCAGCCTGGCATGGCGGGTATGTGAACTGCTTCATTGTTCCGACTCTCCGACTGATTGCATGCAGAAATGCTATTCCAAACTATCCAGAATGCTGCAGTCGATACTCGCGCTGAGTTGTACAAGCATATCGTGCTGTCGGGTGGTTCCAGCATGTATCCCGGCCTACCCAGTCGTCTGGAGAAGGAAATGAAGCAGCTCTATCTCACTCGGGTGCTGAACGGCGACCCTTCACGACTCAATGTTGGTTCCATCTCCATATTCTTTCGATGTAATTTGACATGGCTTCTAGAAATTCAAGATCCGGATTGAAGACCCGCCTCGACGGAAACACGCTGTTTTCCTTGGCGGAGCTGTTCTTGCTGACATCATGAAAAGCCGGGAAGACTTCTGGATTTCTCGGGAGGAGTGGTTCGAACAAGGTGTCCGTGCGATGGACAAGTTGGGTAGAGGAGACAATTGAGTTGGTCCACACTTTGTATAACCAGTACAGTATCCGGAAGCAATTAAATAAAGTTCCTCTATCGGAGATCTATTTCACATCTATTCCGACCTCCAAAACGAATCCCAAGAGATCATCTCAGGGCATTCAAATCCGATTCCACGGATGATGTCCTGTCCCTGGATTAGCCGCAGTTCTCGGCCCCGCATCCGCAGGCTCTTGCGCAGAGGAGCCGCAGCATCTTTCTCGTCGTCAGTGACTTGTCTTTCCTCCTCCGGTAGCAATGCAGCATGCTCATGCGTCAAGCGCAGCATCGCATGCGTCTTGGCTAAAGCATGCGATGCTGCACGCGACACAGCATCCGAGGCACGTAAAACCTTTTGAGGCTCGAAATGGGCGAGCAGCAGGGCGGAGAACAGATCTCCCACCCCGGAAAAGTATCCCGGCAGTTGCTGCACGATTTGGGCGTGCACCACAGACGACTCTGCTGTGGCAGACGACGCAATGCAGAGGAGGTAGTTCAGGTCAGAATCGACAGCGGATGACAGTCTTGCGGGAAGGGCTGATTTGAGCCAGTCCGCGAGAGGAATGGAGCTGATCACCACGTTCGGCACTCGATATGTTTTGTGGAGAATGCGCAGAGCAGAACGCAGAGACTCGATATCCTTCAAGGGTGTGTCTGTCAGAGTTCTAAAGTGATATGTTCAGTGTATCAGGCGACAAGACACGACTCACTCGACTTCAAACCAGTTGGGAGTTATGATGGTAGACAGCGGTAAGATTCTGCGGTAAATGGGAATGACATCGGCAGCAACATAAAGATGCCCCGAGTCTCCTAGAACCGCTAAGAATAGGCTTGAAAAAGTCTGTGATAATAGTGATGATAGCCATACGATCGAGCAGGTAGATAAGATCGGTCCTCTGCGTCTTGAGCTTTTCAACGAGATCGGCCACAGCGGAGATCCCTTCAGCACCCGGTACATAGCCTGAGATGGGTCTTCAACATTTGTTTCAAAGGATCAACAAAGTTCTTGGGACCTGTGAGTAGCCTGTCTGGCAGAAGAAGCTGATTCATCTCCATGCCCTGGAAGATTTGGTTCAACTCGGTTGCCGTGGTTCTTGTTCCCCCCAGGCGCCCATAACCTGCGAATGGCTCTCAGTCCCATACTACAAAAGTCTCCAGGTCGACAGACCAGAATGATTCGAGAAGTTGACCGTATTTACTACCTTTCAAACTTGTTAGATGGCATATGAGAGGTCTGGATCTCTCACATCAACGTCGTAGCCAAGACATTGCAGCGGGAAGACGGCAGCCTTGCCGCCAACGTAGCCAAATACGACATGTGACTGGATACTGAGAACTCGAGACCCCATTTTACGAGCGAAGGGTTCACAAAATGAGAGCACAAGACGAGTCACTGTCAGATTGCAGCTTGATCGGCTTGCGGATCCCGACCTCGTGACTGCTTACCGGGGATATTGTGCGTGGTGTGCCATTAACGCGTTCTTCAGTGCTCTGCTCTGCATTGCATTGGTTTCTCTACGCAACTCTCTTGACACAATCGAGTAACATGTCTGATGGCTCGAGGTGCGGGAGCTACTCTATATCGGCCCTATTGTCTCAATTTGTGTGCGCAGGCTAAGGCAGTCATGGTACGACGCCTTGAATGGCGCCGAAACGCATTTCCGTCAAATGCTCACCTCTTCCTCGTCTGCGGAATGGAAGAGAGTATCGGCCTCCACTGACACTTCGCCCTCGAAGAAGGGCAAAGCACGAGCTCCGTCCATCCCTGAGCCAAGCGACGTGATCATCCACCGGAACTCAAGTAAAGCAGGAGGGGACGTCTATCGTCTGGTCCTCGACGTCCCTACAGGCGACGAATACGTATCCCTCGAACCTTGGAAGGCTGTTTTGACTACGCCCGAACTGAGGACGGAATGGGATCCTGCGGTGGAGGAGGCGCATTTGGTGGAGATTTTTGATCATAACACACGCATATGCAAGACGAATTTTACGCTTGGTTGGCCTGCAAAGTGCGTCGGGACGTCTTTTCTCAGCGAATGAGATGCCTGACTGACAGGTTCGCCCAGTCCGCGCGACGCAGTGACCATCTCACGATCCTTCCATGACGCATCTACATTCATTGACATCTCAACCTCTTTGCCGCGGTCACCCGATGAACCTGCGTACCTCCGGCCATCGCCTCCGTATGTCAGGTCGCACGTTACGTGTGCGTGTCGCAGCTCTCTCGCATGTTTCCAGGACACTGATGGAGCGCAGTATTCGCGTGGTGCATTCAGCACTTCGGCGCCGCCCCGCTTGTGGCACCTTCTACATCTGGTACCACCGACGTGGTGCAACGTAGGCGCACATCTGCGGGAGGCCGATTGCGGATTACTTGCTTCTGGCAGCACGACCTTCGCACGGCATGGACCATTGGCTCATCGGCCTCGGCGGCCATGCAGCAACTGTCTACCATGGCGCTCGGCTTGCTGAAGACCGTCATGAAGCGCGGAAATCGAATACCGAAGATCACAGGTTACGGGAATGGGGTTTCAATTGAACGAGTTCGATTTCAGAACGATCGAGAGGCGTTGACCATTGATTACGCCATCATTCCGGATGAGGACGAACCCTCTGCGGTGAACCACGGGATCGACGAGCTGCATGCGATTCGGGAGCATCGGCGCCTGAGGAGGTCGATTGAGTGTGTGCTACCTGCGAGTGAAGGATGGGACGTGCAGGTGTCGACGAAAGCGTCTTCCGAGGATGTGGAAAACCTTCCGTGGACCGCGCGTGCTATCCGCAGCAGCTCTTTTGCATCTCCCCCGACGCCAGAATCGGAAGAGTCGCGGCCTCTGGATCAAATCGTTGTTCGTTTGACGCACTCGCCGCTCATTGACGAGCACTCGGTACTCAAAGTTCGCGTCGTCGTGGAGATCTCTGGTCCCACAGCGGGCTTGAGATTGAACGGGCTCCCTCAGCCAATCCAAGAAGTGGAAGAACGTGACCCATCGTCATATTTCATCTCTCAGCAGATACTTCAGGATGTGTCTAGCACCGCGGATCTGAGCTTCAACACAGTGTCATCGCAAAGCAGCATGCATTCCAACAATTCAGGATCGATAGCTCCCAGACCACCGACAGAGCG